ATGAGAAGATGGATGGAGGATAATAATACCACTGTGGCAGGAATCTCATTGAGACATTCTGTTCATAGGGCGAGAGATGACAATAAAGAGACATGAAGTAGTTACCATGAGAATGGCCGCACGTCAGCTGTAAATAGCCCATTAGCAAGGCGGAGTGGTTCGCCATTCAGTCAATAAGCCATGAATTCGAAGACATGGAATTTTTTGAAACCCGAGGGAAAAGATTTGTAGGATACTAGGAACAATAGGTCGCGGTATCGATGGTCCTAAACTTACGATACACACGATGGCGATGAGTATGGTAAAGACAAATGTGGGCGTCATTCGGATATTATGCAACGCTCTAAGAGGAGCGATTGTTACCAAATATACATGGTATGGGCGCAAAATGATGGCCCGTTCACAAGGTTGATGATCAGTGACCAAAGAGGCTTGAGCCTCTGGCCTCATGTATGACGCACCTGTTGATATGACCATGAAAGAGATGTCATGTGTCAAGAAGTGCAACCGCGAGGCAGATGATGAGGATTGTCGAATTGATAAGAGATGAAAGGATTCGAGACGGATAGACGCGCAGAGGTGAATAAGGCAACTATATCACAGACCTTCCATAGTAGTAGTGGACGTACGTATGATCCGGTGGAAGAGGGCGGCTGACCGTCTTTTCCGGTAAACGCGGGTCTACGGACATGAAAGAGCGGTACATGGCGGCGAGTGCTGCGAGGGTTGGAAGGACCGAGAAATGGACCTATCAGAAAGAGCACAGCTGTGGTTAGCAGCTGTGGTTAGATAGAAAGATAGACAGGTCTCTCCACATGTCCGTGTATGTCCGGCCGGGAACAACCGAAATCAAAATGCACTAAAGCTTAATTCCACACTGTCATTAGCAAATCACCGGAACTGAATTTGTGCCTGTAGCTAGCAACGACGCTTGCTATCTCCAAAGGTCCCGCAAGGTGTAGTCTTTTGATTTTGTTTGATGCATTTTCAGCCGGTTAACAGCCGAGGATAGCGGAGACTAGCGGACTCTAAGGTAAGGTTTGTTGAAGTTTGTTAGTTACGAACCTGAGCTCACAGGTAGTTTGATCAAGGGGCAGGCTCTTCAACGTAACCTTCCGTACCACACCGATCGATTGGCGCAAGGCCCGGACCAGGCTTCTGTCACTATCCGAAATTTCTCTTATTAGTGACCTTTTCGCTGAAACACTAATCCAAATTCCCCTTATATAACCGAACAGCCACCCTGCTTCAATTTAGTCACAGGTAACTAGCTTTAAAATCATTCTCCTCTTCTTTCCGGTTCGTATTAAATGCCCTGTCGATCTTGATTTCTCCGTCCCACCCTTTACTGATTCTGTCCTTTCAACTATGGACAGCAATAGGCAACCTGACCCAGGCAGAAATCATCCCCCCCCTCCACGTTTAATGGCTTCCTCCAACTCACCACAGACCCGTCCTATCGCCCCATACCAGCAACCATCTTTGCCTTCTATTCGTCAACTCCACCCCTATCTTCCACCTTCCGGCATGGCTCAACATATGCCCCCTACTGACCCTTCTGCATACACATATCCACTCCCAAGTCCTTATTCAGGGCCTTCTGGCTCCTCTGAAATCCAACAACCTCCCTCACAGCATGCTCTCTATGGTCGTTCGGAAATGTTAGATTCCGAGCCAGAAGGTGAGATAGAGCAGCAAGGTCCCGCTAAAAAGAAAAGGCGACGGCAAGCTCTGAGCTGTAATGGTAAGTTTTATTTATTATTCATTTACAAATCCGTTGCTCATCGTTATCGATAATCATTGTTCCCTTGTTTATGTTACTCTTTTTATCCACGTCACGCGATCTCTACAGAGTGCAAAAGGCGTAAGATTAAATGTGACAGGTCGGCCGTTGAAATGTGACCATCTCGCCGCGCTGTTTTGACTTCGCATTTACAGAGCTCAGCCCTGTGGGCCATGTACTAGGCGTGGTGAACAGTCAAAATGTCAATGGCGAACTTTAGAGCCTGTGTAAGCAGCATCTTTCACGCTCGGGAAGTTCCACCCTTATATATGTTCAGGGACAAATACGTCAGTCGCGCTGAATATGAAGAACTCAAGGCCAGGAGTAGGGCTGAATACGACGAACTCAAGTCAAGACTTGATCACCTTGAATCCATGGTCACGCGCTATTTCCCCCCACCAGGCGGCCCTGCCAACGTGCCCATGTATTCAATCCCTGCTGAAATTTCAGGGGCGTCGTCATCTGACAACGTAACCTCCTACCATTCAGCCCATTCGTCCGCGGGACAAACATTGTATGTTCCCCCGTCATCTTCTTTCACCCAAGACCCGGCAAAATCACAATCTTATGTCGGCTCTTCCTCTCCTCATATCGTGGGGTCCGGAATTGGTCACGGGCCTTCCATTTCATCCTCGTCAAACACCCAATCGGTCTCACAGAGCGCGGGCCCATCTCATCTCCGTCATCCCTCGGATGCCAAGTCTCCCACTATTGTCAGACAGTCCCCGCTTTCGTTAGCTTCCATCACATCTCCTTACAATGCTGATGCCCAGCCAAAAAACTTCCACGCGCAGACGTTCAGAATACTGGGCGAGCGTCTGCGCCCGGTTCTAAGAAGTTGGAAAGACCCAGTGGAACTTCTTTGCGGCATCCTCAAACGATGGAACATGCTGCGATGTCCACCTCAGCAAGTATTACAATGGAAGGCCCGTCAATGTCGCCAGGGACACACCATTTATCGTCATCTAGGCGTTACGGTGATCCTTCCGTAGGGCGGGAAGGGGGGGATAACAGAGACCGAAGGCAAGGTCCTGTAGAGCGATAGACTCTTCCGGCATTTCGTCGGCTCATAGGTTAATTCTGATCATCATTGGTGGCATTCAGTTCTATTCATTCTGCTCACACTCCACACCACGCGTCAACCTTGTATGAAAAATACCTTCTACAGACTCCATTCCCGGTGTGCCGGACATGACCTTTTCGCTTTAATTTGGCGATCACATACCCCACTAGCCTCGTTTTTTCTGAGCATCTTATACGACACAATTACGAGATCTGTATTCTAGTAATACCACGAGTCTACTAAGCCTATCCTAAACATGTCAGTAAATGTCTCTAGCGCAGATCATGGTGCTCCCATTTAGTATTCTGAAACTAGTGTAGGGTGAATCCTAGTCCCATACTAGCTTCCCCCGGCTATCCACGGTAGCTTGCATGCCACCGCTAGTTTGCTTACCCCCTCCACGGCGTGATTGATCGATGATCTTTTCACGCTCCAAAGCACGCCTATGTTCGGCAAGTTTTGTCAGCCTGTCAGCCTCAGCCTCAGCTTTAGCATCTTTCAACATCTGATTCCGTTTCGCATTTTGCCGCTGTTTCTTTGTCAGTGCCTGTGGAACTTGCTGTACAAGTTGCGAAGGCGTGGTCGAGGGTCGTGATACTTCTGCGGCCATGTTAATTTCATAATAAATCGAAAAAAGAATAGGAATAAATTACTTGTGCGACCCTTGCCCTTCACAATGCCCCATTCACCATCGCCCTCCCCATCCGCATCGTTTAAAGTACCACTGCTGTCATCCACATCTTCGTAATCCTTCCAGGAAAATCCTGGTGCCGGCGCCTCATCGGGCCGGGGTTGAACACGCATCACACGCGCTAAACCAGGATAATCTGGGCGCTCAAGCATGCTTTACGAATAACATCACCAGGTGGTCCAATGAACATATGGGGATGAATGAAGTGAAATTCGACTTACTCATCGACGGCTGTCTTCCTATGTCTGGGTAAAAGCCTTTCTGCCAACGTTCGACGCTTATCTCCTGGGATGCCTACGTCTAGACTAGCATCTCCATCCTCATCCGTACGTTCGGCAATTACAGAGTCGCCGGTTGACGGACCCACGTCACTGCTCGTCATATCCGTTGTTATCGCAAGTATTTGATTGTCTGATCCAGTAGCGGTCTTAGCGCCTCGTGCTCTCTGACGGGTGTCTATCCGCATCCACGAGGAATCAGTGTCAAATGACGGAGAAGAAGACCGTATTTGAAGCGTGCGCAGTTCCTGTTCCGCTTTTGGAGAAAACACCTCGCTAGGCATGTCAATGTATGTTCTGGGAACATCACCGCTTGACTGCGATGCTAGGGAAGATGACTGGCGTTCAGATGCATCATCAAGAGTTGTCCCCGTTACTTTTTGCTTCTCCTTCTGCTTCTCCGTCTGCTTCTTTGTCTTCGTCTTCGTCTTCTTCTTCTTCGTTTTCACCTGTACACTCTGGTCCTCCGAGCTAGAGAGAACGGCGTCAAATTCGCCGGGAATAACATGCGGAAATGGAACGACAGTAGGTTCAGGCACAGGATTACCATGCGCAGACGTTGCGGTGGCGGTGGTGGCGGTGGTGGTACTAGTGGCAGTGATGGAGGAGGTGGTGGTGGTGGTGATGGACTTCTCAGACGGCTTTGAGATGCCGGTGGCTTTCGGTGTCTGTTTCTTTTTCTTGCTTTTCGTGCCTTTTCTACCGGTGGTTGGGTGTTCAGAGGTGGTAGTAGGTGTATCGGTGTTGGCGTATGTGAGGTAGCTGTATGCTGCTGCCCCTGCGATGCCAGCTGCCACGGCCCATTCGAGCGATGTATGGCTGAGCGTCGAACCCATTAGGATGGAGAGTTGGAGATGTCGGTAGGTGTTGAGAGAACAATGCAATTGCCAGCTTGAGAGTGTCTGGTGACAAGTGGACTGCCATGTGACATTCATGTGAGGTACGTGTCATTTCGTCGCGTCAATAGCCGTCAACAACGCGTTGTCATGCACTCACGAAATCAGGGTCCCGCTAGGAACTGCGACAATCAACATCGTTTAACTAGAACAAATACACGAACGGGGTATTGCTACTACTACGAAACAAAGAACGTTTGAACGACCTCAAGACCGATTATAATTAGCTCCTTTAGATTAGAACCATAATTGCAAATGTGCTGTCGTTGGGTATATCGGTGGAAGTGTATCATGAAAGCTCAGAGTATCCAGAAAAGCGTAAATTATCTGACTCAAGTTCGCCATCACCACCAAGGTGGAGCGTTCCTCCTGCTTGCTCGCTGCGCTCGATGAGATCATTCCAAATCTCAGCCTTCTCGCGCTCTGTGAGGGGCGGACGGCGGGGAGCATTGAGTTCGCGGTAATTAACGGCAGACCGAAGTTGTGAGGACGATGTGTCTTTGGACGTGGAAGTCGATGATCTTGACGATGTCCGCATCTTAGCGGTGGATGCTTCACTGAGGGTACCGGGCGCTTGGAGAGATATTCGTGGGTTTGGTTCTTCATCAGCAGTAGTAAATGTGGATTGGGAAGGTGAAGGTTCACTCTCCGACCTGCTTGAGCACATCGCACCTCGCGCAGGTCGTGGTGGTGGAGAAAGAGAGGTATTTCCATCTGGAAGTAAATGAGTGTGTGCGGCTGTAGGCGGCTTCTCGACAAGCCTGTGTGTTCTGAGAGAGGTTAATGAATGAATGGGGTGCGTGATCGGAGATGTGTGGGTACGTGTCGAGGTTTCCTGGTGCTGATCATCGGCCTTGCCTTCTGCGGTCGGCGTAGCTCGCCCGGAATAGCTTCGACCGCTAGAATAGCTGCGCCTGCCAGAATGCGACATCGAGCCCTGATCTTTTGTGTGATCACCCAAAATCTTGTGGATCTCCCGTGGGGGCACAATATGACGATCCCCCATACTGGGAAAACCCGGCACAGTCTCCTCCCCATATGAAGACACCGACGATCCCCTCGAGTGGGACATATGAAAGAAACTTGCCGAAGCCATTTCGGATGAATTAGGGGAAGATGAGGATGTTGCTATGCTCGGCCGCGGGCCTGAGCTAGCAATATTCCTTGGTACAGATGCGCTGTAAGATTTTTGTGACGTAGCCTGCGCGTCTTTGTTTACTGTCTTGGACCGGGGAGAGGGTGTGTTGAGCAACTCTTGTGGAATGGCAGGGACAGGTGGCGCAGCTGTATCAGCGTAGAAGCGCTCACGAAGCGCGCCCGTGCTGATCCGCTTCATGAGCTTCCAAATCTTAGAACCTTCGGACTTGCTCTGCGGGTCGGTCGCTGAGCGGATGTGGTCGTTACCAAACTCCCCTGCATCTGTGAACTGTCCGCGGTCTTTGAGACGGCGAGAAGAACGGCGCTCTTGTAGACTTGATCGGTCATTGGAAGGGTCAGGCAGGGGAGACTCGTCAGCCTTAACGCCTTCTCCCGTTGCTTTTTTCCATTTATTGGACACTCTTCTCGAGAGGCTTCCCTTCCTTGAAAGGCTTCTGCTCGGCTCGGAGGGGAGTGTTTGAGCCCGCTGTTCGGCAAGGACATGAGCGTGAAAGGACCAATTGCTGTTATCATCCGGCCCTCCCGCAGTAATTCTGTGCTCCGACTGCGTCCCGTAGACAGTATAGTATGGAACCGGAGAAGGCGAGTGAGGATCATCTTCAGAATATCCTTCCGTGGGCTGCACTGGTAATTCGTCGTACAGCTGAACAACAGTACTTGGGTGGAGATCTTTGGACACAGAACCATGCGCAGAAGGCGAGGGCGAGGCAGTTGTTGCCTTCTGTTTTATTTCCATATCTCGTTGCATTCTTTCTTTGGCCTTTGCAGACGGCTTCCTACGGAGAACATTCCGCTGCCTTTGGCCCTTCCCCTGTGTAGGCATCGAATTGGCAGACGAGGAAATGTTGTCTTGGCTTATGAGTGGTACGCTAGAGGAAGGTGAAGTGTTTGCACTCGTAGCAAGATTCGGGTGCACGTATCCGGGTGAGAAGGGGATTGCCGAGACATCGAGTTCAGGCGGATGGGATCTGGATTTACGAGGGATTGTGAGTCGCGAATGTGACGAGGCCCCCGCATCCGAGTGTAGTGATAGGCGAGTGGGGGACGGCAGTGCAGGTTTGCTGAGGAAAAACTTGATGCCCATAGCAACAGGGGACTCAGGGGTCTCCAGGGTAGCGGGACTGGGTGAACTGGGCGCTGTGCGGGCGCGCGCAGAAGATGGGAGATATTTGGACGCACGTTTGCAAGTGACAGCGTGCATAGGGAGAAGATCAGATTCAGTGATGGATCTGGAGCGACCGCTTAGTGCCGAGGATGGAGGGGTACCGAGATATGGATGAAGTGACGTTGCAGGCACCCGATTGTGTTCGAATAGTGAGCGGGAGCGCCGGGGATCAGCGCTGGCGCTGGCAGATTCGGATGTGAATGATGATTGTGAGTCAGCGAAGCGGCTGCTGCCGCCATGTGCGGAGGACGGGGACGTGAGGGGGCTTGACTGGGCACTGGGATTATGAGGGGATGGGAAAGAAGGATTATTGTGATCCGGGACGATGTTGTGAGGCGCGTAACGGTGTCGTGAAGCGGACCTGGGGGAGGTACTTTGTTCGCGAGATTTGGAGGAGGATGCGATTGATGAGGGGAGGCGTTCATGAACATGGGGGTTATGGTGGTGTCCAACTTGATCTGCAGAGTAGGAAACAGCGCGCTTGCGTGGAGTTTGATTGTTAGGAAACATTATGGTCTGTTATTGCCGATCAGATCGTGAATTGTATGAAGGAGTCGAGAGTGAGGCGATCAAGATCTCTAGGAACCGTTAGACAAGCCTGGACAGGATATGATTAAGGATATTAAGAACTAGAAGTAGAAGGAATACGCACATGATACAGGCCAGTTTGATGTGAAGTGGAAGAGAGAGAAGGTCTAGTAGACGCCTGAAGGAGAGGTTGGAGCTAGAATTAGGATTACGGAAAGGCGATCCGGTATGAGCGATATGAGGCAAATTTAGTCTAGTTCGGTCTATACTCACTTCTGATCGGAGAAACTTTGAAGTGAAAAGAGGGTTTACACGAGGAGCAGGAAGCTTAACGAGTGTGATTGAAAAATGAAAGAATGTGGGAGTTGGTCGTCGACTCGTCAATAGCAACCAGAGTATGCTATAAATGGGGACTTTGTGGGTTTCAGTATGAGACTCGTCCTGTCAGATATTGAAATGAACATACCAATGCATGGTCGACGTCGACGACGACGACGATACCTGAAGTGAACTGCTGGCAGTCTAGCTTGAAAATTAGACTTTATATTTAAACGCGGATAGAGCGCTTAAGCCAGCCTTATCAGTTCTTCCATCTCCCCCTCATGCATATGGTTATTTTATCTCCTTGGTGGAGGTCTTGGACCGTTGCTTACGCTCTCCCACGCCCGTAGTCTGAAACATTCAGATACAAAAGTACTAGCTACCTGCTAGTCCAATCGCTAGCACATTCGGGTCATAGCCATTCGTATCCAGGTATCCACCTTCTCGCCTCCTTTTAATCTCCAACCTTCCTTCTATCTTCTCAGCTAAACTCCCATCATGGTTCGCACCAATATCTCCCCCAATGACCCCGCAGAAGAACATCCCACAATCGGTTTAATCGGAATGGGTGCAATGGGCGCTATGTATGCGAAACACCTCTCTAAAGCAGGCTGGAAAAAGTACTTATCATTTACCTGATGTGAACATCTCTCCATCTCACCTATATATTTGGCCTCTAGAATCAGCGTCTGTGATCTTCCCGATAAATTTGACGCCTTGAAACTCCAATATGCAGACGTTCCTGGCATAACAGTCTATCCAAATGGACACGAGGTTTCTAGAATTTCAGACTTCATCATGTACTCCGTGGAGGCCGAGTACATCAGCCATGTCGTCTCACAGTATGGCCCTTGTACGTCTTCCCATACCTTCAAATTCTCCTCCTTAACCTGTCTTTCGTGTGAACTTGTACATAGCAACCAAGGTCGGTGCAATCGTCTCTGGCCAGACTTCAGTCAAAGCTCCCGAGAAGGTCGCATTTGAAAAGTATCTTCCTCCAGACGTCCACATCGTGTCCCTTCATTCTCTCCATGGTCCCACCGTTTCCCCAGAGGGACAGCCCCTGGTGATTGCCGTTCCCCCCTACCTTATCGCCAATCCTCATCCTCTTATCTTTGACAGGTTCTCATACAACACCGCGCTCCAGACTCCTCCCTTCACCTGGTAGAAAGCATCTTCCGATGCTTCGGCTCACGCTTCGTATATTTGACATACGAAGACCACGACCTCGTTACCGCCAATGTCCAAGCGGTTACACACGCTGCCTTCCTCACGTACGAGCCAAGAACCTGTCACTCTTCCATGACTTCACTTCTGACTCACACTTTCATCATACAGCATGGGCACAGCCTGGGCAAGCCAGCGCTCTTACCCCTGGGAACAGGGCCAATACGTCGGCGGAATTGAAACTGTCAAAGTAAACATCATGCTCCGCATTTACGCGAACAAGTGGCACGTTTATGCAGGCCTCGCCATTCTCAATCCCTCCGCGCGCATCCAGATCGACCAATATGCTTCTTCTGCAACTGCCCTCTTCAAGCTCATGCTCGCAGGTGATGAAGAAGGCCTCCGTGCCCGCATTTACGAGGCACGCGAACAAGTCTTCGGCACCGTCGAAGCGGAGCGCGCACCAATATTCCTTACTGAAGACGTCCTCGACCAGTTCACCATCGGCGGAAATCCCAAGTTAAACGGAAGTCCAACCGGGACGTCCGCGCCCCCATCCAACTCGCACCTCGCACTCCTTGCGATGGTCGACTGCTGGGCCCACCTCAAGATCCAGCCTTTCCACCACCTCGACCTCGCAGCAACGCCCATATTCAGAATGTGGATCGGTGTCGCAGAGTACCTCTTTCGTTCCCCGAAACGGCTGGACTCTGCTATTCGTTCAGCGGTGTACGACGTCACCCACCGGTCAGACGATCTCGAATTCGTTATCGCCGCTCGTGGGTGGAGCCAGTGTGTGTCGTTTGGAAGCTTGGAGTTGTATAAACGCAGGTTCTTGGAGACCTGCGTCATTCTTTGAGAGTAGGTTTGATGAGGCGAGCGCTATTGGTGCGGAGATGATCAAGGCTATTTCGCAGAGTTGAATCTGATTGAGAAAATATTTTTATAGTATTATTTTATGTAGAATGCTTGCTGGTTTTTTGGATCGTCTGTCGTAGCCAGTCATATTCAGTCTCGTTATTCATTTCCTGCAATCGGTTTGGCCCTTTGAATCGACGTGGCACTTGAAAGTCAAGACACAGGTTTCGTGGAGCAACACTCCGATTAGCCTGAGTAAATCATGTTGCTACAACGCTATGACATGTAACACGTTATCGGCAGTAGCTCGAGACTCCGGGTGTCAAACGTTTTCCGGTTCTTCATAGTAACAGCCTTGGTGAAAAGCCTTCCTGCCGGATTGGAACCATGAGTCGCGTTGCGTCTTCCGCTATTCCGGACGTCGCGGTGATGTCGGACACGGCTGAGGTGGACTAGCCGTAGGTTGTCATTTCTGTTACTGCAATAAGTTGCAAAGGTGTTGTACTCGCCGTTATCATCTTCGCGATATTAACACATTTATAGACGCCCTGCATGTGATGCTGTTCGCAGAATACTCCTGCGATCATACGTGCCTCTGACCGGGGGTTCAATTGCGTCACCGCAGTTAGCGGCAAATACGAGATCGTGCAGCCAATCTCGTACTACTCGACTCCTACCACATCAGCGTTGCGATCATGTCGAAGTGCTACATACCAGGAATCGAGTCCCCTTTGACCAAGCTGACACCTCGACAATGATACAGTCGAATACAATTGCAAGCAATCGGAAGCGGTACTTCATATCTGTGCGTTTTCGAGTTCAAGATGAGGAATGCATACAACCATCATATGTGTATTAAAGACGAGCGCGCTCACTGCATTCTAGTGAATTATATCATGGGTAACACGGAGCGTCTGTGAATGTAATGGAGCTGGTGATAAAGGTCTGAACCGTCCTCTGTACCGTCATCTGTTTGCGATGCACACCCAGTCTGCATATGCTCAATCCCAGAGCATGAGAGAGGGTGTCTGCCATCTGATACTCGGGTTTGTGATCTACCAGTGGAAACTGGACGTCGTGGGGTGGTATATTTTTTGGGAGACATTGATGTACTGCGTGAAGTCTAAAATTTCCACTCGTATAACCTAGGCCCAGAACTGAGATCATGGATGGTGAACCCTAGCATTCCCTTAGGTCTCGGTACTGATCATGAAAGCATTGGTATAAGCGGCTCCTATTTAGTGGGTCAGTAGATGAGCTCTGCTCCTATCCTGATATTTGTTGCGATGTGGCGCTTATCAAGGAGTTAAAGAACATGGGCGCTTGAAGGTCCGAGTCGAGTCCGCAAAAACAATGTCACGAACATTGATATTCGGATACACAAATACACAATCATCGAGCAACGAATGAATTTGCTGAAGACTCTGAGAGTAGACAAAAACGAAAGCGAAAGCGAAACAAGATAGCATATGAGTACGTGACAGATGTAACAGGTGAATTCAGTAATTGCAGCAACTTGAAGTACATCGGGGACAAAAAGAACGTGATACAAAGAACATGTGAAACCGTACCAGATGAAGCAATATAGCAGGAACTATACACCGATATGAATGAAAACCATCCTCTGCTCAAGCGGTACTTTCGTCTTCACAGCGTGCGTAGCACGGTTGAGTGCCCAGGCCGCCTTCGTACAGTCCATGACACCACCCTCCTCTAAACCATTGAACAAATTCTCGTAGAACGCTTTGACAACGTGCTTTGCGACAGAATCGTCGACCTCCCACAGCGTGCCAATGACGCTCTTGAACCCCGAAAATTGGAGACCAGCTGCGAGATGAATCACCTCGTCGGGCGTCTCCTTATCGCCGACGGCGGTATGACAAGCGGACAAGAATGCGAACTCAGCATGCGGGACATGTTTCTCCATGATATCGAGCAGCGTCAGATGTTCGTCTCTCATGACGAAGTGGGAATTGTAAGGCTGCGTAGGGTCCTGCTTGCCATGGCAAGCGAGGTGCACCCAGGTGTTCTCTTCCAAAGCTTTGAGTGCACCTGCTCGTGTGGCTGCGTCACCAGAAATAGTGGTACCGTTGGCCGTCGCAGGGACGAGCTTATGGACAAGCTCGAGCTCGCTGTCGACAGCCAAGAGCGCCTTGCCTTTCCCCGTACCCGGTTGACCCTGGCCGATTGTCACAAAGGATGGAGTGACGCGCTTCTTCATCATCTGTCTAGATCTAACGAGAGCCGAAAGTGTCGGCGTGTAAGAGCAGATATAGAGATCCTCCAGGCATGGCTCTTTAGAGCGATCTGCCCTCGTTTGAAAGGGGTGAGCTGCATGGAGAGGAATAGATGTGAAAGCTGCAGTTGGACATAGCCAGATTCGAGAGCCATGCTTTAGCTTAAGTACATGTTCGAGTACGTTTACGACGGGGAGCATGATCTCTTCCCATACTGTCCGCAAGAGGACTATCAGATCGTTCCGAGGCAACTTTGGGCCCATGATGGATGCGTGTCGTATGGCCCTGGCGAAGCGATCCCTCAGATTATTCAGATCAGTGAGAGTGACAGACGGTAAGGGAATATGACGGGGTTCTCCTGAGGTTGGAATAATGATGGCACTGCACGAATATTGGCTGGCAATAAGGATGATGACAGGGCCCTGGCGTGCTGCCGCTTGCAAGTCTTCGTACGAAGGCGGGAGCAGGAAGCGCGAGAACGCTTTAAGATTACGAATTTCAGCAACTGCAGCTTCCCATTGCCTTGTAAGTCTCCTGTACTCGACTGCTGCCCAATCAGCAGCAGCTTTGTCCGTGATGGTCACAGAACTCTGGGCAGCATTAGAAATGCGCCTGCTCAGGTCCAAATAATTGTGCGCCAATTTTGGATTTGCTAATTGGAGGTCTTCAACTGGAGTCTTGAGTCGAGATGCCAGCGACCATTGCTGGCCACGGCCCTGCTCCACGAGTTCCACTGCGTGTTGTAGATTGTCACGGCGTATGGCACATGATGCAGCATCTACAGGCAATGATCTGGCGTAATGGAAGGCAGCAGCAGCTTCGCGTCGTGACGTTGCCGACGATCGTGTTGCCAAATGACCGTCAAGAAGGTCAAAACATGTGTAGTAGGCCTCCAATGCAGATGTATGACTGTGTTGCTCTGCAGCGATAACCCAGTTACATGCTATCATAATGCGACGTGGAAAGCCTTGAGTAGGATGCCTTGACGCCAGTCTGAAGTTCTCTATAGCGAGCGACAAATCAGCAGCATCGCGTAGAATCCGGTAACGAGACAAATAAGCCTGCTGCAGTCGCATGTGGCTGAAATACCTGTCCGGATGAAGTGAAGACAGAGCCGCCAACGACTCTCGGCAGAGATTAATCGCCTCCTCGATATCTTCATTCTCCCGAGCTTGCGTGAAACGAGAGCAGAGCGACGCGCTCAAATTGACAAGATTTGAATGGCGCTCGGGATGGTCATGCCGGGTTAACTGAAGGGATTCGCGATACCGATCAATGGCCTCGTTAAGATCCTCAATGACATGCAATTTGTCGTATCTGGTGTCGAGCGCGAGGGCAAGGTTGTTAAGCGTGGTATTACGATCTGGATGCTCAGGTGGGCGCAATGTCAGTGCCTCGCGAAAGAGGCTGATAGCTCGGGTGATGTCTTCAATGTCGCCGCGTTTGTTGAAACGGCGGATGAGGGCGAGCCCTAGGTTGTCCAATGGGGTATCACGATATTGGTGCCCAACAGGGCGCAGGCGCAGCGCTTCTTCGTACAAAGAGATGACCTCATCGAGGTCATTAGGTTTGCCTTGGTGATCGAAGCGGTATCCGAGCGAGAAGGCCAAGTTGTTCAGGTAGTCAGCACGGTCAGTATGTCCCTCGGGGCATAGAGACACGGCCTCACGACGAAGTTGTATGCTCGTATCAAGATCATCAATACTGCCGTGTTGTTGAAAACGCAATGCGAGAACCCACGCAAGGTTGTCAAGTGCTCTGGGACGGTGTTGATGGCCCAGAGGACAGAGCTCGACGACCACTCGTCGAAGGTGGATGCCTTCGTCAGATGTGTCTATCGGAAGATTGTTGCATCTGTTGATCACATAATCGACACCATTTGTCCCTGCCGCGATGCTATGAAGGTAGGTGCCCTCTGGACAGAGAGGCAGTAGCTCATGATAGAGTTTGGCGGATTCGCAAATGTCGGCAGCAGTACTTTTCTTGTTGTGGCGCCAAGTCAGCGCTTCGGTGAGATTGTATAGAGATAATGGATGATCCGGATGGCACTGCGGACGCAATGCAAGGACATCGCGGAACAGCGAAGTGGGGGTATCAATATCTTCAAGACCATTGCGAATATACCCCTGAAGGCGCGCATACGCAAGGTTGGTGAGGGCTGCTGCGTGGTCGGGATGGCTGACGGGACACTGGTCTAGAACCAACTGAAAATGCTGCACCGCATCGTTCAGGTGAGAGACCGTCTTGCTCGCGATGTATGCGGCAAATTGTGCGTGGCCCGCATCTGTGTCTCGAGTGATCTCACAGTCTACGAGGGACTACGATTGGCGAACCGTCAGCAAAGCTAATAGTAGAGACTAGCGTCACTTACATCAGACAGCGCGCCCTCCTGATCGTCGCAAGCATGTGCAATGGTGGCCTTGAGCATGAGGGAAGGGTGGACACCGCGAACGGGTGGGAAGGACAAAACTACGAGATGTTAGTATGTGCGTGGATGAGGAGAAAATGACTCACCGAAAGGTTCATCTCCATGATCGAGTAGCTCATCCCACGACGTCTGAAGTTTCCCAATGACCTCTCCGCTGCCTAGCATTCGACCGGCCTCATAGGATGCCCAGATCTCTATTGATAATGCAGGTGAGGTATGGGATGATCTATAAACCGAAGATCAGCTCTCACATCGTATCGGAAAGTCTTGGACTTTACAGAGTCACAGTGTCGCCCCACGCTACAGATTGGTCAGATGATAAGACACTGACGGCCGATTTCCAGCGTCTCTGGGAATTGACATTGATAGATATGTAAATGCCTGCGGGAATGCGCTTGGATGGGACTTGAAGATTTTTTCCGCTGATGACTGTGAAAAGAGTGTGAGGATTGCGAAATGGATGCAAATGTGATATGGAGCAACCCACCTTCAAGTCTGATATATTGGCTTGCAAAGCCTCTATGCATGATGGTGGGACGAAACAGACAACGAATGACACGCAGCATCGGAAATTGAGAGGGGTTCAGGATGAGTGGTAGGAAAAGACGGAGGCAGGTGGAATGACTGGGACTGTAGATGAAGTTCGGCTGAGGGAGAGGAGAAGAGGTTGAGGGTTCAGGCTATACTACACGTGTATTTCCATGTTGTTGATCGCAGTTCGGCACGATAGGGGCTGGTATGAAAATGGAGATCACTCAGTTGGATTAGCGGAAGAATCTGTGCTAGAGAAGTATAGACAAAGTCATGATCAGTCTTCAGCAAAAGTGGCCTCAGAAGTTGAAGGGGATATGTCAGTCTCAGAGTGCCTTGTGATGGTTGCTGGTCCTGGACTTGTATCATGGTGTCGTACCACTCATTTAGCACACTTTGAAAGCAAAATGTAGAGTCGAGTGTATTTTGTAAGCTAATGGACAAAAAAAAAATACAAACTGCTGAAAACGGAGCGCACAGAAAAGTCGAATGATTCCGTACGACTCATTCAATTGAGCTGACATGGTGGAGGAGGATTGAGCGTGAGAATGTTGTAGAAACACCAGGGGAGAACATAAAAGTCGGATTCATGGATGTGAAGACGAAACGGGTGACACTGAACAAGGACCAAGTCTTGAGAATACCTGGTCAGCCCAATGTCAACTCGTGTCTGCGCGTTGAACAAGCCTTTGGTTGAATGCTTCTCTCCAAGTTGTTCCCACAACTGCCCGTGCCAAAACCAAACAAGTCCAAATCCTTGACTCGAGTCAAACGCGTCCACCGCCAGATATTGATGCATACCAAACCCACCTCCATTCACTGCGTTATGGATCTATGTGAAACGTGGGTGAGACACCCGTGGGTACAAAGTCTACCATAGGTACACACATGTACAATCACATAAGGTATACCGGCGAAGGAGAGATATGGATCCTATAAGTATCCGAGGTATAAACAGTACGGCGAGATAAACTGGTGTATACTATGGCTACCATAGGTATACTTGAGGTCAACTAAGGTGTGCACACTGCCATTTGAGGTGGTTTAATATGTATGAATTAGGACAGGTAGCCACATTGTGCATACATATCCTGATATGGGTTGAGTACAGGTATGCTACACATCTGTTCACCTTTTCTCCCCAACCTGATCCCTGAGCCCCAAATTGAGTGCATATACCCAGTGGAATCAGTACATATACCCAGCAAAAATGCGCATCAACAGCAGCAGGAAACAGCAAGGTCCTCCAGCAGGGTCTCCTCCTCCACCATATCCACCCCTGTCTGGTGGCCCAAATGATCCCCCACCAGCACCTGTTGCATTGCACAACTTGCTGGCAAACTTGGTGCCAGATGTTTTACTCACTCTTGCAGTGCAGGCTGTTCAGGGTCAGCCTCAACAGAATCTGCCCCATCAAAATCACATACCCCAATCACTGCCCCCCAGTGACCAACATGCTATCCAGCCAGACTTAGAAACTGCGTCGGATGTACAGGCACTGTGGAGTATATGTGAGAACCTCCAACACGAGGTTAATTGCCTGAAACATAGTCACAAAGATGACGGTGATGAGGCAGATGATGAGGACGAGCCTACAGATAAAGGTATGTGTCAGAAGAAGAAGAAGAAGCTGATGAAGGGCAAGATACGGATGTACCTTCTCAACTGCCCTCTTCAAGAACTCTCAGCATCAGCAAACTACTTTGTTCTGTACAGAACTGTACAGAGCTGTACAATGCGATAGATACACAGCTTAGTCCCTTCTGTACACTTCACTACAATAACACTTCATTCTGTGGGTTCCTGTACAGACCGCCACAGACACCCACTGAGAATGTGTGATGTACAATATTTCAAAAGTGTGACAACAAAAAATCATGTGCTACTGTCCAGTAGCACACTAAGCTGTACCATTCTGTCCACACATGCAAAAGACGTACACAATCAAAAAAATGTATTGGATCACAGATGATAGTAGTAACACAGAAACACGAATGTGGATACACTAGCACTACTAATGATGGATGTATGAATGCGAGAGAGAGAGAGATAGTCGCAAAATAGCAGTCCAAATCTAATCAAGCAGGACCTGCAAATGATGATGCTTTGATGTGTCCTTGCCGTCAAGTTTGCAGGACTGCGCCCTGTGTGGATTTAATTAGCGAAGACTTATTTTGAAAAAAAACTCCTTACCATCCTTCTGCAGCCCACTCGCGAAGCTGTCATGTCAACTTAGGGCCATGATACTTGTGCTTCATGATATTCTTGAGTTTGGCAACCATTGAGAAATAGACAGAGGAGTAGTCTTTGGCAGTAAACTTTGGAAAATACTTGCCACTGCCATTCTTGATTAGTCTGTCAAAGATGCAGTTGTACTACAAATTTGGTGTCAGCACATAATCAATATAAAATATCAAAAAAGTACCACAGCGCAAACCAAAGCCAGAGACTCCAAAGGTAACTCCTCTTTGAAGACATTGGGTCTCCTGTGAGTGATGCGATAGGAACCAGTGTAGAAGAAGGCGACAGCAGCTGCCTTGAGTGCAGGGTGAGCAGTGTTGTTGGTTTTCCCAAGGTCATCCACACTGTCGTGAAGAAAGAAAGACTTGTCCAACAATTCTGAAGCAGCATTCTCAACCCAGGCAGTGCAAGCTTGAGGAGGTACCTCAGCTGGGGGGATGAGGTTGTACATGGAGGGCATGATGCTGATAGCTATCTTCTTGAGGTTGGAGTGCCAGGTTGATAAGTCTTCATATAGCTAGATAATAGTGTGTGAGGAAATGAGCAAGTGACAATGGACATACTTACCAACTTGGCCATATTAGCCTTGTGCTCAGGCCATATACCTAGTCAACCTCATGAGTGAGATATCTTGGAGAAAACAATAACATACCCACTTCCACCTCGTTACCTGCTTCAAGCCATTCCACAAGTGACGACATGAGTGCTTCAGTGACTGAAAGAGGCAAATCCTTGACGGCATCCAGGAATGCATTCTCAATTGCGTGCTGGACATGACACTCTGATTTTGCCTCCTCAAGAAAGGTCTTCCATTGTGGAGGATACCAGCTGAGTTGGGTCAGCTTAGGGCCTTCAGTTGGTGCCTTAGACTTGGCTGATTTGACCTTAGCCTTAATGCCAGAGTTGCGCAACTTTGTATTTGTGGCTTGAGTCTCTTGGCAATGGATGAGATCAAGCATTTCAGGGTCAGGGAGGTGTGGACATCCATTTTTCTTGTGGTGACTCTGTAAGACATCCTCCAGCTTGGTAGGCTTCAAAAAATGATTAATGAACTCTGTGAAATTATGAAGGACATACCTCACTCATGATATTGCTGCTACTGCTACTGCTACTGGAGGTCTTGTCAACTGTTAACGATCCTATTGCAACATTCTCATCTTCATCTCATGAATGCTGGAACTCAAAATCAGAAGGTAGGGTGACAGCCCGAGGTTGGGGCACCGATGTTCCTTCCTTTGAAAAGCCTGTATCTTGTTAGTGACAGATATGATTAGTAAATGATCATGTACCAGGATGCACACTATGACTCCCATGGACTCCTCCCCAACCAATTTCACCGTTGTCCTTATCACTTTCTTCATCAGTGTCGCTTTCGTCAGTGTCATCAGTAGAGGAATCATCATCCTCAGATGTCGAGACTTCAGCTTGAGCTTCCTGGCCAATTGATGGGAGGGAGGCGCCACAATAGCTAGCTTCACCTTGTGCTTCCTGACTGATTGGCCAGAGAGAAGGATCTATATTTGCATAGAAGTCAGCTTGTGGATGTGGCCTCATCTCAACTGAGGTCGTCTTCAAAGAGGCATCAAGAACTTTCTCTGTGCAAGAAGGGCTGATTGATGGATGGAACCCGAAACATTCACCATCTTTGCGCTGTACAAAGTTTGGTTGATTGGGCGCCTTGATGTTAGAGGCAAAGGCAGCAATCTTCTTGATAGAGTTTCAAGTAAACAGTTAGTCTACAGAATTACAAAAGAGATGCTAACCTTGACTTTTTTGCCTTGTTTCCTTGGAGGCAGAGTGCTGGAATCTACCACTGGCTGTGAGGCACTGTACAGTGGAGGAGCCTTCAACATAGCATCATACTAGTTAGTAACATTGCTGATGAATACATGAAAAGTTACCTTTGAGCGACTCCTGTGACCCTTGCTAGGTGGTAATGGAGCAAGAGGGTTCACAGGAACGTTAGAATCAAGGGTGGTTGAGCCTTTGGGTTTGGTTGCCTGCCCAGGTGCCTCCAACAAGGCACTAATTCTCTCAAGCTGACTATTCCTACCCCCCTTCCCAGCACCTGCATGATTAGTATGTCGAAGGTTCGAGTTGTCAGTGTCGTCCAAGTCAGGGACTGACTGTGGGGGCTTTACTGGTGGTGATACATCAGCCTGTGATTGGATCCATGATCGCTTTGCCTTCTCTTCAACACTGCTGAGTGTCTTCCCAAGATCAGAATCCACAGCTTTACACTTTGTCTTGCGTTTCTTGGGACTACCAGCACATTGCGCAGGCATAGTAGAGCTTGTAGTAGAGCTGGGAAGACAAGAGTAGGGAGCCTCTGGGCAATATTAACAAACACTCACTTTTATCCTTGAGCTTTGTGTCATAGTTCAGCAGTCATTGCAGGCGATTTTCGGAGGTATGAGTCAAGTTGCTTGCAAGTAGCAATGTGCTGATGAGTGAGTCAGTAGATTAAAGTTCGAAACATAAATGATGCCAAGGACTGTGGGAATCTTGCACGGGACATAGTAGACCCTGATGCCCTCTCTGACTCGGTGTGGATGATTCTAACATGTAAAGTACATATGGAGACATTTGTCATAGCTATTGAGTCACTATATGTAGGGATGAAGTGTTTTGGAACAGAAAATCTATGGTTGCTTGAGTAATTATGAAGATTGGGTTTTGTTCCGCTTTGATGGCCTGATGGGTACTGCAGCTTCCATCGTCATGTTGCCTACAGCTGGCCCCATGTGCCTGGTTGTGTCATTAGGTAACCTAGTGACTCCTGGATCTACTGCACCTGTGGAATCAGGAGCATCTCCAGTTGGCTGTTTTTGCTTGAGGATTGTTTTGGCAAACAATAACTCAGGGGATGGTTCATCCTTTGGAAGCTCTGCAAGATGTCTATTCAACATCTCAAGCACAGCATCAAAGGGTACTGAATCTGGGTTGCTGTTGTTCCTCATCAGCCCATACCATTCTTTTGCAAGAGGAATAAGATTCTTGAAGTAGGGATGAATCTGCTTTTCAAGCTTCTCCAAATCCTCTGAGTGGAAAAAGAACCCCATCTTAGCTTGGTCACACTCTGCGTAAGAGTTGGCAGACCATGTGTGTGGTAGCCATTTGATCCTATCGCCCCTAGACTTGAGGACCTGTTTCATCCCGAGGGGACCCCTGAATTCGATGCAGATCCAGGCGAAGATGTAAAAGAGGGATTTGAGATCATCAGAAAAAGTGTGTTTGATCAACATAGCCTGTTGCGGTCTTGAATGTGAAGCTTTCTTTTGAGTTTTCTTCTGCACAGACACCAGAGGAATGACATCTGAGAGCTGGTGAAGAAGCTTCCACGACATGAATGGTACTGTGCCCTGGTCATTTTGTGAGCAGTTGTCCATTGAAAACAGAGTCAGGGAGTAAAACACTGACCGTACCACTGATAGGGTAGCGATTGCTCTGAAGAATATGCATGGCAAATTCCCAGTCTATCAATGTGCCATGGGAGCCATTACTGTTGTCCTCGATCATAGAGTTGTTAAGGCTGCAATCTCGATGCAGAATACCTCGCTCTTTGACCACTATCTTTTGAACTGGAAAAAGGTAAGTCAAAAATTTGGATATCATTGCATGGCATGTACTTACTGGCAACGATGTCCCAGATCACACTCACTAACTCTGCCTTTGTGCAGAACATATGCAATGGTCGTGCATGGGGCTTCAAAACCAGTCAGATATGAGTGCAGAAGGTACCTTCTATACTCTCCAGTGTTTTATAGCAATATTTCTCTGTTTCATCAACCTCCCCAGATGCGATCTCAATGAGCCAGTGCTCAACAAGTTCGGGTACACCATGAACCCCCTTCATCTCATTCAACATGGTGACCTCATTCAACATGTCCTCCTTACTCCCTAAAACCCAATGATCTTTTATTATGTATTCCTCCTTGCCCCTCCTTGTCAAGTAGCACACAGTGCCATGACTGACAAGCCCTTGGCTAGAGAACATGACTTCCAGGATATCATAGTAGTTATGGTTGACTCGAATTTTTCCAATCGGCTCTGGAAGAGGTGCAAGGAGGGGATCTGCAGGAAGGGGTGTAGGAAGACCTTCCTGGAGGAGGAGGTCTTCAGGGAGGAGTTCTTCTGGGAGAGGGTTTTCAGGATCTTCAATATCTTCAATATCTTCATGATCTTCAGGCAGGGGATGTTTGGTCAGAAGCGATGGCTCAGGACTCTCTGGTTCGGATATGGGATCATCTGCCAAAGCACCACTCTTGAGGATGACAGGTGTGCTCTCGTTCGGTTGTTTAAGATCGTATTTGGCAGTTCCAGTGGTAGGACGAGTGAAGGTGGAGGATTGGTGGAGCTGGCTGGGCTGAAGTGTCTTAGTAAAGATACTGATGGTTGGATCATACCCAATGCACTCGAGGCCACCGAAAACAATGCATGAGAAGGTATGCAAGAATCTGTCCAGATCCTGGTTGATATTGATGCAAGGGGTTACAATACCACCTGAGTGATCATACAAATGCATGTGGAGATCTTGATATCCATTGCAAACTGAGAGGAGCAAAATGAAGCGTCTCCAGGGCTGGCACCTTAGAAGAAGGTATGCCTTGCTATCAATAGTCTTAGCAATAGTAGTGGTAGGATGGTACCTTCGGAACATCAGTTCACAGTTTTTGCACAGGTAGATCAACAATCAACATACTTTTGGGATGTCAACTCACACACCACCTTGATCATATCCCACCTAGCCTCCATGTCATCTAGTAAGGCTAAATCAGGTTTGTGCTTGATTTCATCATCCTTGACTGGGCATGTGGAGTTCACACTGCTCCATGTCAATATCACTCCACTGGGATTGAACTGGTGAGCTTTTCATTTGCTGCAGTGAGGGCAATGGCCACAGTATTGAAGAACCCTGCGAAGCTCATCTCATCACTGATTGATGATGATGATATTGGTCCTGGTGGCAGCAGTGCTGTGCTGACATCAGGCAGGTCTGCCAGTGAGTCATCGGAGTCTATGCCAACTGCTTCATCCCTGCTGTGACAATCATACCAGCACTAGGCGCATATGAGTGTCATAGGCATATTTTGCCTTGTCCAGAGGAAAAGAGTAAGGCGCTAGTCACTAGTGCTATTCAGCTCCCAAGCTATCTGCTTTGGAACCACTTTTCTCCCATAGTGCGCTACTTGGTCTGACACCTAGGTATTCTGTCCTCCCATGTCCTGCCTATGTCCACCTGCCTCTGCTGGTGCATTATTTTTCCTTAAATGTCGCTACTCATCAGTTGCAGGTCTTATTACATGTGTCCTCGTGTCCCGCAGCACTGCATGTTTTATTACCTGTCACTACATCATGCCCTTGCCAGTGTTGCTACTATACTCACCTATGCAATCCTGAACCCCTATGCAGTATGATAAAATGACCCATCCTACATACAGTACAGTACTTCCCTTCTCTGGACCTTTACTGGTGTAAGCGTCACTTTTGTTGCTATATCCTAGTTTTAGTGCAATTGATTCCGCTCTTGCCAAACTCTTTGATCGCATGTCACTTGACTTGTTTTAAGTGCATGTCACTAAAGTTCCCTCTTAGAAAGTTTGACTTTCGCAGTGTTGGGGTCGTTATCAGTAGTCGAGCTATAATCTAGTCACTATCAGGCATTCCACTTGCACTGTCCTACCTTACTCCTCATTTTCGCTCCCCTTGATTTCTTCTCACTGTTGCTAGTCAGGCGTCGCATAGCACTATCGCATAAAACAACTTGCATAGCGCCCCTCACTTATATGCATGTTTCTCTTGTCTAAACCCGCTAGTCGCTAGTCGCTGATCACTATAGCGCTACTCATTGTTTTTTTTTCTTTTTGGTCTTAGGTCGCTATAGGTTATTAGTCCTTCATGCTATCGCTCCCCTTGCATATTAGTAGGGAGTTGTTTCATTAGCAGTCCTCTTGGGTCGAATACTACACTTGCGCCTATTTGGATAAGTAGTGCTAGTTTCTAGCAAGCCTAGTTGCTATTTCTCTTTCACACCACCATCATTCCCTTCTTCTTCCGAGTCCTGTTCTTTGCCCTCTTCATCATCCTCCTCATCCTCTCTGAGATCCTGCCTACTTTTGTCAGGTGACTTGCTAGCATGCTGCTCGTGTGTGGGAAGTGCCCAGTTCCAACAGTGATTCACAGTATCATACAGTGACACTGACTTGGTTTTGCCCTTGTTGGTGGAATTTTGTTTTTTCCTGAAATTATGAAGGTAAAGTGGAGTTTTGGTATTTAAAGGAACAGTAAGTGAATTTGCAAGAGGAATTGTAGCGCTAAAGGTTTTGAATATCAAGGAAAGTACATAGCTGAGGTGCCCATCAGGTTCCTGTAAAATCAAACCATCGAGTTCCCTTTCGGTGAGTGCATCCATGGTAGGAACATCATTTATCTTGGGTGCAGACATCAGAGATGAAAGTTTCATCCCATAGTCTACAGACTGAGGTTGGGCACTTGCGCGTGGCATGGTTGTTGAGAGACTAGGTGAACAATGACATGCCACTGCCAGCACTTCACACCACAAGACTTGTATTATTGAGGATAGATCATGTACATATTCCTATGCTGATAGAGGGAAAAAGGTATTTTTATCCCAAAAGTGATTCAACCAGAACTCCAATGCATGTTCCAAACTGTTGTATGCAGTGAGACGCATGTCCGCAACAGTGCCAAAATGTGGAACAAGATTGACAGGTGCCCTTAATTGAGAGACAGGTACAACATCCCCTATGCAAGTCCCATTAGAGCATTTTGCTCTCTTGAGCAAATGCAGCTGTGTGATCAGATCGCAATCACCAGAGATGTTAAAGCATTGGACATAAGTCAAGAACTGATCTTTCCATGTTGAAGGGGTGTCACGTTTTGCCATGGGATGCATGATAAGTCGAAGCTGTGCTACGGCGTGACCTGAGGAGATGGAAGATGAATTAGATTAAATTAGATTGATATTTCAGCATGAGACAAGACAGAAGCTTACCTGAAAGACCACTAGTCAGCCAGGAGTACCCTGCTTCAGTCTGGACAATGATTGTATCATAATGACCCAAAATCCAGGGGCTACCAGGTGGTGCACAGTTCAGTGTCTGAGCAGGTCGAATACTACAAGGATCATGAAATTCTGTGTCTTGAAGCTGGATTTTGATCCATACTTGGAGGTTGTCAAAAGGAAGTATAGCAGAATGTTCAGCTCTTCTAGGACCACCTATTGGATGAATGTATTGATGTCCAAAGGTGGCCTCACATTGAAGGTAATCAGCAATAGCTGACCACAGATCAGGAAGGCCAAACTTGTCAGCAATCTCATCAACAGTGACCTTCCTAATGGTGGGATCATAGGAAAGATGGAAGGCAGCATGTTCAATGATGAATGAGCATAGAGGTAAGGGTACCGAATCCATATGCTGGAGCTTCCTAGCGATAGAAAAATAGTCGGTGATGGGACATGAGTATCCAGATGAATGGACCGTAGACGGACACTCAATAGTCTTGTCAGCATCAGTGTCAACATTGTCTTGAGGGTCTATGTCGACATCCTGCACTTGTGAGTGCAAGCTTTGATCATGATCTAAAAGGTTGGTGGCAAGCTCGAATCAATGATACTTGTCGGCTCGGTTGAGATGTCAACAGATCTGCAGATCATAGTTGACATTGTTGCTAGATCTTGCAGGGTCCTTAATCTCTGTGATGTGTGCATGTTCGGTGATGTCTGCAGTCCATTGGCTCGTGATGCCACTGTTGTGAATGCTGGGGACAATGTTCTGCATCAATTCAAGCTTAGGTATATGCCAATTATTGATGACTTTATTGCACTGCCCCTGACGAGCCCCAGCAGCAATAATTGTGTCCTTCTTCACATGGAATTCATCCAGTGCACCAGAGATAAGCTTGAGATCATTCTTGTTAATGTGTGGCGACTGCACAAGGTAACGGAATTGCATGAGTGCATGTACTGCAGCAAGGACACCGGGGGGCGCTGCATCCACACTAACTGCAGTAATAGATCACTGGATGTCACAGTGACAATGACCAGTGACTTTTTTCAACTTCAATATCCCTTCATGAAAGTGCTGAAACCTGGTGATGGGCTGTAGAACAGAGAATTGAAAATCAATTTCAGATTCTCCAATGGATACAATGAGCCATTGGGCATCATGGTCATAGAACTCTTTATAGATGTGGTGGAGGATTTTGGGGGTAAGAAAATGGGAAGGATCTGCAAATATCCAGTCGCTCCAGAATGGCTTGTTGACACCATTCAGGCGAAATTTCTGGGCTTCACGGAAATAAGCCTCGAGATCATTTGGGTTAGCATGTGAGTGAATAACAGCGAGCTGGGCAAGAGTCATTGATCTTGTCCTAGGTTCATGCCAGAAGCTGTCTCCAAACTGTGTATACATCGCCATTGTCATGGGAGATGTTTTCCCCCCAACAGCCGCCAGCATCATTGCTTCGGGCATATTGACAATATAACTTGCAAGGGTAGTAAAGCAATAGTGACTGCGCCTGATGGGATCAGACAACATGATACCATGTTCAGCAGCCTGTTTCAGTGGATGTAAAATGATGTTGAGGCATTGGTGGATAAGATGATCCTGCAACACACCCTTCATGCATTTTTTCTTGTGAATGAACTTTGGGACAGGTAGAAGCACAGTGAGGACAAAAGAGTGGGTCGATGATTTCAAGCATGTGTTCATGTGTAGATTGGCAAGGCTGATGAGGAGTGGATGAGCGATGTGATCACCTGTCAATGATGAAATAGTAGTCTTGTCTGAGGATAAAATTGTGCTGAGGAAGGTTGCACCCACAGGTAAAGCAGACTTCAAGGAAACATGAGCTATTGATTTCGCCCTTCAATATGTTATGCACCTGAATTTCCAAAGCACAATCTCCTGTCATCCATTCAGTATATATGTGGCAGGCTTTTTGCACACAAGTATATACTCTGTGAGTGCTGTAGTCCATACAATCATGAAACAGTGGATGGTTGAAGATATTCAAGATGCACTCAAGAGGATCACGCCAGTACAGAACAACAGGCAACTTCATAGGATGCATTGTAGTGATCACTTGTGACTTCCAGCGTGGACCACTGGGCAACATTTCAGCTCAGCCCTGTAACTCTCTTGCTGAGCAGAACGATAAAGATAAGTCCTTGATCTAGATACTCTTAAATGTAAGCTGTAGCAATGACCTTGAAGTTGGGAGACACTCACCATTTCGAGGCCTAGAAATGCATCTATCTTCCCCATGCTTAATCCTGAGCGCAGAAGCCATGATGAAATTTGCCATTCTTTCTGAGAGCTGAAAGGATAATAGAGGTTCATCTTGTGATATATGCTGTTCTCATCGGAGTCAAAGAGACTCAAAAATGTGTATCCGTCCTTGAAGGCAAGCGGGGGATTGGGAAAATGGTCTGTAACTTCACTGCTCGCATCCTGTATTTTGTCCTGAGGTGTTCTCTCCATACTCTCTCCTTCACCAAAAGTGTCACCTGAATCCATGAATCCCACTGGTTCATAGGAGTCAGATATGTAAGGTTCAGTGATGTTGTCCACTTCCATGGCATGATCTTCTGGGGAGCAGCTGGATTGCTCAAGTTGGATCAGGTCATCGAGCCACATGTTACACCCAGATAAGGGCTGACTCATATGGTGAGTGACAGATGAGTGATCTTTGAATTTTTTGCCACATGAAGGACAATAACTTGAAGCTTTGGGCATGTCATCAATGTGCAAAGTCCTGAACAAGTCACAGGCCCAGCATTTTCTGATAATCCTTCTTCACATATTGCAATGACCATTTCTACTCTACAATCCTTATCAGTCAGCGCTTCTGGTTCATACTTGCAAAATCCTCTCCAGGCCTACCACAACAGCAATGGGGACTCTCGCGAGCCATGTCGTTCGAATCTGCACACCAGTCATCACACTACTAGTGGTATGTCCGATATATTGGAAGTTGTTGACAATTTCAATGCTATGGTGAGTCAGTCTTTCAATGTTTTCGTAAAATCTCAAAAGGATCAGCATTTCAACAGTCCATCAGAGATCCATCTGATGGTGAAGCAAACCTGATGATGGACCTTGTAAGAGCGAAGTGCAAAGTTTTCCAAGCTGAGAAGGCCCTCGCAGATTTGATACTACGAGAACATGAGGTTTTGTCAAGCTTGTTGAGATTCCAAGCTGAAACTGCAGGGAAGAGGTTGGATGATGCGGACCTTGGCCTAGGATATATGCGAGTTGCCTTCAAGAGGCACAGTTGGACTCCTCACACTCAGGCCCCTCTACCCGGACAAGGATGTTTGCATGCCGGTAAGCTTGTTATGATGGTACCCCAGGATGAACTGATGTCTGAACACATCACAGATAACTTAGAAAATGCATGGCATGTCACCACTCGGCTTGATTAATTCTGTTTGTTGTCAGTGCTTTCATCATTTTTTTCATATTCAACATACTATGCACTATGTAGATTCTTGTGATATCGTTTATATGTCCAAAATATATGTTGTTGCATTTGTTTGTAATTTTCAGCGCGCTAGTACTGCAAGTGATGTAAATATTTCGAAATATAGTATATACTACTACTAGTGTGATCATGGCACTTGCAACTTGAAGCCGAGATTGCTGTAATTGAGTCTACTACTGGTCAAAGCCTGGAAGAAACTGTGACTCTGTGAGTGACTGGAAGTAAGTGGTGCTGTAGCTACTGTATGCTGTGAGCTTTGTGTGTACTGTGAAGTTCTGTGGTTGGCTGTAGCTCGAATATAAATTTAAGTCTTCTGTAGACAAACTTGGTAGTTTGCTGATGAGCAGCTGAGAAGACTACATGCGAAGAACTGCAGGTGAGTTCATCAAATATGCAGGCACATATATGCATACTTACCTTCAAACGTGGTGCAGGAATGTCTTGATACTGCAATTTTCGATGTCATGGGGACTTCCATGGACACAATTGAGACTGATGATAGTGATGGGGGCAATGGTGGAGAAGATCTGCGAGAGGGTGAGAAGTTGCGATTTGTGTTTGGTGGTGACAAAGGAGTCCAAGCAATGCGCAACAAAAAGATTATTGATCATGCAGCCAATATTGTCTGGAATGAACAAAATGTGAGTGTTCAATGATCATCAAATACTATATAGAATTTGGAAAGGATTGTGATGCAGAGACTTGCACCCTCGGACACAAGGACATCATTGCATTCGCCAAAGACAAGTTTCTGAACTTGAAGGGTAAGTATGCTGAAGTCACAGACTCTTCTAAACGAGCAAAGTGTCAGAAACAGAAGGTGGTGAACAAGAGGAAGAAGCACTGTAAGCAGGTGTGTATATCCAAAATGAATGTGAACCTATTATATCACACCACCTACAGCTTTGCAAGGATTGAGCAGACCCATCAGTCATTGAAGCATACACCAAAGAATATGGTGCAGATCTGACACTTCTCTTGGAGACTGAGTACATGTCTGAAGAGTTATCAGAGCTCGAAACAGATAATGAGGAGGAGAAGAAGGCTCACCATAAGATCCTGTTGCAGAAAGCTGGCTTCATTGGGAGCGATGAAGAAGATGCTGTTGTGTGGGAAGTGGTTCGTCAGGAGTGGAGATCCAAGGATGTAGGACCGAAGAGACAAACTTACCCTTGCTGTCATTGATGTTACTGACTTTATGGTGTTAGTTCAATGACATCATGGAGCGGATCAACAAGATCAGGTGAAGGCTGTGTTGAGAAGCAAAGAACAAACGAGTCCATACTAAACGTGTCAACATCAGAACTATTAAAGACCACACACCTGAAATTCCAGTGTACCCATTCATGCTCAGCAACGACTGGCTGACCAAGTTCAACCAAGAGAATCCTGGCACTTCCCTTGATATCAAGACGTGCAATCCAAGAGGCTTTTGTTACAGTAACGGTTACCCCCTATCATTTTCTCTCGTTATCTTTCTCTGTATTATGTCATGACCGTACTTAACCGTGCCATCACTAGACTATTCTTTTCTTTTGCTTACTTGTGTATCACAGCGCGACCGCCTCGTGCCATCGTTAGCTGACATCATTTCTCTTATCTCTGACTCGTCTCGATGACGTCATTTCTCTTATCTCTGACTCGTCTCGATGATGTGTACGTACCGGCCCTAAAGCAGGCCTTACCTATATAAGCAGGGTCTTGTACTTAGCTAGACTTCACTTTAATCTACTAGGTTTTACCCAGAACATCCTTCGCTTAAGATCCCCAATCTTAAGCGTCTGTATCGATATTCAAGTCGGAGACACTCTCTCTGACTTGTCTTAAGAACCCTTACATTTGTAAGGTCACGACCCGACTTTAGACGTCACTCTTATCGAGTGTCTATTGTTGCGCCTATCCTAGTCGACCTACGGTTTACCGTAACAAAAGATTAAAGTCATTCCCACGACCCTCCCTATCAAGGAGGTTAACCAGAAACCCAGACGACCCTCTCCATCAGGGAGGTTAACCAGACCCAGCGAGAGAACGATAACGTTCCCCTGAAACCGAAACATCACTCGACTACACGTCAGGATGTCTACAATGACTACCACCGCCCCAGAATTGAAGGCCGGAGCCCCATCCACCTATGATGGAAGTCCCTCCCAAGCCCTACGATGGCTATATGCAGTTAAGGCGTACTTTGCGCTTAATGCTACCATCTATAATACCGACGAAAAGAAGGTCATCACCGCCCTTGCTTACATGACAGAAGGAAGCGCTATGGGCTGGGCGCTGACCTTCTATACCGAAGTTGATAACTCCGCCACTAAGGCTTACGGAACCTTCGCGAACTTTGAAACCAAGTTCAAAGAGGCCTTTGTACCAGCCGATGCCACCGGAACTGCCATGAACAAGCTCTGCACGTTAAAACAGACAGGCGACCTCGCATCCTATATCGCCAGCTTCAAAACGCTTGCCGCACAAGCAGCCGTGAAACAGGACGCTGTCCTTATTACATTCCTTAATGACGGACTAAAGAGGGGGATCGTTAACTCCGTCTACCAGATGGAAACCATTCCCGTAGATTTCGACAAGTATGTCACTGCCGTCGTTCGGTTAGACAGTAACTACCAGAGGGGAGCTGCGTACCGATCAAATCATCGTACCACTACCAAGCCATCGGGACAACGATACGTTCCCAGACCCTCCATCGACCGACACGATCCAAACGCTATGGAGGTAGACCGACTCACTGAAGTCGAAAGAAGTGACCACATGAAAAAGGGGCTTTGCTTCACGTGCCACCAGAAGGGGCACATGACTAAAGCATGCCCGCAGAAGAAGAAGATCCCTGTTCGCAGAGAAGAGATAAGCGACAGTGAAGAAGAAGATACAACAATCCGTCGTCTCACCGAGGATTTTTAATGTGGAAGACGGGATCGACGTCCGTATCTTCCGATGTACCCATAAGACTTGTACAGAGTATAGGAATAAGAAAGGAACTTCGTGTTCCCATTTCCCTAATCTCCAAGACACGTCTGAAAACCGTCGAAACAACAGCAGTCGTCGACTCCAGCGCCGCCGGAACCTTTATCTCAGAAGAATTCGTCAAGACTCATAACATCCGAATGCATAAACTATCGAAACCATTTCGGGTCACAACCGCGGATGGGAGTTATGCAAAGGGGGGCGCTATCACACGATATTGTGTCCTCATCGTCAAGATAGATGACCGATCAATGATCGGAAAGTTTAACATCACGCGACTAGGTCGACGTGATCAGATTTTACTAGGGATTCCCTGGCTACGCGCTATGGACCCAGTAATCCGATGGAAGGCAGAAACGCTAGAACTCTCTCGAACTGAGAAGAGCGATCAGATCGAGGAAGAAGTCGATCAAGAACAAAAGAAGAACAGACTACCTCCTCTCTTTCGAAAAAAGGAGACGAGAGAAGAACCAATCCCAGTTGTAGTGCTGCCGAAGGCGCCTCCTAGGGAAATGGTTGAACAAAGGCCACTGCATGCCACGATAGAAGAAATTGATGATGAAGAAGCAACCCCGTCAGCGTTGCCCGATCTAGACCCTATACCAGACGATGATGACGACTCCTTCGACACAAAGGATGATGTATGGACGACTGGTTACGCACCACCCATGCGAGAAATCTCCACCTACCATCTAGAAGATGATGAATTTCTAGTCGAATACCCTGCCGACGCTTCAGAACTCCGGGTAATCACCAACGTCTCACTTGACACCCCTTTGACGAAAGACGGGACTAGCATCGCAGAGCAACAACCCAAGATCACCCCCCTGACACCACCTGTTGAATACGCGAAGACAAGTAACAAAGCTCAGCAGTTTGCGCTAGCTGCCGGGCTCGAACAAAAGAGGAAATCATTCGAGGAACTCGTTCCCTCTTACCTTCACGACTTCGCCGATATCTTCGCAAAGGATGGCTTGAATCAGCTACCACCGGAACGACCTGGTATAGACCACCGAATAGAAACAAAGCCAGGTTTCATTCCTAAAACGTCTAAGGTGTACCCGCTATCTGAAAAGGAGCGGACAGCGGTTAAGGCTTTTATTGACGAAAACGTTCAGAAAGGGTTTATCTCCGAATCGAAATCACCACAAGCCAGCGGTTTCTTTTTCGTAGGAAAGAAGAGTGGAGACCTCCGTCCTTGTCAAGACTATCGGTATATCAATGAGTGGACCGTTAAGAACGCCTACCCACTCCCACTGCCACTCTCCCTGGTCGCTCGGTTACATGGTGCCAAATATTTTACGAAGATGGACGTCCGGTCTGGATACAATAACATCCGCATTCATCCGGAAGACCGATGGAAGGCTGCCTTCACCACAGAATACGGGCTTTTCGAGCCCAACGTCATGTTTTTCGGTCTTTGCAACTCTCCGGCCACTTTCCAGGCGTACATGAATAGAACGTTCCAACAGGAAATTAATGAAGGATGGCTCATCATATATATGGACGACATTCTCATATTCTCCAACGACCTCACTTCCCATCATAAATGTACCCGACACATCCTTGAAAGAATTCGACAAGAGAAACTCTTCCTTAAACCGGAAAAGTGCACGTTCGACGCGGAAGAAGTAGAGTACCTTGGGATGATCATTCGCCCTGGATGCGTAGCAATGGACAACGCTAAGACCAACGGTATTCGGGATTGGCCTACCCCCACTTCGGTGAAAGAAGTTCGGTCGTTCTTGGGATTCTGCAACTTCTACCGAAACTTCATTTCCCATTACTCTGACATTGCCAGACCATTAATTGATCTTACCAAGAAAGACATTAAATTCCTTTGGACCGAACGATGCACGTCCGCGTTTTCTGAACTGAAAGAATGCTTTTTAAAGCAACCAGTCCTCCGCAACCCTGATCCCGCCAGACAGTTCGCGGTTGCCACCGACGCCTCCCTAGTTGCCACCGGTGCGGTGCTACTCCAGACGGACGATAATGGTGTCTATCACCCTTGTGGATATTTGTCTCAGACGTTGAACCCTGCAGAATGAAACTACCAGATCTTTGATCGTGAACTCCTCGCGGTCATTCGCGCGTTGACCGAATGGCGTCATTATTTGGAAGGAAATCCCCATCCTGTCATTGTATTCACCGACCATAAGAATCTCCTTTACTTCAGGACAGCCCAGAAGTTGACCCATCGCCAAGCACGATGGCAGTTAATCCTGTCATGCTATGACATTGAGCTGCACCATGTTGCTGGAACTAAACTCGTCGCTCCTGATGCCCTTTCCCGTCGCCCCGACCATGGATCAGATTCCGCCGACGATAATACCAATGAAACCCTTCTACCAGATTCTATGTTCGTCCGACTTCTTGACGTTGAACTCATGACCACCCTGGTGAACCCCGATCCCTCCGACCCTGACCCCATCTTCACCGCCGCCTCTGATGCCCTGGATGGCATGTCCCTTCCTCCCATGAAATCCGCCCTCTCCGATTGGAAAATCACTGACGATATCCTTTATTACAAGGACCATGCCTATGTACGCCCCGCCGGCCAACGCCTCATTTTGGAACGATGCCATGACCACCCCACTGCCGGCCACCCTGGCCGTTTCAAAACAGAGGAGTTGGTTAAGCGTGATTTTTGGTGGCCCGCTATGGGCACCTATATTCGTAAATACGTTGAGGGTTGTGCTCTTTGTCAGCAGATGAAATCCGATACTCATCCGACGACCCCCCCCCTTGTTCCCATTCCTTCTGTCGCTGCAGCCCCTTTTACTCAGGTCTCGGTCGATCTTATCACGGACCTTCCCCCCTGTGCAGGTTTTGATTCTGTCATGGTCGTGGTCGACCATGGGCTTATGAAGGGGGTAATTCTCATCCCATGTACCAAAACCATCACCTCTGAAGGAGTCGCCAACAAATTCTTCAAATACGTCTACAGGCGATTCGGCCTACACGAGAAAGTCATTTCAGATCGCGGTCCACAATTCATATCCAAGTTCTCCCAGGCCCTTGCCAAACTGCTGAAATACGATATAGCGGCATCGACCGCCTACCACCCCCAGACTGACGGACAGACAGAATGGCTCAATCAAGAGCTAGAAATGTATCTTAGAATCTATTGTCGAAACAACCCCGAAAACTGGGTAGAGCAGCTCCCTATGGCGGAATTCGTCCATAATCATCGCAAACATGACTCTCACAATGCATCCCCATTCTTTCTTATGATGGGATACGAGCCACGAGCCCTTCCGCATGTCCTCCCCAGTTCTACAGTTCCAGCCGCAGAAGACAGACTCCGCATGCTCCAAAAGTCCAGAGAGGAAGCACTCTCTTGCCACAACCTTGCGATGCAACGAATGGCAGAAAGAACTCATGGGCAGAAGTATCACCCTTGGAAAGTTGGAGATAAGGTTTGGTTATCCGGGAAGAACTTAATCACACAGCTACCTTCGCGAAAACTCGCCCCCAAACGATATGGCCCATTCCTAATCACCGCCGTCCTATCCCCCATCACATTCACACTCCGATTACCACCCCAGTGGAAAGTTCACCCCACGTTCCATGCTTCCGAACTATCGTCCTATCACGAGACAGAGATTCACGGACCGAATTTCCACGATCCACCCCCTGACGTCATTGATAACGAAGAAGAGTATGAAGTTGATGCGATCTTATCGCACAAAGGAACGGGTAAAAGAAGATGCTATCTTTTATCTTGGAAAGGATACTCATCAGCCAGTAACGAGTGGGTTCCAGAAGAAAATCTCGGTAATGCCTCCGACGTCCTTGACGCCTATAAAAAGGCCCACGGATTATAGACTCTTCCCCAGAATGTCCCACCTCGAACGACTACGCCTTTGTATACTCCGTATTCAAGAACTCACAGCGGCTATGGACAACGTTACTGAAGGAAACGCCCACCCCCTAACAGTTCTCGATTATCAGACCGCCACCGCCGCTAACCTTGCACAACACGCATCCCCCTCTGAAATATCACCACCTGCTTCGGATTCCACCCTCACTCTCACCGACGACTCCACCCTCACAGACTACTTCTCGGTCATTGACCAAGTCGAAACCAGTGCCCTGTTCGAATCCGCTATTACCTCGCAGCAGTACACTATTGAGATAGACCGTCTCCTCGGAGAAAAAGGAGCAATCTCTAGCGGCCTCATAATTAGGATTATCAGAGATGCCAGCCTCATTGAACGCACCGCCGCGCTTCTTGATGATGAACGTCATCAAACTATCTTTCGTCACCTCCACATATGCATTCGTAATACCGCAATTCGTCTTCTTCCAGAAGACACCAGGGACGCTATCAGAGAAGCCATCCATATCGTCACCGAACGAATCGCTCTCGACCCCATCGCTAGACCACCATCACCCCATGTCGCCATTCCCGTACCACCGCCAGCTCCTGCTGCCACTACCGTGGAGCATCAGGATAATAATATCCCTCCTATTGCCGTACTTAGTGTACCAGCTTCTCCTTCACCTGACCCAGTCGTACGAACCACGCGACGACTCCCGCTCAAACGAAGGTCGTCCCGCCTCGCTGCCAAACGAGCCGTATCCGTCTCCCCCACCAAATCACCACTCAAACGATCATGATCACCATCTCCCCCAAACCAGTCCTCATCCGTCACCATCGTAAAAACGTCACCGGTCGACAATGTCGTATGTCGTAACTGCCGCATCGCTGGTCATCGACACAAGAACTGTCCCGCATATTACTGCAGAGTCTGCAAAGAATACGCGCCTGGTCACCTGTCAGTCTTTTGTAAAGACTTGAAGGGAGAAGCGGTCATTCCATTAGTATGGACTGACGTCGGTTTTTATGACGCACTTGCTTGTTGGGAGATTGAGCAAGACGCCATCGCTCACGCTGAGCATTTGGCGCAACCCCTTACAATCACGGAGGAACAAGATGACCTCCTCGATTCCAACTACGACGCAGACCCCGTCTACTGGGCTAATCAAGATATGTGAAGTCGGTGACTTCATCGCTAAACGAGGGGTAATGTTACAGTAACGGTTACCCCCTATCATTTTCTCTCGTTATCTTTCTCTGTATTATGTCATGACCGTACTTAACCGTGCCATCACTAGACTATTCTTTTCTTTTGCTTACTTGTGTATCACAGTGCGACCGCCTCGTGCCATCGTTAGCTGACGTCATTTCTCTTATCTCTGACTCGTCTCGATGACGTGTATGTACCGGCCCTAAAGCAGGCCTTACCTATATAAGCAGGGTCTTGTACTTAGCTAGACTTCACTTTAATCTACTAGGTTTTACCCAGAACATCCTTCGCTTAAGATCCCCAATCTTAAGCATCTGTATCGATATTCAAGTCGGAGACACTCTCTCTGACTTGTCTTAAGAACCCTTACATTTGTAAGGTCACGACCCGACTTTAGACGTCACTCTTATCGAGTGTCTATTGTTGCGCCTATCCTAGTCGACCTACGGTTTACCGTAACAGCTTTAGACCCATAGACAATCAGCCAGACACTCAAGAACAAGATAACCATGGCCCTGGCATAACTCCCAAATACAGTGGTGGAGAAGCGAATCATGGTGATGATATGGATGATGGTGACATGTAGGATACACTGCCTTCTTTCTTGCTGTTCTGTGTGTTGTGCTGCTGCATTGTGTCATGCTAGAAAATTGAAACTTCCTATATTTGCGTTCATTTGTGTTGAACTCGTGTGATGAATGACGCTAAGTACTCACTCAACTAAGCCAAATCATTACCCACATCTTCTGTACCATTTCATCATTTTTCTTTGTGATTGACACTCGACAGACTTGGGAGATCAGGTGGGATGGCAAAATAAAAAATTGAGGACCATCAACTGTTGGATCAAGGAAGACTTCATGCTCCCACAACTGAACTTCGAGCTCCAGACTGCAAAACAATTAAAAATGTCCAACATATGAATGAGTTTACTTCACTATTTAACCCAGTCCCTCATGTTGACATTTAGCTTCTCTTTGAGCCACCTGATCTTGAGAAGGGTTATCTCTCGTGATATGTGATGCTGTGCATGAGATATTATAGACATGACTTGCCCAACATAACATCTGCCTCCAATATCAGCTTGTATGAGAGAACTTGATGCATTATTCAGTGAGGAAGATGGAAGGATGCGACGTCCATCAACAACGATGTGCATGAAAGTTCGAGCACGGCTATTGAGGAAATTTGGGTCAATTGTGTTGGTTGATGCTGCATGTGAGACAACTTTTGCGTTAGGGTACAAGGATTCATAGAACTTCATCAGGTGGTCTTGCTGCTGCCGAGAGAGAGTTGTGAAAGCAGAGGCACCAAGTGAGAAATGTGCATCAACTAGTAGATCCCCATCAGGTCAGCATCTAGGGCAACATGCATTGGAATGACATACAATCTTCTGTGGCTTGATCCATTTCATGAGCAAGAGAGGCTACCATCCGCGTGTGTCGCCATCAGTGGCCAAGATAATTCTGACAGCTTCTGACAGCAGCTCATCCTCGGTCGATGATTCTTGCATGTCAGATGCAGCATTTAGATTTGCAAGCTAAGGGAAGAATAAGGATTAAATTTGATTTTAAATATGACATACCATATCACACAATGCAACATACTTCTGGAATGCACACATGGATGTAACTTCAATCTCGCCATTGCTGTGATTATTCATCAAGTAACTCTTGAGGACTTTGTTCAAGCGCTCGAAGAGAAACATCCAAAAGTTGTACACAGGTCTGTAGTCTTGTAGTTGATCGAAAATATAGGTTACCCAATGATGCGTGGGCTTTACATCATCAGGGTAAAGCTAGCAGCCCATGTGTGATCATACTGGACATGCTTAGAGAGTACCTCAGCACACCTCGAGATATTCCATAAGGTAGTCACAGAGCAATTCCTTGGCGTGTGGAATATCAGCATCTCTGAAGGAACATCTGAGGATGATTTTGAGAGCTGCAGCAAGTTTCAAAAAATTGTCAGGAGCCAACAGATGCATCTGAGGAATGGGCTTTGTTGATGGTTTGTCATCACCCTTTTTCGCTTTTCCAGCGGTGAGACAAATGAGTCATTATTTCTCTCTGTTCTCCCAGGACGTTAATGCTTTCTTGTATGTAGCATTGACCTTTGGGTACCACTCCTGCCATAGAAACGGTATCTTCCAGGTAGCAGAACTAGAATTAGCCTAGCCCTGTCATATGCCATTCTGGACTCTCAACTCTAAATCCGCTTCTCTGGATATCCGGATCTCAAATGATCTGATCTATCTTTATCTCCCTTCCAGAATCCAAACCCTATATCAGCGCCCAACTCCATTTAGACTGCCCCTGTCTCCAGACTCTGGTTAACCATGTTTCCCTTTTGATTATTGATCCATTACATACATTTCATTTCCAGTGTTCATTATTTGTGATCCATCCTACTTACTAATAGACTCTGCATATGCTTCATACATAGCCTTTATGTTTGCTGACTGATTCCTATATGATACCTACAGTATATAAATCTCCTGTAACTCTCAGAAATACTCCAGTTCGAATATCATCTTAGTTCCTGCTCATTCCTGTGTCCTCTGGACTTGAGATAAGTCTCTTGTCATATTCCAAGTCTTAGGATTGCATCCTAGACTACATTTCTGACTCTACCTTAAAGGTAGTCCATCCTCTGTTAGTTTCTAGTCCGGACTTCATCCGGATTAGTCTTATCCACTTGCCAGGTAACATCTGGACATCCGTCGGATTTATCTCATGTTTCAGATCCAGATGTCCATTATCTGCCCTAGTCAAATCCCAGAAACTCTGGACAACTGTTCTAGCCCCCAGAAATTAAGGGCACTTACTCAGGAAAGGGGCACAGCATACAAGCTGAGGCCAAGCCCTTGTGATCCGACCTCCTTGAGCACACAACCTTAACAAGCCCCCATTGTGCCACGATAAGCTTAATATACCACAATAGGACAGAAGACTAATGCAAGTCCCTTCCACTCATCTGACGTCAACAAACCTCCAGCAGGATAGCCCACTTGTTCAGGTAAACGTCCAACCCAGTTGGGCATTTCAAATTGGTCAAACAGGCAGATGAGAAAAAAGCTTGAATGAATTGATCACATACCATCATTAGATAATCATGAATCTGATCCAGTTCATGTTTTTTTTTGTCAGTCTGCTTTCGTATGGTGTTGGTTTGAATCCACGAATCATACCAGTGACAACATATGATACCTAACAGAGTGCAAAATCCCTCTTCCTTGCGATGACCTCCAAACCCGCAGACTTTACAGAGTGCAGGGTGGTCACAACAGACAGCAACCAGGATCATACAAACTCAGCGGCCTGCAGACACATGGTGTTATTTGAAGCAACTTAGAGAAGTACTTGATGACATACCGCTGGGATAATTTGGCGTCTTGACCATGATTCTGTTTTCGTAGAGTGAGATTAAGTTGTCAATGTAGTTTTTCATGAAAAATTGCAACTCATCACTATCAAACTCTTTTGGCCCTGGTGTGATACCAAAGACCATCAGATTTTGTGGTCAGTATCTAGACAAGTGTTCAAAGTCAGGAAGCAAACATTAACTGTAGCAAGTACATACTGCAAATGTGTTGGCAAGTTTGCAATACAATTTGACAGGACGCCCAAGCTGTGCGTTCCTGCATTACAACTGCACTGATAACCAAATCTAAGATTATCAATTAGCAGAGAGTATAGTGTCACTAAAGAGGAACAATACCCATCAAATCCTAGTGTGATACCAATGCGAAGCTTGTCTTTGTTGGGACATTCTGGACTATTGTCAAAGAAGAGCTCGCCATCGTTTCCCTTGATGGTTCTCCATATCTCACCATCTTGAATCAAAGCACGCTTCCCAGGTTCTGGAACATGGCAGCGCCAAGCATCAAGTTCCTCCTCAATTCCTGTGCAAGAGAGAAGATGAAGGATCGCATTCGAGAGTGGATTCTGTGGACACTGTAGACATGGCCGTGGTTTGGTTCTTGATGTGCTGGGCTCAAATAAAGGTTCAGAGCAATTCAAACATTTTGCATCACCTTGAGAATCATGAGGATAAATGTGGTGGCAAACTGGGCAAACCAGGTGAATATCAAAGTTATCCTTGATGTCAAGGTGGTTGAATATGGTATTGAGCAACCCAGCCACCTTCTCGTCAGGTGTGAGTACAGTAAGGCCAACAAGGATATGTCTCGTGATCTTGAGAATAAGAGTGCACGTGAGATGCAGCAGATGATAGTGAAAATTTAGCCACACAATGAGCAGCAGGATAATTTTCCAAAACCAGTGAGGGGATGCTGCAGCTAAGACTACTGAGGGGGGATGAGGAAGCTCCAGCACTAGCTCCCCTTCGACAGCTGTTTCATGGTGATGGCATCTTCCAGGTGCATCTGCGGATTGTGAGTATGGGTGGGCACCACTGGTGCCTGTGAGCCATCATCATCTATTCCATTACTCAGCTCAGTTGCACATATCTCTACCATCTCATGACCACCATCGAGAGACATCAAATCATCCTGGCCATCGTCAGGTATAAAATTGATGTCAACATCAGTGTCAAGTGCAGCTGGCAGCTCCTTTGATATGACACTGCATAAATCATCAGCGAAGTCATCATCAGCAGGCAGGGTAGTAAGCTGGGGGTCTGGAGCCAAATCCCCAGATGCAGAGACTCCAGAAGTCTCTCCGATCATTCTTTCAACACTAGGAACTGCACTTCCAACATCAGGCAGGTCATTCCAACTCTCGCCAACATCAAGACCATCTACATCCATATCAGGAGCAGACTCGAGCTGCTGCAGAGAGCGTGAATGACGCAGCTCAGGTGGCTCAGACAATTGAAAAGGATGGTTGTGTGTTGCTGTAGCTGATCAGGATGATCCATCCACCAAAACATGGTCAGTCTCCACTCACCTTCAACAACACGCCAAGAAGGCCCTGCTTCAGGTTGCTGCATTACCTGGTGTGCAGCAAGTGTTTCGATGGTCTTGATGGACTCCAGACACATTCTGGGGGCCTTCTTGCGCTCCGCCTCCTTCTTGCGATGTTCCCGTTCCTTCCACTTCAGTACTGACTTGCCCTTGGGCCTACATTCTCCAGTACATTCGGAACACTTGCAAAAAACCTCAGTTTTGTGATAAGTCGCATACTAGTTGATTTTCGTCAGTAACAGCGAGATTTCTCAAACGTGAAATGTACTTACATCACCTTTCATACTTCGATTCTTCTCCTTCTTGTTCTTGGCCATGTGCGAGGAGTAGTGGATGTATACCTCGGGACTTCGTCTTCTTGTTCTTTGACATAAAAAGTCGAGGGGTAGGCTGTGGTGGTTAAGGGTGAAAAAGACTTAGAAAAATCAACGAGTTTTTGGTCACAACGACATGTATTGCGCATCTAGGTACTACCTAAGTACAGAAGAGATCCGCACAAGCTGTTTCCAAGACGCCGAGATCAGGTTGCCACGGAATGCGTGAACTCATGATGGCTGCTTCTCCCCAGAGGCTCCCCAAGGTGACCGTGTGTCGTGTACGTGTGTGTACATGTGTCGTCGGTGCCGTAGACCGTCGTAGACGTTGCTGGGATGAAGGTGGTCTGCGCACAGGTCAACGCCTCAAGGATGACTCAGAGTCCCCACGTGGTGCGCGGAACTGTGGTTACTATAAGTAGCTACCGCTCGCCACATGGCATCAGATACCGATTGGCACCAACAGGGACACCGGCTAATTTCTTGGATGGCGTGGTCGGGAAAAAGGTCATGTCCGTCTTACATCGGGCATCGATTATCGAGGTATCCTTTCCTTTGCCTTCTATGAATCTAGAGCCGAGTTTACGTGTGTAGGCATTCTCTCGTGTCTAGATGGATATATGAACATTGCGCTGGAGCAGACGGAGAAGCATATTGATGGTGCAGTCATAAGTAAATACGAGGACGTGTCCATTTGCTGGAATAATGGTAAGCCGTCCGTGAATGTATGGCTGGATATGTTCTGATGCGTCCTCCTGTGCTACTGTTGTACATATCTACTGCAGATCCACTATAATCACAACGTTGTACTGTACGAGCATCGCCAAAATCTACGGGAGTAATGTGTGACTTTTCATGTAAGACGTGACTGCATTCCCCTGCTCTCGGCCTTTGATTTTTGCACATTATTCGATGAAGGATCTATCGGCGGACCTGCGCAGTGCCCATCTCATCATCGTTATTCTGGATAGGTGAGGTTTGTATTGAGATCCTACATTTATGGCTCCCCTGCTGTCAAGACAATTAAATTCTTTTTCTCGCCACATACAACCTTCATCTCAGAACAGTAGTAACAATCTACGCGGATGGTACCTTGCTCTTCGAAATCTCTTTTCCGAGACTATGGGAAATACGGAATTATTTGCAGTCACTTTGAGTTCGGGTGAGGGTTAGTTTATACACTGGGGTAAGGTATATTTGAGACGTGCACCCGTGGTTAGACAACACTACATACAAGGCGAGTAGTTGTATAGAGCGTGCACCCATCCCTTCTGCATGGTCTCAAACCCTCGATGCCGCCTCCATGGTACGTCCTTTACAAACACTCCAAAAGTGCTCCCATCCGTGACAACCTCTCTTGCTCTAGCCAGCACCACCGTGTCCAGCACCGATATCACAAACCCCTCTAACGGGACCCAGTCATACAGATTGATCAATTCGTCGAGGGAAGTCAGGCGGGATCTGAAGTCGGAAAGGAAGAATATACACGGGAAGGTTTGGAGGTAAATCGAAAGCGGTGGGTCGGCTGCAGGATTTGCGGAGTTGGAAGCGATGTAAAGAGGGGCATTTAGTCCTTGCAACGGTGGAGAGGTAAGCAGAGGTGCATGTCATCGGATCTTGGGTTCGAACGTATGTGGGAGAGAAGGCAAAGATGGATGAGGCACCCCGAGACTCGGTACATCCGGTTGAATATGTGGTGGATCGGGATTCTCGTCGAAAGGACTGAGCTGCTGTTCAGTACCAGAGTCTTTCAAGATATAGTTCACAAACAAGGTGCACGAGTTTCCACTAGATTGTTCTTGCATTGTCAGGCCTTCGTTGTTCAAACTGACCGTCCCCGATACAAAGATGCACACTTATGTAGACAGCACCTAACATTCCATGTATCATGTCGACCACGACACAGGCGTGGATTCACAAACACCATTCCGCCCCTTACATCTCTGCGCATGCTCTTACTCACACCCTGTTTCAGCCTAAGCCTCCACGACCCAAACAACGTTCCAATCTGCATCAATCCCTCGAGTGCCTGAACAAGTGCCAGGATGTGAATGGAATAGAGATACTTGTCCCGCGTAGGCAATACATCATCAAACGTGTCCAAGAACCAAACATCGCAAGGGCCCGAGTCTTGCGGCATCAGTGTCTGCTTCAAATATTTTTGAGATTTTCTCATATATTGTGCAACTGGGCTTCCGCATGTTCTCCCCTGGTGTTTCTACAGTACTGCTTATCGACAGCGTTGGGTATAAGCAGCCCCTGCTCAGTGGGTTGGTGGATGAGCTTTGCTTCTGTCTAGATATTTGTTGCGATGCGGCGCTTACTGAGGTGTGGTGCAGGAGTTGAAGAACATGGGCGCTTGAAGGTCCGGGTCGAGTCGCAACAGTCGTGAACATTAATATTTGAATACACCGTGAAGTCATCGAGCAACGAGAGTAGACAAAAACGAAAGCCAAAACAAGATAGCATGTAAGTACGCGATAGACGAATGTAACAGGCTAAGTCAGTAGCAACAGCTTGAAGTACATTGGGGACGAAAAAGAACGCGATACAAAGAACACGTGAAACCGTACCAGATGAAGCAATACAGCAGGAACTACACACCGATATGAATAAAAACCATCCTCTGCTCAAGCGGGACTTTCGTCTTCACAGCGTGCGTAGCACGGTTGAGTGCCCAGGCCGCCTTCGTACAGTCCATGACACCACCCTCCTCTAAACCATCGAACAAATTCTCGTAGAATGCTTTGACGACGTGCTTTGCGACAAAATCATCGACCTCCCACAGCGTGCCAATGACGCTCTTGAACCCTGAAAATTGGAGACCAGCTGCGAGGTGAATCACCTCGTCGGGCGTCTCCTTATCGCCGACGGCGGTGTGACAAGCGGACAAGAATGCGAACTCAGCATGCGGGACATGTTTCTCCATGATATCGAGCAGCGTCAGATGTTCGTCTTTCATGACGAAGTGGGAATTGTAAGGCTGCGCAGGGTCCTGCTTGCCATGGCAAGCGAGGTGCACCCAGGTGTTCTCTTCTAAAGCTTTGAGTGCACCTGCTCGTGTGGCTGCGTCACCAGAAATAGTGGTACCGTTGGCCGTCGCAGGGACGAGCTTATGGACAAGCTCGAGCTCGCTATCGACAGCCAAGAGCGCCTTGCCTTTCCCCGTGCCCGGTTGACCCTGTCCGATTGTCACAAAGGACGAAGTGACGCGCTTCTTCATCATCTGTCTAGATCTAACGAGAGCCGAAAGTGTCGGCGTGTAAGAGCAGATGTAGAGATCCTCCAGGCATGGCTCTTTAGAGCGATCTGCCCTCGTTTGAAAGGGGTGAGCTGCATGGAGAGGAATAGATGTGAAAGCTGCAGTTGGACATAGCCAGATTCGAGAGCCATGCTTTAGCTCAAGGACATGTTCGAGTACGTTTACGATGGGTAGCATGATCTCTTCCCATACTGTCCGCAAGAGGACTATTAGATCGTTCCGAGGCAACTTTGGGCCCATGATGGATGCGTGTCGTATGGCCCTGGCGAAGCGATCCTTGAGATTGTTCAGATCAGTGAGGGTGACAGACGGCAAGGGTACATGATGGGGCTCCCCCAACGTCGGAACGATGATGGCGCTGCACGAATATTGACTGGCAATGAAGATGATGACAGGGCCCTGGCGTGCTGCCGCTTGCAAGTCTTCGTACGAAGGCGGGAGCAGGAAGCGCGAGAATGCTTTAAGATCACGGATTTCAGTCACTGCAGCGTCCCATTGCCTTGTGAGTATTCTATATTCTGTTGCAGCCCGATCAGCCGCAGTTGGGTCAGCGCTGCCTGCAGAACCCTGAGCATGAGATAGGCGCATGTTGAGCCCCAAGAGCTTTTCAGCTAGTCCCGGACTCGCAGACGTCAAGTCTTCCAGTGGAGTCCTGAGTCGAGAGGCCAGCGACCACTGCTGGCCACGGCCCTGCTCCACAAGTTCAACTGCCTGTCGTAGATTGTCACGACGTATGGCACATGAGGCCGCATCTACAGGGAGTGATTGTGCACCAAGAAAAGCGGTTGCAGCCTCGCGCCGTGAGATGATCGACGATCGCGTCATCACGTGGCTTTCGAAAAGCTCGAAGTACATTTGGTATGCTTTGAGGGCAGATTCATGTTGATAGACTTCTGCTTGATGAGCCCAGTCAATAGCCTCCTTGATGCGTTCTGGAAATCCTTGAGTAGGATGTCTTGATGCGAGTCTAAAGTTCTCTATAGCAAGCGACAAATCAGCAGCATCGCGTAGAATCCGGTAACGAGACAAATAAGCCTCCTGCAGCCACATGTAGCTGAAATACCTGTCCGGGTGCAGTGAAGACAGAGCTGCCAATGACTCTCGGCAAAGATTAATCGCCTCCTCGATATCTTCATTCTCCCGAGTTTCCGTGAAAAGAGAGCAGAGTGCCGAGCTCAAATTGTGAAGAGTTCTATGGCGTTGTGGATGGTCATGCCGCCGTAACCGAAGGGATTCGCGATACTGATCAATGGCCTCGTTAAGATCCTCAATGACATTCAGTTTTTTGTATCTGGTGTTGAGCGCGAGGGCAAGGCTGTTAAGCGTGGTATCACGACGTGGATGCCCAGGTGGGCACAATGTCAGTGCCTCGCGATGGAGGCTGATAGCTCGGGTGATGTCATCAATGTCGCCGCGTTTGTTGAAACGGCTGATGAGGGCGCCCCCTAGGTTGTCCAATGAGGTATCACGATATTGGTGCCCAACAGGGCACAGGCGCAGCGTTTCTTCGTACAAAGAGACGGTCTCATTGAGGTCATTAGGTTTGCCTTGGTGATTGAAGCGGTATCCGAGCGAGAAGGCCAAGTTGTTCAGGTAGTAAGCACGGTCAGTATGTCCCTCGGGGCATAGAGACATAGCTTCACGACCAAGTTGTATGCTCATTTCAAGATCATCGATGGTGCCGTGCTGATCAAAGCGTGCTTCGACTGCTTGTGCAAGCTTGTCGAGGGTTCCAGGACGGTGTTGATGGCCCAGAGGACAGAGCTCGAGGACAACTCGTCGGAGGTGGATGCCTTCATCAGATGCGTCTATCGGAAGTTTGTTGCATCTGTTGATCACATAATCGACACCATTTGTCCCTGCCGCGATGCTACGAAGGTAGGTGCCCTCTGGACAGAGAGGCAGTAGCTCATGATAGAGTTTGGCGGATTCGCAGATGTCGGCAGCAGTACTTTTCTTGTCATGGCGCCAGTTCAGCGCTTCAGTGAGATTATATAGAGATAACGGATGATCAAGATGGTGCCGCGGACGCAATACAAGGACTTCGCGGAACAGCGAAGTGGGGGTATCAATATCTTCAAAATTGTCGCGAATATACCCCAGAAGGCGTGCATACGCAAGGTTGGTGAGGGCTGCTGCGTGGTCGGGATGGCTGACGGGACACTGGTCTAGAACCAACTGAAAATGCTGCACCGCATCGTTCAGGTGAGAGACCGTCTTGCTCGCGATGTATGCGGCAAATTGTGCGTGGCCCGCATCTGTGTCTCGAGCGATCTTGCAGTCTACGAGGGACTACGATTGGCGAACCGTCAGCAAAGCTAACAGTAGAGACCAGCGTCACTTACATCAGACAGCACGCCCTCCTGATCGTCGCAAGCATGTGCAATGGTGGCCCTCAGCGTGAGGGAAGGGTGGACACCACGAACGGGTGGGAAGGACAAAACTACGAGATGTTGGTATACGTGCATGAATGAGGAGAAAATGACTCACCGAAAGGTTCATCTCCATGATCGAGTAGCTCGTCCCACGACGTTTGGAGTTTCCCAATGACCTCTCCACTGCCTAGCATTCGACCGGCCTCATATGACGCCCAGATCTCCATTGATAATGCAGGTGAGGTATGGGATGATCTAGAAACAGAAGATCAGCTCTCGCATCGCATCGGAAAATCTTCTTGGACTTTACAGAGTCACAGTGTCGCCCCACGCTGCAGACTGGTCAGATGATAGGACACTGATGGCCGATTTCCAGCGTCTATGGGAATCGACATTAGTGGATATGTAAATGCCTGCGGGCATGCGCTCGGATGGGACTTGAAGATTTTTTCCGCTGATGACTGTGAAAAGAGTGTGAGGATTGCGAAATGGATGCAAATGTAATATGGAGCGACCCACCTTCAAGTCTGATATATCGGCTTTCCAAGCTACTAGGCATGGTGGTGTGATGAAGCAAAATGACGAGGATCGAGGATGGACTGAGCGGCAGGCAGAATGGGTGAGAGGGAAAGGCGGGGGTAGGAATATAGGGACTGTGGATAGATGAGGTTAGGCTGAGGCAGAGAAGAAGAGGTTGAGGATTCAGGCTATGCTACACGTGTATTTTCATGTTGTCAATCGCAGTTCGGCACGATAGACGCTGGTATGATTCAACTAAGCGTTGAAAATGCCATGAAATCACCAGTAGGATTAGCGGAAGAATCTGTGCTAGAGAAGTATAGACAAAGTCATGATCAGTCTTCAGCGAAAGTGGCCCGCAAAGTTGAAGGGGACATGCGAGTCTCAGAGTGTCTTGTGATGGTTGCTAGTCGTACCACTCATTTAGCACACTTCAAAAGCAAAATGTAGAATCGTGTATTTCGTAAGATGATGGATAACAAAAATACAAACTGCTGAAAACGGAGCGCACAGAAAGTCGAACGATTCTATATGACTTGTTCAATTGTGAATGGTGGAGGAGGATTGAGCGTGACAATGTTGTAGAAACACCAGGGGAGAGCATGAAAGTCGAATTCATGGATGTGAAGACGAAAAGAGTGACACTGAACAGAGCCGAATTAAAACCAAGTCTTGCGGATACCTGGTCAGCCCAATGTCAACTCGTGTCTGCCGTTGAACAAACCTTTGAATGCTCTCCTCCAAGTTGCCAGCGCGAAAACCAAACAAGTCCAAATCCTTGACTTGAGTCAAACGCCTCCACCGCCAGATATCGATGCATACCAAACCCACCTCCATTAGCACCAACAGGGACACCGGCTAATTTCTTGAATGGCGTGGTCGGGAAAAAGGTCATCGTATGTCTTACATCAGGCGTCGATTATCGAGGCATTCTCTATGAATCTAGAGCCGAGCTTATGTGTATAGGCGTTCTCTCATGTCTAGATAGGTATATGAACATCGCGCTGGAGCAGACGGAGGAGCATATTAATGGTGCAGTCATAAATTGATATGGGGACGCGTTCATTCGTGGGGATAATGGCAAGTCATCCAAGGATGTATGGCTGGATATGTTCTGATACGTCTTCCTGTGCTACTATTGTACATATCTACTGCAGATCCGTTATAGTCACAACGTTGTACTGTACGAGCATCGCCAAAACCTACGAGAGCAATATATGACTTTTCATGTAAGACGTCACTTCATTCCTTTGCTCCTGGGCTTCGATTTCTACACATTGCTCAATGAAGGGTCCATTGGTGGATCCGTGTAGTGCCCGTCTCGTCGTCGTGGTAGATGGGTGGGCTGACTGAATTCTGTGTCGGAATCTTACATTTATTGCTCCCCTTCCATTAAGAAATTTAATATCTCCTTCTCGCCACACACAATACGGTCGTCTCGAAACAGTAGCGTCAGACTATGCAGATGGCACCATGTTCCTTGAATTCTCTTTTCTAATACAACGGGAAACATGGAGTTATCTGCAGTCACTTTGGTTTCGAGTGAGTACATTGGGGTAGGGTATATTTGAGACGTGCATCTCAAGGAGCGCGTGGCTAGACAATGCTACATAAAAAGCGATCGGTTTTGTCCGACGTACGTTCCAGCACTCATCCCCTATGCACGATCTCAAATCCCCAATACCGCCTTCACAGCACGTCCTTCATAAATGCCCCAAAAGTGCTTCCATTCGTGATAACAACCTCAGCAATACCATCGTGTCCAGCACCAGTATCAAAAACTCCTTTAATGGGACCTGGTCATATGGATTGATCAATTCGTCGAGGGGAGTCAGGCGAGATGTAGAATCTGAAAGGAAGAATATACACGGGAAGGTTTGAAGATAAATCGAAAACGATGGGTCTGCTACAGGATTCAGGGAGTTGGTAGCGATGTAGAGAGGGGCATTTAGTCTCTGCAACGGTGCTGAGGTATGTAGAGGTGCATGACATCGGATCTTGTATTTGACCGTATGCGGCAGAGGAACCAAAGGCGGATGAGATATCCTGAGGTTCGGTACATCCGGTTGGATAAGCGGCGATCAAGGTCCTGGTCAAAAAGACTGAGCTGCTGTTCAAGTGCCAGAGTCCCTTCGAGATCTAGTGCACAAGTTTCCACCAGATTGTTCTTGCATTTTCGGAGCTTCGTTGTTCGAGTTGGCCGTCCGTGACACGAAGATGCGCATCAATATACACAACGCCTAACGTTTCATATATCGTACTAGCCACGAGATAGATGTGAATTCGTAAATGCCATTCCGCTTCTTACATCTCTGCGCACCCTCTTACTCACACCGTGTCTAAGCCTAAGCCTCAAAGACTCAAACAACGTCCCAATCTGCACCAATCTCTCGGGTGCTCAAGCGCTCACACAAGAGCCGGGATGTGGATGGAATAGAGATACTTGTCCCGCATAGGCGATACATCATGAAGCGTGTCCAGAAACCGGAAATCGTAAGGACTGGAGCATTGGTGCGTCGGTGTGTCTGTGTCAAAGATATTGGCATGAAAACTTTTCATACGACTGGGCTTCCGTCCCATTGGATAATCTTGACTCCGAATTTCTCTCCTATTGCGTGTAAATCGATGAGCTGATCTTGCCAGATGCAAGTCTATTCTTCATACCCTGAACATTCATTGGGAGTGGGCACGTTTGGAGGGACAAGCAGACAGCGTTCAAGCTCGGTTTTAGACCCAAGCACAAGGAAGTGTCTGAAGTTTTCAAATGAAACATATAGAATTGGTTTTCTAAGTCTTAGAAAAGGAACAAGAAGAGTACGATTAAGTGGTCGAGAGAGTACAAGCACATTCTTGAGTGCGATGCGTTAGTTGTGTAATCCACTGTGGGGGAACTAGGAGAGGTATTTGGTGTCAGGAGCAGGTGGGTTTGCTTTTGGGAAGGCGTCAGTGGGGTGCGGGTGTGGTTGCGCAAAGGGAGCGAACCTGGTGGTGAATAAATGATACGCAAAGAAAAAGCATGTGACTGATGCGAAAGCTAGTACGGTGATGAGGATCGCGAGTGTTCTGTTTTGAGAGTGGGATGGCGGTTGTTTGGCGCTGAGTAGGCTTTTGCTGATTGAAGAACCTGGGCGTGAGCTGCGTGGTGCACGCATTCGGTATGCGCCTTTTTCAAGCGTGACAGACGGAGACTGGAAAGTGTATGCTGTGGACATGATGGATGTTGAAGATGACGTGTTGTTTGTGCTTGTTGAATTCAAAGGGCTGGCGCTGACGAAAGCACACGAGAACCCTGTCTCGCACAGAGCAATTCTAAGGGTTAACGTTTTTATATTCCGAGCAGCACCAGATTAGACAGGAGGAAGGAGAGAGCACAACACAGATCGATAGCTTGGAGTCTTTGGACCTGCAATCAAATGGAGCCATCATGATCAGGATGACAGAGATATTTTCCCCAATGCTTGCAGTGTTCGTTGCTCCATACCATTAGGAATCGATTGTACCTGTGGCAGTGGTGAGTTTTAATGGGACGGATGGTACCAAGTCACCTGTCTACATTGGCGATATCCAATGTTCAAGATCTTAAGATTAGTATTCCCATCGTGGCCTCTTGGTGCCTCGTGCTTCAATAATATCAACATATATAGTTTCACCCCCTGGGAGCATGCAGATTATTTACTGAGATCTACGACATTTTTCCTGTCCTTGAGGTCTACACCATTCCTGTCTCCAACCTCCATCAACCACCATCAGCTTTGCATTTCCTGTGCTTGGGTTTGAATTTCAAGAATGAACTGGAAAGAAATATGCGAGTTTCTCGGGCGCCATGTAGGGTTTACGAGGTTTAGCTTTGCATGTCATGATGTGGGGTTGTGGAACACTGCGCAGACACAGAAAGAAGGTAAAAAGATCAAAGAACCCAAGTGGTGGCGGCCACTGGAGTTTGTGAACGCATGTTTGGTAATCGATCTGAAAGCAGAATTTGAACACTGATTATCGATTATCTTCAATGCAAATTGCGGCGAAAGCCCGTAGTGCTGATCCAAGAGAACGATGAAACAGCCGCAACACTTGAAGGACATCTACCGAGAACATTCCAGGGAACAGAAGCTGACATGCATCTAAGGTTGTGATCATCATAATAGATATTCCAAAGTGCGTAGACGATCAGGCATATGTTATCTTCCTATCTACTCGCGGGCCCCTGTAGTGAAAATAAACTGTTATCAGAACTACGTCCCTGCCGAAGAAGGCGCTTATGATAACAGCCTCATGTCCGGGGTGTCTAATGAGACGTACGGAAGGTCAATATCAATATTGTGATGAATCAGTATAACGAGGTATTAAAAACGCACCGACGGTCTGCACCAGTGCAAGGCACCCACTTCAAGAAGTCTAAACTGTGCTCAATACCACCAACCTCCAGTCAAATGGCGCAGTTCATTCCAAGCACCATACCAGCTCGAGAGTTTGCAAAATATCATGATGGACCTGTGACTGCAGTCGCAGTTTTCCCCGATAGACGACAGATGGTGACAGCCTCGCAAGACAAGATGCTTCGTCTGTGGGACTTGAAGACAGGTGCTGTGTTGAAGAAAATGGAGCGGCATAGCGGCCAGGTGAAGACATTGGCAGTATCGCGGGATGGGCGATTGATAGCAAGTGGTGGTGAGAACGAAGAGCTCGTCGGCTGGGATGGTAACACCGGTGCACCTCTCACTCGACCCGTCAATGCCACTGCGGGTCGCCAGGGCGGCTTCGGTTGGATCATATCACTGGACTTTTCCCTAGATGGTGCAGCGCTGGCCACCTGTTCAAACGACAATACAACATTAACGCTGTGGTGTACACAAACATGGCAGGTTCAAGGACATATCAAGTGTGATAGCCAATAATATCCAAATATGGAAACCAGACTCGAGACAATATTGGAGCGCGAAGCCTGGGTTCAGCAGCTTCAGCTTCCAAGCAGTTGCCAACCTTGCCACCAATTCATTCAGATGGAGCCCCGATGCATTCGCATGGACCCCTGATGGCGCACTCGCATGGACCCCCGATGGCACACGCCTTCTGTCATCGGGTAAAGATGCTGATAATGATTCGACCATATTGGTGTGGGATTTATTGACCTATAAGTGGGTCGGTGATCCATGGGAGGGTCACCCCAAAGGTGTCAGAGCCATTGCTCTAAACTCTGATGGCACACTCGTTGCTTCTATATCCGGGGACAACTATGTCCACCTCTGGCGGCTCTCCGATCGGCGAATTATCGCCATATTCAAGCACTCTGGTGAAGTGCACTGTGTCGCATTCTCCACAGATGGCAGGCACATTCTCAGTGGAGGCACGGATAAGAGGATCTCACAGTGGCCTGTACCCATGACTGCTTTGCCGCAAGATGATCCCATTGAACATGCTATGACACACCCGGTAAGCTCGATTCCAATTTTCGGTCTCTTCTCTGTCTAATTTCGCATCAAGGCGGAAGATTCTGATTTCAAGGCATGTAACCCATCCTTATTTCCTTAAGCAACATGAAAACATGCTTCATGCAGATCCTTGTTATAAGTGAGACAGCCCGCAATTTATGCGTAACTGGAGACCTGCCTACCGCTGAAAAGTCGCTAACAAAAATATCAACGCTGATACCAATAACTACAACTTGTATGCCAATCGTGCAGTCGTTAGGGCACGAAAGCTCGACTGGGACGGAGCGCTTGGTGATGCAATTAAGGTAAGGTTCACAGACAATCACACCCGTCACCATTCTTTCGCATAGGCTAACTCGCATGGCCATATAGTCTGTCAGCATTCAGCCCTCGCTGAATGGCTATATCTCCAAGGGGATTGCTCTTTGTGGAGAACAGCAGGTTCGGGGCGCCAGGACAGCTTTTGACGTCGCATCCGTATTTGTGCAAGGGAATTCAAAGAGCACTCACCATCTTCTCTTGATCAAGGCAAGTATAATTTTTCTTACATCCTCCATGCTTCATCGTAGTTTTCAAAGGCCATCGCACTATTTAATGCGGGCGAGCATCAGGAAGCGTTGCTGCTTGTCGAAGAGCTGGCTACTGCTTGCCCCAATACTGATCCTCTCGTTTGTCGTATCATTGAAGTGAGAATCCTTCAGTTAATGAAGCCCAGAATCGGTGCTGACATTCATTTTTTCTTCGCTTTGTTTATCAGGCATATTTACATGTCCAACTGGGAACCATTGCTTTGGAAAAAACACATTACACCGAAGCTGTCGACCATTTCACTACTGCTGTCAACGCTAGTGCCGCATTTTCCAATTCACCAATTCATTTGATGTACGAGGAATTGGGCGTGGTACGTTGACATGATTCAACTGAAAATTATTTTCACGCTCAACTACATGTTTTGTTGCAGCTCTTCGGATGGGATCTCAAGTCCTTATGGCAGACCACAATACGGAAACGGTGCCATGCGCTCCTTCTGTCTGGTAGACTTGGAAAAGGCCTCGAATCGTACCGATCCATAATGGGAACGAATGATGAAACTACGAAAGGGAGCTTGCTTGCATGGTTTGACAGTAAGTCTTCAGTAATAATATCTATAGTACAGTCCTCATCCTCCTTTCGATCAGCTATCAAACAAGAATGAGACACGCAATATTGCTGCAGGAAAATCTTGCTCTCGTCATGAGCAGTTCCTCCTGCATTTTGATAACTTTGTTGTAACGTTAATAGTATATAGGCTTGAGGATGAGTCAAGGAACTGGGAGATTGCTGAGCCATTCACAAGTACGAGTAATCAGAATAAAATTATAAGTGCCCTATGATAGGCAATGAATATCGGATACCCCCATGACGCCTCGCTGGCAGGTCAGCACTAATGTCGAAGCGGTGTAAGCAATGCTACAAGTCGAAGCAGCCATCCGGAATTGACTAAACTACCAACTTCCACGAGTGCGCATATTTGAAGGATAAGTTGGTCGAGCCCTGCCTTTAAGCTGACATTGATTATATTGGCAGTGGTTGGTCGAGGTTCCATGGTGCAGGACTTGAACGCTTGAAGCTTGAAGGATGGTATGACTGGAAGGCGTGAGTCGGCCTGACTTGGCTCATACTCTCTAAGCACTCAAGTAGAAGACGAAGCTGCAAACGAGCCGAGTCAGGGTTGAGGGTTCAAATCATGCTGCACGTGTATTTCCATGTTGTCGATCACAATAGATGCTGGTAGGATAATGCTATGATTGCACTATGCGCTGAGAATGGGGATCATCGACTAGGATTAGCGGAAGAATCTGTGCTAAAGAAGTATGGACAGAGTCATAGTCAGTCTTCAGTGAAAGTACTTGGCCCGCCAAGGTCGAAGGGGATGTGCGAGTCTCAAAGCATCTTGTGATGGTTGCTGCTCCTGGACTTGTAATCGTACCACTCATTTGGCACATAAAATGTAGAATTGAGTGTATTTCCTAAGGTAATAGAAATACAAACAATGCAAACCGCTGAGGACGGCGCGCACAAAAAAAGCCGAATGTTTACATACGACCCATCCAATTGAGCTGACAGTGACATGGTGGAGCTCAAGAGTGTTATGGAAACGCCAGGGACAGCTTGCGGGAACAAGAAAGTTGGATTCATGAATGCAATATATAGTGAATACGAGGCTGCGACTTGGAACAAGAGTCAGCTAATAGCCACACAAAATGAATTGCTAGTAAGTTTTTACAATACCTGGTCTGTCTGCCGTTGAACAAGTGCTTGGTGCTGATATTCATTGCCCTAAGTCCACGGTCAACGTTTGAACTTGACATGGAGACAACGCCTCCACTGCCAGATATCGACGCATGCTCACCCGTGATCGCAGTCACAGTTTTCTGCGACAAGCATACGCTCACAGGCTCGTGCGATGAACACATGGTCATGGCTTCGTACGACGGGATGCTTCGTCTGTGGGACTTGAAGACAGGCGTAGTGTTGAAGAAGATGGAGGGACATAGCAGCCGGGTGCGGGCATTGGCGGCATCACCAGATGGGCTATTGATAGCAAGCGGTGATGAGAGCGGAGGCACGGGGCTCATCACCTGGAATAGACGAACAGGAACGCACCCGAGTCATTGATAAAGCCCACGATGGTTGAATTGTTTCGCTGGATTTTTCTCGGGACCTCAGGGTGCTGGTCAGTGGATCATTGGATGCGACCACGAAGATAATTTGATTATGAAGGCCAATAGTCAGAAAAAGCGGTCGAGTACACCATCGTCCACAAACTGCAAGCAAGTTCGAAGACGACCCTCAAGCGTGTTTCGATTCTCGAGCTCACTGCTTTCATTCGGAAATATGGTCCCACAGTCCCCAGCTAAAATTAGCTCCAGATTGGTCGTACATACCGCCGCGACGGTGCGACACGCATTGGCACTCCGTGGCATACGGAGCCAACATTCAATAAGTACTTAGATGAGTTGGATAATCCAACCCCACGAGTCATCACACGTATTATGATCCACGACAATCCACGACGTAGCTGCAATATCCCCAAAGCACGTTTATCATCAATCTTCAAATGCTGTCGACAAACTAATAGGTCTATTAGGTCAACGAGACCGCATGTTAGGAGTGCTTGATGTTGCAAAACAAGCTTATCTTAGTGTGCGAAGGCGAGCGGCACCAGTGCAGGTACCGCAGACAACACAACCGGCATCATCCCGGACGATTCGATGGCACACGAGCGCAGTATCGGCAGTGGCGTTCTTCAAAGACGGCCGACAGGTCGTCACGGGCTCAAGGAACCTGCGAATCTGGGATGTGCAGAACAGAGAATTGTTGGGAGGGCCATTCGAGGGACACAAGGACTGGGTGCGATCAGTCACCGTATCATCAAACAATAAACGAATTGCGAGCGGTGGAAAGGATAAAACCATCATCATCTGGGACGTTGAGAGTAGGCAGATGGTATTCGATCCGCTGGTGAAGCATACAGGCTGGGTGAATTCGGTATGCTTCTCTCCTGACGGCAGGAAACTCGCTAGTGGGTCGTTGGACTCTATGATCGTTTTATGGGATGCAGAGACTGGCGCTGTCCTCACAACACTCCATGGTCATAGCAGTTGGGCATTGAGTGTGGCATTCAGTCCAGATGGGCTAAAGTTAGCCTCTGGATCCTTGGATGGTACCATCCAGGTTTGGCAGACCAGTAACGCTGAGCTTCTTCTCGAGATCAAGGCTCATGAAGATTTGATCACAAGCGTTGCATGGTCACCTGACGGCCAACAACTTGTCTCCGCATCAAGCGACTACACAGTCAAGTTCTGCAATTCATCGAATGGAGACCAAATCGGTATGCCTTGCATCGGTCACACTGACTCCATCGACTCGCTCGCCATATCTTCTGATGGCTACTTTGTTGCCACTTCCTCGAGCGATAAGACTGCGGTTGTGGAGCACAAAGTCGCACCAGCAGATAGGACAAGCATTTGAACACACAGCCCGGGTTTGTTTTACCGCAATTTCTCCCAATGGAGACATGCTCATCAGTGGAGATGATGAGGGAAAGGTTCAACTCTGGTCTATTGAAAACATACTTTCTGTGGTATTCGCGCTGGATTCCTCGTATGACTTTTTTTTTGCGCACCGCAGTAAGGTGAAGCTGGAACAATACCTCTATCCAGAAGCCATTTCCGACGCGGAAATGGTGCGGACGATATCCGTCATTGTTTTCACAATCGTGCTAATACTGCTCATACGTAGTTCATTGAACTTAATCCTTCGTCTTATCGTGGGTACGAGCTGAAGCATGCAGCGCTTCACGGTGCACAACGTTATGACGAAGCAATCGAGGCTTTCCACATCATGCTCTCCAAGTTGGATAATGCACCCGAACCACAGATACGACGTAAGTCTCAAATATCTCGTGCGCTGACTTGAAGATCATTCCTTTTTGCAGAGCTGCGCCAGCAGTATGTCAGTCCATCCGGAGCATATGACGCCATTCGAAGAGCCATTCATGCTCAACTAGAAAACGCTCCACTTCGGCTAGTTGATACCTTCTCTGGGTATTTATGTGACCGACAAGGACAACTCGACGCTTTTATGACAAGCACGGAGTACAAGGAGGTCTTGTCGTCATCGACGACGCCCCTCCGAATGGAGTCCATCACGGGAGCAGTCGCGAAGTACTTCAGTTGGGTCATGTTATCACATAGATGGAAAAGCAAGGAGCCGCGGCTGCCTGACATTCAGGACAAGAACCTGTACACATTGGATCCAGTCGGAACCATGGTCAAGTTGCAGAAGTTCTGCGCAGTCGCTCGTGATGCGGGGTATCGCTGGGCGTGGGTCGATACGTGCTGCATCGACCAAAAGAACAATGTTGAGCTCCAAGAATCCATTAATTCCATGTTCATTTGGTATCGCCACTCAGCACTCACCATCATATACCTATCGGATGTTCGGGCTTCGTCGAAGTGTGGCGCACTTGCACGCAGCACTTGGAACACGCGAGGATGGACGATTCAGGAGTTCCTTGCTCCTAATATTGTTCTCTTCTACCAAGCAGATTGGACCCTATATCTTGACGACCGTTCGCCCAATCACAAGCAGTCTTTCACCATTATGCAGGAACTGGAAGGTGCAACAGGTATCAATGCGCGGGCGCTCGTTGCCTTCCGTCCGGGGATGAGAGACGCCCGAGAGAAACTTCGATGGGCGTCAAACCGTGTCACTACGTTGCAGGAGGACATCGCATACTCATTGTTTGGCATCTTCAGCATTTACCTTCCTGTAATCTACGGAGAGAAGAAACAAAACGCGCTCGGACGTCTCTTGCAGGAGATTATAGCTCATTCAGGCGACATTACTGCCCTTGATTGGGTCGGAAAATCATCCAAGTTTAATAGCTGTCTCCCAGCTGACATTACCTCCTACAAAGCTCCACCATGCAGGCCTCCATCTTTATCCGAAGACGAAATGCAAATATCTGTCACCGTGCTGCAAAATACTGTGGATGTGGAGTCGGCTTCGAAACTATATACCCTCCTTGACAACCTCAGTGCTCCTCGTTTCGCGAACTCCAGACTGCAACTCCCTTGTATCACATTTCTTGTCACAGAAGTCAGACGGAGGCGCAGTCAAAACCTGCAATTTTGTTTCACTTATGATGTCAAGGCAGACGGCCTCCAAGACCTGGTCATCACAACCGAAGACAAACTGGTTCAGTTCTCGCGGTCCAAGCCCAGTCGGCAGACATTCCTGCTTATTCGTCCATGGAATCGTCACGATCTTGGGCTACCCGACTTTGCAGATGATGCATACAGTGTGAACGAGTCCGAGCCCGAGTCCCTGTTGGATGATATGCCCAGCGACTCTCCTTCAGAACATGAACTCGTTGATTTGGGCTCTCAGTCACGAGAGTTGAGGCTGATTGTTAGCCTTGGACAGCTGCCTTTTGGCGCACTTTTGCTAGCACAGCAACGTGGTGGGGAGTACAAGAGAATTGCGTCGGATCACAATATCATGGCACAGGTCAAGCACATGGCTTCTGTGCACGATATGATGGATGTCAGGACACTAGAAACATTGTAGTCGCATGTATCTCGGGGAGAAATCCCCATCTGTATTTAAATATCGTTGATCCTGATGTATAGTCGAATCGTCCGCGACTGTCTGTCCACTGAAAATACGTAAAAGTCGTGCATCTAACCTATGTGTATAATCGTAGAATTGTCATATCCATACTGTCGTCAACAAGTTCCGCTTCGCAATAGTATAGTCTTGTGGGAGATCAAATGTAACAAACGTCTTGGTTTCAACCTTTTTCCAATCGTGACAAACAGAAAGAACCATTTTTGCAAATGACGACGTCCCCTTCAGTCGCGTTAATAGGTAAGCAATGCACGTTTTCGGAAGGATAGGATCCTTGCCTTCTCCTTGGATCATGGCATAGTTGATGATACCAAAAGAGTAGGCATATCGATTTGTCCCAGTCCTCTCAAGGACAGGAAAAGAAGGGCCTTCAATTGTCAAGCCACTGATTTTGAATGCCTTGCAACGAAACGTCGCACGATCTTGGATAGACGTCGCTGGGGGGGTTACTGGAGTGACAAGGTCGACCGGTATGACAAGGAGTTGGATACGCAGACCCCTGTTTGTCAAAGAGAACTCGCGTTTTTCATCTGCAAGGCTTCTGACGTTGTCTGGATGCCCAAAGTAGCATACTGGAGCAGAGGGGAACGCGCTGGACAGTCTATGTATCCGTGCGGGTTTTCCAGCCCAGTTCAGGACTCCTGGTTCGTTGGATACTTGCATGATTGCTTCAACAAGCCTGCAAAACGCTCGTTGGGCGCCTTCTCCGTATGCAATTGGAATGCTGACATCAAAAATTCCCATGAGGGAATAAGCTACGTCCTCGCTCCTAGTCGTTCTCCTGCGTGCTGCCCATACCATTCTTGTGTCAACCTGGAAAGGACCAGGGACGAAGGCCTGTAGATCTTGTAATGAGATACCGGTAACTTCTGCGATGGTTTCCATGATTGGCCGATTGGCAGCATGGTCGGCCTTGTCATTTGTGTAGCCTGTTAGCGGTGCCCAATCTTTGCGGAAGAATCTAATTGTATTGGGGGCGAGTAGCTCTTGTAAGGTCCATCCTCGAGTAAACCACTCGTCGTTATAAAATCCATCTATGGAGGTCGTCTCGGCAAGGTAGACAATGCAGATGGATGTATTGCGATACCACCTAAACATACATCGGAGAGACTCATCCAACTCTGAGCTGCTGGTCTTATCGATGCAGCACGTGTCTGACCAAACGAGCTCCACTCCATACATTTTGTTGGCGACCTCGCAGAACTTGCTCAACTTTTCCCAGCCTGGCCCTTCCAGTGTGTTGCCGCCCATTATGTCTCGAAAGCTTGGCTCCGAGTCTAGTGAAAGCCAGCGGTGCGAGAGGATTCCATAACTCAATTGTCTTCTGATCCTCTCCTCGATTGCTGCACTTCTCCCAAGTGGGTTATCCTGCAAATCTTCTTCTGTAATGTGGTCGATATGAGGTTGATAAAGACGCTTTAACGCATCTCTCTCGAGGAGCTTCATCTGCGGCAAGTATAACATGCGCACAGGCACTTCATCGAAAATATAACGGTTGAAGGCATCTTCAACATCGCGAAGTCCCATAGCCTAGCTCTTGTCAGGCTCGATCAGAATTCTGCATTTCTACAACTCACCACTTGTCCAGGACGACTCGGATGGTTAACGTATAGATAGGAAAGGATCGTTCCAAGGTTCGGATCAAAGTAGGTGTTGGACGTTTATGTGTGGTCTTTCGACCCGTTATTACTAGTCCAATTGAAGTCCTTCAACTGCTATATAATGACGCGTTTGTAGGTCGCGCTCAGTCACAGTGGTACGAAGCACTGGCACTGGTGTTTCTTTTCCAAGAGGATCCAAGCCACAGTGCACAAGGGCCGAGCGACAAAACGAACTTACATATAATTGGCCATGCAACCAACTGATGCTAGTTCGCTACCTTGATAGGTACCACAAATAACCTGATTGGCACCGTGACAACCTTGACAGGGCCGGGCCTGCCGGCATCATAATGTTGTGTCCATCATGGACATCGTGATGTACACCATATATCCACCCGCCACTGAACGATTCAAGGATTGTCAATCCAACAAGCGCCAGCATTCCTGCCCTCTCCATACCTGACGAGGTACCACACAGTGTGCCAGTAATTAGCTGGTAACCTGGTGTACTTCGACTGTTAGTGGTTCGTCTTCACTGATACTCTCCAGAATCTCTACCGAAGATGAGCTGATGTACATCTCCCGCAGCATTGCTACAACTTCAAAACTGTCATTGACCGTGTCTCAAGTTCTCCCTGCATCTTTTCGTAACCATGAAGTGAGTTGCCAACTGGGGGTGTCCGCGTGTCCAACTCGGCGTATCAGTAATAGTGGCTTATTCATTTTCCACAGTTCCAATCCACTCTCTACCTTACCCAACCTCACGAACCACATAATTACTCGCAAGGATTCATATCCGCAGCAGGGAGCATTTGGCAGTGTGTGTCAATGTGTTTGGCGCCCCGACCTGTCCACGGAACTTGAGGTACGAGACTTGTCAGTGGGCCCATCATGTGAAATTCGATCCTGATCTTCAAGGCAGGTCGCAGTAAAGACTATACGCGTGCCTCCTGAGAGGAGAAATGAAATCGTTGGTATCTTTGCGACGATAGCTTCAAAAATTTTGATCGTCCCACAGGTACATCAGGATTTAATCACATGGAGACGATTGAACCACGAAAATATAGTTCGTATTTTTGGAGTCGCATCGGGATTTGGCCATCCGACCAAGTCCATTCCCTTGGTGTCCACTTGGTCTCCAAATGGGACGCTTACTACTTTTCTTGCTAGTCAGCATGATACATTTAACCACAGACAACAGTTGGAGCTTGTAAGTATTCAGGCAGCAGATATGACCCGCATAAATACTTATTATTCATGTCAAGCTCCAAGGCATTGCAGCTGGCGTGCTTTACTGTATGGATATGTTTGCTCGCATGCCGTTTAAGAACCTAATTTGCTACTTCTCATTGTGATAGTGCATACATCTCAGGTGGTGCACGGTAACCTTTCAAGCGTAAGCTGACTTTGTGTCACTCTGTGCTTACCGTACTCATGATCCCAAACAGAATAATGTGCTGATTGATAGCCGGGGCAAAGCACGCCTCACTGACTTTGGTCTGTCCACCGTATGTGGTGGCTTAGCACAATGTGCTGTGTATATCGGATCCCCTGGAGCTATCCGTTGGGCTGCTCCGGAGCTCATCATTGGCGTTGGCCAGCATTCTACCTTTGAAAGCGACATATATTCCTTTGGCAGTATTATGCTACAGGTATGCTTTGATTCATAGGATGCATGTATAAAGTTAAGACGTACCCGTTAAGGTACTCTCTGGCGAACTTCCATGGTCAGAAGTAGCGGCCGAGCACCTATTATCAAAAAACTTACCGACAGGCAAATTCCAAGACGACCCTCGAGTGTCTCTCAAAACCATTGGGCTTTCATTCGGAGGTGTTGGTTGCCGAGTCCATCCTCTCGTCCATCTACCTCCCAAATTGACGACTTTCTGAAGAACCCCCAAACACATGGCAAGATAGATTGCCTCTGTCGTTGACAATATAATAATTCGGCATTTTAGTTTGGCGCAGCCCTGATTCAACCTTTTGTCATGCTGTAGGATCCATGATTCGCTGGATTACCACACGGATCGCTAGTCTAGCCCTTTATCGCCAAACGGAGCCCAGAAGTGATAGAGCCCCCCAACTTTTGAACAACACTGCAACTAACCCCGCAGCCATACGCAGGAATATTGAGCCAAGCAGTAATCAAGACGTTTTAATTCTGAACGAATATACAATCTCCGATGCGTTCGTTTACGACGACACCAGGAACAAAGATTTTGATGTTGAGACGAATAGTGCCAACACATCCACGCGTCCTAACTTGGAAAAAAAGGCTAAGCCCCAGGCTTTTGAGGGCGATCTTGTTAACCAGATTATTCGACTTCATGATTTTGCGGTATCAACCGGAGGGTTTCGTGACATCTGGCGCTGTGACCACCATTGCGCTGGTTCAGGGAAAGTACAGGTACATTCCATGTGCATCGCTATCATTAGCCATTGACTTGTTCGGCCTGTAGGTAGCTGTTCAGGTGATACATCTCGACTCCGCACAACCTGAGTTGCGAACGAAGCTACTTCGGCGGCATCAAAAGTGGCTCAAACTTGAGCAAAGAAATCTTGTTCGCTTCTTTGGCCTGACCTCCAGTTTCGGTGTCTTTCCTGCCTTGGTCACCGCATGGATGAGACAGGGAACTCTAACCAAATACTTGGACAAACAATACCCGTTTCTTTCGATGTTGTCCAAGTTGTCCCTTGTTCGTGTTTTGGTAACAGCCATCCTGCGTATTCTGATAGTGGTGTTATACAGGTAAATGATATTGTGAGTGGACTCTGTTACGGTTCGTTCCCTACTTTCTTCCAGTGGCAGCTACTTAGTTGATTCAAATAGTCCACTCCCAAAATATCGTGCACGGTCATTTAACTGGCGTGGGTGCTGCGGTTGCATGTTGGAGGGATGCGTTATACTGACGTCTCATCAGTTCAATGTGTTGATTGACGAGAGCGGAAGGGCTTGTTTATCCGATTATGACCTTGCGGACTTGCTTGTTTCACATTATTCAGTGGTTCAAGAGCCAAGATGGACCGATCCCGAGTTGATCTGCGGGGATACGTCCCAACTACCCGCGGTGTCAGCTGATATCTATGCCTTTGGTTGTATTATGCTTCAAGTAGGTTCACAGTCTGCCGTCACGTGTTTAGCTTTAACTAGCGGACCAAGATACTGGTAAGGAAATTGCCCTATTGGTGGATCCGGAACTCCCATGTGGTCTTGGCAAAGTACGAGAAACAGCTGCCGATGCAGGATGACCCCGACGTTCCCAAGCTCGAAGAATGCCACAAAGAATTTCTTAAACGATGCTGGGCCCCCACTCACTCCCGCGCATCGAGCGCTGAAGTAGCTGAATTTGTGACTGCTCAGCTCCGCGCATTGGATGAGTCATAGCATCGGTGATCGCTCCTTTGAATAGCGGCATAACAGAGTTTGCTTGGTTTTTTATCCAGTTAATACTTTTCGAGTAATGAGCCAGATGGCACCGAGCGTGCAGATGAGCGGCGAACTCCCATTTTCTACGCACTCGTTTACTCGTTGTCTCTCTCGAATCCCATAGTTTAGCAGCTTATTTTATTTCTGTCCCCATCCTATTTCATTTCGTTTTCGCCATACGAACTACCATTATTCTCAGCCATTGGTGACTGCAGTCGCGTTCACATTTTCATTCACTCTCTCTCTAGCCGTCCAAGCTGGATTCTTGTAATTGGTATCACGCATATGCTTAATTGTGTTATTTATATATTGCAGACATACCTTTGTCGAGAATATAAGTAGATCATACTCGGCTCATAGGGTACTCGTGTCGCCTTCTCAGATGTGTCCCTACTATTTCATGCCACACTAGCAGCACAGATTGCTTGAGTGCTGTGAATAACGGGCCGGCCTTGCTATCCCGGGCCCATGTGCTATCACCGACGAGACTGGTGACAATTTCTTCTTCACAAATTTCAATGATATGTGCGTATCCGTCTACGAAGTGATGTAGATAACCATAAACATACAGATTGCGGTGTAGATCGTGACCATCATGAATCGTAAAAGTCAGGATATGATGTCGTAGATACGTATACAGAGAACGGGATAAAATCAACGTTTACCAAGATATGCCTCTCCACGCTTGGCACTATCGTACATCTGGATGTGATGAGAGGAAGTAACATCTTAAGGACTCTTGTGGATGCGCATGTGCTGGTTCAGGTTGTCACGGCGGCTGAATTCCCTTTCGCACCCCCCGATCGGGCACACCCACGCTATGGAAAAGTCAGTCACTCTAGCATGCAGGAAACGCAGAAAAGTCTCCCTCACGTTTATCGTTTGTGTGAATGGACCGGATGTGCCTTTTGAGGTGCTCGCTCCTGACAAAACACTTGCTGCAGCCATCGACGTGGCAGGTATATGTCCTGGTGCCCTTCTTCGACTTGTCCCTGCTGCGCGCGTAGACCGGTTCCCCTGAAGAGACTGGGACCTTGCGTCCGCGGGACTTCTTTGTCAGATTGGGAACGGGGGTTGGAAGATTGACATCGTGGCGTCTACGACGACGAGATGTCGGCGGCGGCAGAGCCTGAAATAGGGGTGAAGTTGGATCAGCTGAACGGCAGACAGGAGAATTGGATGTGTCAGAGGGGCAATATGAGTCTCCCTCGCTTTCGGCGTCAGAGTCTTCTTCGAATAGCTGATTCTCCTGGCGCTGCAAATGAGTAGCACGAATGGGAGGAGAAGGTACAGAAGGTAGACGGTCCGAGTTGGGCTGGGGCAGAACGGATGGCGGATATAATCCGTTGGGGATGATGACATCTGACATGCACACGGTGCGAAGAGGTGGTTGTTCCGTGAGGATCTGCGGTGAAAGGCGTTGGACAGGGAAGCCAAGGGAATCAAACTGTCCTTCGCCACTGCCGAACCACTGGGGTGGAGAGGCACTAAGCCCGTATGCGTCCTCTTGTCCATGGGCCGAGGGCTGGAATTCGAAGCAGTCAGATGCAGGGGAACTTGTGGAACTGCTGCCGATGCTTGGGGACATAGTATTGAAATCCGAGTGGTATCCGAGTCCGACATCGGTGTCATACATGGTGGGATAATTGTGAGGGGCATAAGACGCAAATGAAGTGTCAGCCATCCATAGGTCGGGGTTGCTGTCAGGACTGGAGATATCTTCATGGAACATCTCAGCAAATCCAGCCATGACGGGTGTCGTACTGCACAAGATATAAGGTGCAGTCAAGGGTATTGTGCACCAGCCAAATAACTGGAAACGAGTATAAGTACTCAGTCTGGGAATCAATTGAATGGGAGTTCATGTTCGCCGAGCCTACCAGTTTGGAACAATTAAATGGCGGTGGCTGGCGTAGCCTGGAGCCATTCGGTCACTCACAAAGCCGCTGAGATCTAAAATCAATAGAGTCATCTTGAGTCGATCTCAGGTGAAACATTTGAAGGACTTTGGGGTGCATATCGAATTTGTCATCGACTCTTGTTCACTCCGGAACTTAAATGTCAGAGTCATTGCCCCCTCCACGGAAACAAATGAGAAACGACTAAGGAAAGCTCACTGAATAGTATCCTTGGTCAAGTCTTGTACTGAGTACTTGGAGGGAACACACTGTAACACGTGAAAAAGTCGCACGTGTTAGTGAATCTGATACCCCTCTTATAATGAATGGATTAGTTGATCGACATGTCCTACATGCTAACCATCACGAGTTCAAACGTTCAATAGCAATGCTATCTCATGAGAGGCATGTGAGATGACTCGTTACACTTGACCAGTCAAGTACTGACATCAACAAGCCGCGGTAGTATTTGGTCAGATGATTAACACGTGAAAACGTGTACCCCAATGTGATAATGTTGGACTGCACGTGCAAGCTTGTCTCTTCTCGAGCTCTGGTCTCTCATTTTTCCTGACAATATTCCATCGTCAACATCGCTCTCGATGATGTGCGAAAAGCCTTCACCGCCCTCTTCAACTGTGAGCAAACATATGACATTTGAAGATGAGGACGAGAGTGTGCGCATAGCCGTGAGCGCGCTAGGCGATATGAGGAATGGTGCTAGAGCTTCTGGAAGCATCAACGGTGAGTAGACTTCATGCATTCAACAACGATGACCTAGACGGCACACATGAGCCCAAATTCCTGCATCAGCTTCAAGCGCGCTATCAGCCCCATCCCCTTCTCTACCAGCAGATATGACCTCTCCAGATTTTGTGGCCAGAGTGTCAAATTTTCCGCTTTTCAATACTGCTTTGCGGGCATATGAACATGGAAAAGCCAGTTCACGCGTCGTCAAGGTGAGCCTCTTGACACCTATATGCGTCTATCATCGACTCCGATCATTGTTTAGTATGGTGCCGAGATGATGGAGTCATCAGTGAAAACCATATCCCGTCCTGTAATCGATAGACTACCGGTTGATGTCAATCAACTAGATGAGTTTGCCTGTAGGCAACTTGACAAGGCCAGTACAGTCTTTTTTTTTGCTTAAGATCAGCTTATCTTGACTGTTTTTCGCAGCTTGGTAGATATCATCGTCCATCAAGCACTGACCTCGAACGGATGCAAGTTGATGAGATATCCAGAGAACGAATACTAGAGGAACGGCAGACTGGTCGGGATTATTTCAGTTCGCGACAAGCACGCGAAGGCACGAACCCACAACAATGTATGCATCATTGCATTTCTTTATCGTGTCATCTCATTTGTCGTCATAGCCCGTAGTCCATCCCCTGTTCCTCCAGATTCGAACGATAACAAAACACCTGGCCCCACAAAATCAAATTACCGCACCTCCTGATCTTCAAGGTCAGCAAGCAGTGGTACAGAGGAGTCGCTGGCAAGCTGTCCTCTTAGAAGCAGGAGGCATCAGTGCTGCCGTCAGCGAAGAAAGTATGCGGCGCCTCAAATACTGTCTTCAATGGCTCCAGGTTTGTCCTTCGTTTTTCCTTCAGATTCTATACACATGTGATTTCCCACCAGTACGCCACACTGCATATCGATGCACAGATCCTCATTCTCAGGGATTTTATTGAATCCTTGCATCCGTCAGACTCTTCATCTGGCACCGATATCCTTATTTCGCCCACGCATATGCGGACGCTAACTGATGTTCGTCGAGATATTGTGCAAACCATCCGTCAAGTGGTTGATATTGTAAGCAAATATGCCGGCAGTGCTCTCCCGGAGCCTGCTCGGTCACGTGTCAGGGGCTTTATCCTGCATCTACCCCAGCGGTGGGCAACTGCAACTGTTAATACAGCTCCTGGTATGGTAGATGGTGCCCCTGGTGCTAGTTCAGCCGTTGGCGCTGCTGCCGGCGGCGCTGGAGCTATGAGACGTGCACGGACCACCAGACACAAGGAACGCAGCGCTGGTGGCCCTGATCGCTCCCAAGCATGTACACCAGCATCCTCTCGTGCATCATCCCCTTTGGCCTCCGCACGCATAGGCTTACGGCCAACGACCAGTGCTGCCACTCAGGCTGCGCAGCGTGTTTTGGCGCTCGCCACAGAAAGTCTAGACATGATGCGTGGGGTTACCGGCGTCGTTAAGGACAGTCTGGATCGTGCTGATGCGTATGTCAAATTCTTTCGCATAATGCCCTTGTTGACTGATGGATTTTCTAGTTGGGTTGAGCGTCTGCGCGTTGTTGGCATACAGCGCCAGCAACCCCATGATGATTCAGAGCCCTTTGATCCTGCCTCATCACCGTTCGCACAACACCGAAGGCAGGATTCTATTCCAGGTCTTTCATCCACTCCCTCGACACCATTCTCTTCTATACCCTCCACGCCTGCGGCTAGTTATTCTGCACCAGCAACACCCGCTGCTTATTCCTCCTCTGATGCCCTTGGAATGGGTCTCCGGTTGGGCGAGGCGAGCACTCGAACATCATTGAGTGAGCTCCAACTCGATGGAGAAACATACGAAACAACACGTAGTGTGCCAAAAGACCTGTGCGAAGGAGAGCCGCAACGACGGAAGCCCGATCGCATATGGGAGAGGCAGAGCCCCGACAATGCTTCGCCAAGCAAAGATGGAATGATAGTGGACGATGTATGAATATCAGTATGGTTATACATTCTTTTTCTTACTCCCTGATCCTTTCTATATCCATGAACTTTATATGAAGCTCTTCTATTTAATTACGCGCTTGCACGGGTGTTGGCTGAATCTCTAATTGTCTCGTATACGTGATGTACTCGTAGTAGCTGGCATTACTTACTCTAATTTATCACAAAGTTCGACCAGGTCACTTGAAGGTTGACACTCCCAAAGCAGGCTTCACGTCACGTCACAACATAACATAATATAGGGGTCACCGGTAATCAAGTAACAAAGATAGGGGCGACAACTTCACCACCAAATGTCAGCTCATGAACCTCGCAATCACCCCGCTCTCCCCCGTGTCGAGCTCGAGCTGAGCGAAGATGCGTTAAAAACCATCAACACGCACCTCCTCGAGCTCGATGTTGTCAAAAACACCCAATCCGTCCATTTTTCGCCCATGTTCTCAATCTATGCCTCCACCGTCCTGCTTGCAGCTATCATAGCGGCCTGCCCGGATCTCCTTGATCAGAGGTATGCACGCGTGGAAGCAGCGATGCAAGTGTTGTGCCAGAACTCGAGACTGCAGGAGGATTTGAGGGAGGCGATTGAGAAAAGGGATTTTATGAACGTGTTGAATATTGGTGTGTTACATTGCTTCTCTGTTTCGTTGTTGGAAAGCTGAGACGGATTAAAATCATGTAGAGATCCTGCAGAAACCTGCTCGGGTGAATAGTATGTTTTGCTGTGCTCTTACCTTGCCTGCTTGTTTCATAACCGTCTTTGAACCAGTGCGTGTGCTTAACAGAAGGAGAACATTGTAGGACAACATAAAGGCAATCAAGGCAGGACAGGGGATAATAAGCTGGGAGAATAAGATGTAAAAGTACATATGCGGTATGCGAATCAAAGCTTCAGGTCGGAATTGTAACACAATGTATGCACGCACTAGTACTTATCACTTTTCCTGACTTTCCTCATGACCGCCTCAACATACCCATCCATGTCTTTCTCCCAGCGCTTCACAGCACCATTCCGAACAACATAAAACGCCCTCTCCTCCTTCACATCACTTTCATCATCATCACCATCATCTTCTCCCTCCATCAGTTGCTTCATGAACCATACGTCATGGCTCACTAACAACAAAGCTCCCTCAAAGCCCTCCAGCGCCTCCACCAGCCTCTCCACAGTGCCCATGTCCAAATGATTCGTGATTTCATCAATCACAAGCACATGCGGTGCATCATACAGGATGATTGCAAACGCAATGCGGTTCCGCTGTCCTCCACTGAGGTTTGCGATTTTCCGCAGAACAGTATTCCCACTCACGCCAACAGTGCCAAAGTGCGCCCGACACTCTTGTTCTGAAAGCCCTGGATGCCGGGAGCGCATCTCTTCGATGGGTGTACGGGTGAGTGTGAGCTGATCGACTACGTGCTGCGAGAAGTAGCCGATGCGGAGTGAAGGGTGTCGGTATACTTCTCCCGCTGTCGGCTGCGTCACACCCACCATCATGTTCAGCAGCGTTGTTTTCCCGCACCCATTCGGGCCGAGTAGCGCTATGCGAGCATGGGGGCCGACATCAAGGTTGACATTTGTTAGTACATCCCTGTTCGAAGTTGGATAGCGAAATGACGCATTCTTCACGGTGAACACAGATCCGTGGTATCGCAACGGAGGAGGATCTGGGATCTTGATCGTCGCCGTCTTTAAGGCCTTCTCCATCTCAATCTCTGCGCGCGCCGATGTGTGATACCCGGCCCAGTAAGACACCTTGAACCGCTTCCCGTCCTCCGTCTTTTCCATTCCAAGGCGCTCAATCTTCTTCTTCCGGCTTGCTACTTGCCCGAGTCGCTTGTCATCCCCGGTCGCCCGAGCCTGTTGTACATTGTGCTGGATGCTTGCTAAGAGCTTCGCTCGCTTCTTTGCCTGCACATCCAGCAAAGCCTGCTTCCGTACCCGCTGCTCCTCACTCGTGCTTTCATAGTCTGCGAACGACCCGGCGTGATATTTCAATATCTTGTCACGCAGAATGATCGTTTCCGTTGTCACCGCGTTCAAGAACGCCCGGTCGTGCGACACGATAATAAGTGTCAGCCCCAGTTGTTTCGTTGATCAGATATTCTTGCAGCCAGAGGATCACAGGCAGGTCAAGGTGGTTTGCTGTACACATGAATAGGTGGACATCATGTCATGTAAAACGACATACTTGGTTCGTCGAGTAGGAGGATGTCTGGGCCAACAAATAGCGCTTTCGCAAGCGCAATCTGCATCCGCCATCCACCACTCAAGGTCTGTACCCTTGCATCGACTTGAGCCTCTTAAATCCAAGTCCTCGTAGGATCTTCCTCGCCTTTGCTTTCCGCGCATCGAAATTGATCAGCGCAAATTTATCAAAGACATCCGTAATGAGTTCGGTCGCCATGTCAGATAAGATGTAGACCTGTGGATCCTGGGTCTTCAGTGCAGCGAATTCGGTTTCTATCGCAAGCTGCGCTTGACGGGCGTCATGTCCACGTGTGCCAGAGCGTTTCTGTGCGAGTTGTTGCGCGGTAATCACGCGGGTTTCCATTCGAGAAATGAGAATGTTGTGAAGCGCAGTATTCAACTGGGCGGTGCTTGACGAGGTGGACTGAGGTGCGTCTCCCAGTATTGCGTGCAAGACTATGAGAGTGGATTCTAGCTTGGACAAACAATGCGAGGAGATAATTTACCTTCATATTCGCGCAAAACCTTCGTGCATGCCTTATCTGCTTCAAGTACTTCATTCAACACAGTGGTGGTCTCGTCAAACGTCTCAAGCTGAGCGATGTGGAGGATATTGAGATTGCTTGGCATAGCAAGAATGTTGTCTGCCATGCATCTCATCAGCACTGCGTTATCGACATATAAGCACGTGTATGTACTGAAAGGGAGGGGCTGACTCGTCTTTCCGACGCCATTCTGCCCCACGAGACCATATCGGACGCCTTCCTTGAGCCGCAGATGTGCATCGACGAGGAGATCGAGGTTATTGACGCTGATGTTGACAGTCTGCATGTCGATGTCTTTAGATGACGTCTCAAGGGTCTCGCGGTGAAACCGGCTCTGCTGGGCAGTTGCTACAATTTTGGGTTCTGCTTCTGAGGGCTGCGATGGGGAGGCAACGGCAGCAGCCTTCTTTTGCGCGCGTTTCATGCGACGGGCCTCGATAGACGACATAGGTTTCGGTTGGTCTAGAGGCGGAGCATTATCGGTCAAAGGGCTAGACGTTGATACTGATGTCGATGTCCTTCATCGATGTCAGATTTCAAATGAGAAGATGAAAGCCGAACGCAAACCCTGAGGATGACTTCACATTTCCCTTGCCAAGGGTCGCATAAAACTGGTTGATCTTCTCAGGGTCCACCTCAGCTTCGTCAAGAAACATTTCCGTGGCGTCTCGTATGTCCTTGGTTTTATCGGACATGGACATGACGGCGAGCATGGATGTGAGGTAATTGAGCGCGCTGGGCTCCAGAGAGATCTGAAAGTCATCTAGATGAGCTTTGAATCGAGTTGCCAGTGCATTTGAGGCCATGTTGCTTGACTGGCACTAGCAGTTCTATTCTTGATGGGCCCATGTTGTCCTAGGTATTAAAAACTTGGTGACGACTCACATCTAGTTGTTTTTTCGGTGCCGCCTTTGTACAGGAATTTCGCATAAATTCTTGTCACCCGTGAGTCTCGTAGCCATAGTCATCAAACCTTAGAAGACGGTCCCGGGACCGACTTGTGACTCCTTGTGACGTTGGTTCGTGTTTGCATCTAATTCTGAGGTCGGACGCGTTACTAATGGTATTGTAGTCATCAGGAGATACAAGCGCTCATGATTGCTATAAGCCTTCCTCGCTTCATTCTGCTTCATCGCGCGAAACGGACAACAGCTTTGACCATGCCTTACGGGATACCCTACTATGACGTTGCACCTCTCCGGGTCAGCGCATACGTTGTAAACGGACCAAGGCTTGTAATGGCAAATCAAGCCGCCAGGATCGGACAACTGCAGTCACTCTGAGTCCAGTTTGCTCATTGACCCCACAATTTCCGACGGTTGCAATCTGTGCAATATATTACTTCGTAATGCATGGCCGGTCAGGCGCGCGAAATAGTACATCATCCTTCATAACGAGTTAAGATAATGGGTAGCCTTAAATAACAGGTGCAAGAGCCATCTGAAGCTAATTCATCGTCTGTTTCACTCTATCATTCTTACTCTCCAAGCAGACAATGTCTCTCCCCGAGAACACTACCGTACTCATTGTCGGCGCGGGCCCTGCAGGTCTCACAGCTGCCCTTTCTCTCGTCCATAACGAGTGCCATGACTTCGTCATCGTAGACGCCGTACTCGAAGGGCAGAATTCATCGAGGGCGATCACGATACACTCTGCAACTGTTGAGGTAAGCCACCTGCGCGTTTATAAGAAGGCCCACTGATGTTTTTATGATCTTAGGCTTTAGCCAGCATCGATGCAGCAGATGGTTTACTGTCTCGAGCCATCAAGGGGAAGAGCATCAGAATCACATCCCGTAGTTCACAGATATTTGAAGCCAAATACGACCCGCTAAAGAAATATTCCGCCCACCCTTACGCGCTCTACATCCCTCAGAATGTGACGGAGCTTGTACTTGGGCAGAAGTTGCAGAGCCTTGGTGTTCAAGTGCAGCGTCCTCATAGGGTGGTAGGAATGAAACAGAACGAGAAGGACTCTCGCATCACCGACGTGTCCTTTGAGGATGGTCAAGTCATTAGAGCTAGATATATTATCGGTGCAGATGGCGCCCGCTCAAATGTGAGACCTCAGTGCCCACTAACCTAGCTTGGGGGACTGTCTGACGACTATTTCCAGATCCGTACCATCGCCGGGATAGGGTTCTCTGACCCAGAAGGGCCAAATACGGGCAACAGTTCATTGGCTCAAATGGTCTCTGCAGATGTCACATTTGACCCTGAACCAGTCGGTCCATTAACCCTCGAGGGCCACCTCAATGGCACAGTTTTTTCAGGCAATTTCTTTTTCTTTACACCGCTCGGCAAACGCTTCAATGCAGAGTTGACGCGAGATGGAAAGCCCATTACGAAACCCATCTTCCGTGTAGGTTGTGCCATCCCTGTAAAGAATGGGAAGCCCCCCCATGCTCCACCGAAAGAATACATCCAGGACTTGATTGACAAATACGGGCCAGCGTGTATAACATCAAATCCATGTCTTAATCTAACACCTGTCAAAGTCGACCAGCTGGTCTGGTCGACACGTTTCAGAACACATTCTGCTATCGCCGACCGCACCTTCACGCGTCTTGGAGCTGCTATTCTTCTAGTCGGTGACGCAGCCCATATACATTCACCTGCGGGCGGCCAGGGCATGAACCTGGCCATCAGAGACGCGATTTTCCTTGCAGAGGCTGTCACAAAGCACATTCAAGCGTCTGCAGAGAATCCCGATGTGGATGATACCATTTTACAGGAATTGGGGGACGTGCGTCATGCGCGAGCGGTGGAAATCATCGGCTTTACCAAGACGCTTTTGAAACTCGCAAGCCTTACGTACGATTCTTATGCTTGGTGGATGCCGTGTAGTGGGGCTTCCATCCGCGATCTGGTACTGAGGATCTTGGGTAGGTTTGATTTCGTGCAGTCGAAGGTTGCGTGGGGCCTGAGTGGGCTTGGAAGACGGTAATCGCACATTTTTGGATGGCTTGGTGACCCCGTGTTGTATACCATGATTCGCGACATTTATATTTCTATTCAAAGACAGGATAGTGTAACTTAGCTAAGACTGTCGTCCCTGAAGTGTTACGCAAAAGGCAGCGATACTGAAAGCTTGTGTTTCAGTATCGTAGACAGTATTTATGTAGATTATGGGAACTCTAGTAAGTGAGCGTGCTTACAGACAGACAAAGTATCAAATATCCCAGAGTGGTGCACTAGCGCCTGATCGAGATCATTTGGAAGGAGGTTGAATCACTGTAGTAAATTATTCTTACAAGATGAAGCAATGTATGTACATGTACGATAATGGGATGTGGCACTCCAATCATCTTCATGTGTGGGTTTCGTCTTCGAACGCTTAGTAGTTAACATCCTGCTCAATGAGCGCGACGGCTCTCGCAGAGCGAGGCCTAATAGAACACTTGAAGGGCTTCGGATGGCTGTAATGGCCTCTATCCAAACCAGCACCGGACGTGATAAAATATGAGACATACCTGATCGTGCCTGATGAAGGATCAACCTCAGGGGTAATCTCAACACCGTCCTCGACGACTTTGGAGATATCGAATACGGCCAGTGACATCGCGGTGGATATCCAGACGGAGGCTTCAGCGAGGTGGAGACCTATACATCAAAAGCAAGAAACGTCAGAACGTTTGCCGGTACTTCTGTGAGTCGGGCATACCTGGACAGATACTGCGGAGCAGAAACTTAGCATTCCACAAGTAACCAACTCCATGCAACTCCATGCTTACCGTCTTCCAAAGCCAAAGCAGACTGTCCGGGGGTCCGTCTCAGGCTTCTTTCCGTCAATAGACAAAAAGCGTTCAGGGTTGAATTGCGAGGGATTAGCGTATGTCTGCGGGTTATTGAGCATGAACCTGTCATTACATTCTATTAAAATATCAAATGCGGAAAACGGGTGCACCAACCAAATGTTAGGTATTATCAAAGAACCTTTTGGGATGAAATACCCGTCATGGATGTCGTCCTCAGTGACACGGTGGGGGACGCCTGTCATTGAGATACCGCTCGACAACTAAAGAATGCGATAAACAAGATATACGGACCGGTAGGAGCGACAACATTCCAACGTAGTACCTCTTTGGCAAGCGCCTCAGTGTAGGGAAGAGAATCTCGGTCGGCGAAGGAGGGAAGACGATCAGGACCAACAACAGCATCTATTTCTGCCTGGACCTTCTTCTGTACATCACTGAAAAGTGTCATGGCCAGGAAGAGCGAGTAGATTGAAGAAACAGTCTGAGAAAAGTAGTGCAGTGCTCTCAGAAATGATGATTAACAATAGATGGGGAGGGACTAACCGTGTCGGCGCCGCCGGCGTATAGAGATCCAGCAGACCATTTCGCAACGTGATCGTCTTCTGCAGGACAGAGCACGGTCTCCTAACAGCTTCGAGGTAAAAGACTCCCGGGCAATGCCAGCTGCCTGTGAAAATCAAACCTCTACGCATGATCGCAAAACTACAAATGTTGGTTACCATCTGATCCTTGACGAACTTGTGCGGTGCAGAAATCATCTCTTCGACGGTCTCGTGCCATTCACGGGCTAGGCGCTTGAAACCAGCACCAGGGAACCACTCGGGGACATTGACCACTACAAATAACAAGGTAATTAACAGCAAACGTTCTGGATGCTATAGCTTACAAAATGGCATAAAATCAGCCACAAAGGCACCGGGAACAGTGGAACGCGAGAATTGATCTACAGCGCGATCTGCAAGGTCAACGAAAGGATCATCGTTCTCTGTCACTTCATAACCATGAGAGATGTGCAGAATGATGGCACCGGCGGTGCTATCAAAATCAAGATCGCGTCAATGCAAGGACAAATAATGCATACTGTCGGACGTGTGTCTGTAGTTGACCGGGTTTCGTGAGCACACGCTTAAGGAATCGGCGAGTTTCAACCTCTTCGATCTGGTTATATGTGCCTACTGCGGCGCGGGTGCCAATCACGCGGTGGAGGTTCCTGCGGTACCGGCGAAAGCGGTCACCGTCGGGGAGAAGACCCATGCTGTGCTTCCAGCCAACAAGTTCGCCACCAACAGGAAAGATAGGACGATCAGAGTACAGGGTGCTCTTCTTGTCCAGCATGTCCATCGCAGCCTTGACAGAGTTCAGCACCACGATGTGTTGACCCATAATCTCGATATGTGAGATGTTACCTGTAGACAAGACTTTGAAATGGATGATGTCGGCGAAACGGTAGGTACTCACCATACTTCTTGCCCCACATAGCGAATGTGAGCCAGGGCTTGGTGTGAGGCATGTCCAGGATGTTCCCGATGAGAGGCCACCCCGGGGGACCAGGCGGATATGATGCAGGATTCTTCTTGTTGAAAACCCGCATTACAAAATAGACTCCGGCACAAGAAATGCATAGTATGTCGAGCCAAGTGACGTTGGTGAGTGTCAACATGGTCTACTGGGAGAGGACGAGCAACTAAAGAGCGGGGTTGTCTAGTACTTGCGAGTGGAGGATCAGATGAGGGGAGTCCTTTCGGTTGACCATGTTATATATACCCGAACTTTGCATAGGCTTCATATTGTTTTGTCTGGGATAAAGAGAATCGATCTCAGTGGAAGCAACATCGATGCCAGATATGCGCTGACCTGCACGTTGCCGTCACAGGCAAATATCCAATTTCTTCCTTATCCGAGTCCTTGTCGTTCTTAGTAATACAATTTCACTTTTCTGTACATACAGAGCTCCAACTTCCAAGTGACTATGTGAACTCGTCACACTATCCACAAAACCGGTACGCTACTTACGCTGTTCACCAATCAGTTTCACGAGGAATTCAATCACGACGACGCCAACATTCTGATCAGAGTACTCCACGGATCATCTGGTACTGCAGCACGCACGCAATACCCTTGTTAGGAACGCCTATATACAAAGCATGTCAAGTTCGTATCTCAGATTGTAAAGCCATTACTATCCAAGAGCTCCTGGGACAACTTTGTGCCACTACATCTTCGATGGCCCCTGATGACCCCGAGCTCGGACTGCATGGTGGACCGAGCTCCCCGACGGCACTAGAGCTTTCCTTGTTTCTGGTACGTGACGTTATCATCCCAAATGCAAAAAAAAGATCCGCGCCTATTTTAAGGGATACTAGTAACACCCAGAATGGCTGAGGAAATGACAGCTCATCTCCTCACTGTTTGGTTGGTGACCATTACCAGAACGCAAGTGCTAATCAAAGCGCCATCTTGTTCTGGCTCGGTTTTTGATACTCTAAGAGTTTTAATCAGTTTATAGCACATGTCAAAAGAGTAAGTGTTCCTGCCATAGCATACAAGGCCGCGAGGCACACCTTTGTCTTCGTCTTTTATTACTCGCGTAATCTTGACTCCCGATCATCAAGTGCGTGTTACTAGCAGGCAGGCAGTGAACCTCAGTCTGGTATCAAGGACGTTCCTTCGTCCGGCTCGGGAGATGCTGACACGATTAAGATATTGTGCTGCCCTGAGTGTTAGGTCATGGCTAACGTGCCCACCTATAATTTATACTTGATAATTATCTTCATCCTGTCTAGACGACATCACCCTCCATCACGCTGTTGCTCCCCCTCACACCACAACTGGTTCGACTCACCAGCATCATAGCGCGCGCTTTCTCCCATCTCAATACGGCTTTCCGCGCTTAACAAGTGGTTTATGAAGTGTGGAGGATGGCCTGAAGATGTCGGAGGTGAGAAGCTGTTGAGGGAGTATAAATGATTGGTGAAGGGTGTGCGGGCTATGGGTGTATTTGATGAGTGGTATTGTGTGGTACTTGGGGATTGGTGGTTTGGATGCACTTCTTCGGGAGTTGTTATTTACCTGAGTCGAATTATCATTTTTATTCACAAGATATCACCTCATTTGACTTCGCCCCATGCCATGCCAATGCACAATCCTTTCTGTTACTCCAAAAACTCGTCTGCTAACCTCGAGAAGCTCTGCATCTCCGGAGCAAGATGGAGTCAATGCTAGATGAGAGACCTCACTGTCAGAAAATCATTTATTATGACACGTTGAAAATATACTTAAGTTACACTAACAGTTAAAAAGTCCCGACGTGGCACCGAGGTTTGACGCGGCTGTGACGCGGCCTTGAAGCGGCACAACTTGTTTGACGCGCCTGTGACGCGGCATGTGCTATGCTTGACGCGACATAGGTAAGTGTGGAGGTTTACAGTATTACGGAGGCTGCGAAGATGTTGGGGAAAACTTGTCGTGGTGTGGGTAGTGCTTGACCCAGCCTGACTGAAGTTTGACATGGCATGGTTGGAGCCTGACGTGGTAGTGCAGAGTACAGAGGCTGCATCAGACTTGACAAGGTGGGGTCAAGCCTTGACACAGTGAGACAATACTCCACACCGCTGTCTGAAAACAAACGTTGGATCAATGATTATTAAACACAACATGCATACAACATTCCCAAGTAGTACGAACATGGAGGACAAGCAGTGTAAAATTAGTGAGAGGTGACTGCAGCACTCCAGGGCCTGTACGCAGATGGACATTCGTATGTTGATTATTAGCGAGAACTCAAAGTGTTTGGAATTCATTTCGAGCGACATAAGATAGTGTTTGCCAGAACATAACTCTAGGATTCGTGACAATGCCGTGTCACATACATAAGCCGCGTCAGTGCTGGGTCAATTTCACAGGTTGGTAATAACATCACGTCTTAAGCGCCTGATATTAATATGGGGCAGCATTAAACAAACAGGCCCCAATCTTCTCGCAAAGTCCACTTCGACCGTCCTCAATATCATCAACCTCTAGAAATGGCGCAGCTCAATCTAAACCCCACACCCCTTCGACTGTTCGAAGATCATGGACAACGCGATGATCCTGTTAGTGTGATCATCAATAATCAAAGGGTATGTGGAACTCGCGCAAATGCAATCACAGTTTCCCCAGACGGGCGATGCATGGTCACGTCCTCGTGGAATATGGTCCGTCTGTGGGATATGAAGGAAGGCGTTTTGTTGAAAAGATTGGATGGGCATTGGGGGGGCTTCGTGATGCATTGGCGGTATCGCGAGATGGGCAGTTGATAGCAAGTGGTGATGAACAAGGGACGCTCATCGCCTGGGATTTAAACATCGGGGAATCCCTCACCCAAGCCATCAAAGCCCACTCCAGTGGGATCCCATCACTGGCCTTTTCTCCCGATAGTTCACTATTGGCGACCGGTTCAGGAGACGGAACGATTAAGCTGTGGTGCACGAAAACCTGGGAGCTGCTAGGAAATCCAATCACTTGTCACAAGACAAATGTCAGCTGCATTCGTTTTTCGCCGTCCGGCGAACTTCTTGCGATTGCAACACACACCAATATCCAAATCTATAATTCGGGCACGAGGGAATGCGTAGCGAACTTCAAGGGTCACACTGCAATCAATGAATCATACAACAACTCGCTCGCCTGGATGCCTAATGGCACACGGCTTTTTTCAGCGGGTGGTGTCACGGATCCGACCATACGGGAGTGGGATACGTCGACCTGGAAGCAGGTTGGTGATCCCTGGAAGGGCCATTTCAACAGTATCCAGGCCATTTCTCTGAACTCTAATGGCACTCTCCTTGCCTCTGCATCTGATGACTGCCGTGTCCGCCTCTGGCGGGTCTCAGATCGGCGAACCATCGTCGTATTCAAGCACACTAGCGAGGTGCAGTGCGTCACCTTCTCCGCCGATGACAGGCGCATCCTCAGCGGAGCCCAGGATAAGGCAATCTTGGAGTGGCCAGTATCTGAGGACGCTTTGCCAGAGGATCGTCCCAAGAATGTTCCGAAGGATGATCCCAAGGGGCAGGCGATGCACCAGGTAATCCAGCTCCATTTTCGTTCTCCGTCACCTAAATCTCTTTTGATACCAAGGCTCAAGCATACTCTGATTTCAAGGTGTGTTCCCACCTTTGTCTCTTATAATGCGATATGAACAGGCTTGACGCAGGTCCTCGCTGTAAACTCGGACATCCGAAAAGCGTGCATAGCTGGAGATTTGCGCACCGCTAAAATGGCGCTAGATCAAGAAATTGACGCTGATGCCAATAATTACACCTCCTATGCTAACCGTGCATTTGTTCTGGCACGAAAACCCGACTGGGACCGCGCGCTCCATGATGCAGTTAAGGTGATATAGCCTGACCTATCATAGCCCCCTCGTGAAAGCTAACTTTTATGGTGGCATAGTCCGTCAGAATCCAGCTCTCGTTTGCAGGTCATATCTCCAAGGGCATTGCCCTCTGGAAAAAGACAGGTTCAGGCCGCGAGGACAGCGTTTGATCTCGCGTCAGCGTTCACCAACGGAGATTTAAAGGCCACCCATTTCCTTTTCTTGATCAAGGCAGGTGAAAAAAAATACGTAGTACTACGTGCTTCATCACAATTTTCAGACCCTCGCGTTGTTCAGCGCGGGCGAGCATGAAGAGGCGATGCTGCGTATCGAAGAGCTAGCTGCCTCTCCAAATGTCGATACTCTTGCTTGTCGTGTTGTGGGAGTGGGTATTGCCCATTTGAGGGGGTTCAGGTAGTGTGCTGGCACTGATCTTTCTGCTTTTTGCACACCAGGCCTATCTATGCGTCCAACTAGGATAGATAGCCTTAGATAACGGGCGTCGCAACGAAGCTGTTGACCACTTCACTGCCGCTGTCAATGCCAGTGCCTTCTTTTATAAAACGGCAATTCATTCTGCATACGAGGAATTTGTCATGGTACGTTGATGTGATGTAACCGAATAGTGTGCTCATCTGTGTGGGTTTGCAGCTCTTTGGTTGGGACCTCAAGTCCTTGTGGCAGACCGCGAACCAGCAACAGTGCCTTGCGCTCTTTCGGGCGGGCAGAATTGGAGCAGCCGTAGAATCTTACCAATCTACCATGGACAAGAGTGATGAGGATACGAGGGCCCGCTTAAGTGCTTGGTTTACTGGTAAGTCTTCGGTAATGCCATCCGACCTAATAATCTTAATCCTCCACCGCACTCCACTTAGCCCTCCAGTAAGAACTAAGTGCGCTCTATGCTTCTGAAGGAGATACTGCATTCGCAGCGCGTGATTAATCATGCAGTTGAAATACGGAGATTCTCAAGTAGTTTTCGTTTACACCTTGACAGTATCTGTATTACTTCTGTACTTGTATCGGATCATATACCGGCTCACTTGTACAAGATATCTGCTTGGTTCGGCACAGTACACTTCACCGTTGGAGTCGACATAAACACGCATGCATGCAAATCTGCAGACTGCAGCATCTGTATATCATGGCTGCTTGGTATATGGTAAGATCCCTTTGCAGCATGCGAGAGCTCTTCATTTTCATCCCCAGGCCCAGGGATCTATTTCACCACAGTGGATACACCACCCGGTATCAAGGCACCTCCAGAAGATAATCATATACAGCTGCGCTGGTTCAGGACAATGTCGGGGCGCTGCGATTTCTCTCGGATCCCTCGAGATTTCATTGCGCGCTGATATCTCGTCGAAGGGAAGTCGTGCTTCCCTCATTTCCGCTCGAGACGCACAGCAGTCATTCATAACTCGAAAGTAGAAACCACAATTTGTGCTGCTCCTAATAATCATTAATTGCTTGCAGTAAGTGATAAACAAATGTAAGTGCTGATTCGATATTTTTCTTCATGTGGGTCTTGAGATTCGAGATGTTACGAGGTCTGGCACTTAGTTCGATTGGAGCAAAATATTCCTTTTCACATCGTTTAGTTTAGTGACCACTGGATCACACCTTAAGTTGACATTTCGGGTCACTGACTGTGTCTATCATCGGAATTTTCTCTTACCTGTCACATGGACGTGGTCGAAGTTCATTAATAATGGCGAAGCGAACTCCGATGCCATTCTTCGCGGACAACAGCAACGTCGAACTGCTCAACGAAGCCACGCACTCTTTTTTCGAACAGTTCGACATTGTTGGGTTATTTTCAATAGGGGACTGGAGCCATCGCAGGTATCCTTGACGTGAAGACTCCGATTCTTTCGCTTACTTACAGGTTCAAATAGCCAGTTCTGCACGTTCTTTATCGTTGTTCAAGATACCCAGCGCGCGTAATACTGGAACGCAGAAAAGATGGACTAACAGCACATATATGCAGACTCTAGCCATGGATGTTCAAGCAAGTCACTGACCGAAAATCGTTCTTCTGGATCCAAGTGCAAACATGCATGGATGAACGCTGTAGTTGCAGCCGCCTCTGCTTCCGACAGGCTGGACTTGATCATTGCGCTCTCGAGAGTCATTGGGAATAGTTGCTCGATACGCAGTAACTTCCCTGATATGGCTGATGCAAACCATGTTCAACAGAAATGAAGCGGACGCCACGAGCAAAGGTGCACTGACTACTCTCGTCAAGGCATTCATCACGCTTGCGGGACCTCGCTAGGGTCTTCTCGGAGGAATTCTCCCCCATCACCTCCGCTGTCTTGGTCAGATTTTCGATACGCCAAGTTTGGCCTTCTTGTGGGTTGAACAGCCAGCGTCCAGCGAGAAGCCCAAAAATCTGCATGGGACACATAATATGACGCCCATATGTCCACATTGGTATCATAGTCGGTGCCAAGGATCACTTCTGGAGCACGCAAGGCATATGCACTGATTACTCTCGTCGGAGGGTTTCTATTGGTCCATTGCGCTGTAAGATATTATATGTAAGCCAGTGGTTGTATTGACAAACACGAGGAGAATGCTTGCCATTGCCGAGATCTGCGACACAAACTGAATACAGTTCTACAGTGATGCCGGGGTCGTTCCACCGAAAAGGATGAGGAATAGGCTACGGCCGCATGATTGGGTAATGTACACCCCGCAATTCAAATTCACTGTCGACCTTGGACGAGAAGCTCCTGAATGGTTCTGCGTGGCATTTCCTTCGTCGAATAGCACATTGTCGGGCTCGAGGTCTGTTTCGGTAAAAATGACATGATTATGTTGCGTCCTGTGACTATGTGTGTATGATATTTGTGGCATGCAGCAGAGCCAAGGCTTCCATAACTTGAGCAACGATAATCTTGACTTTTCGCAGGTCGAGCAATTGTGAGGGCACCGAACACCCAAAGCTATTCACACTTATACTGAGAACAGGAAGAACCAAGTAGAGATGTTGACCATGAGGTCTATATGTCGTCACGGGGGCGAGGTAGAAGAGATTTCTTGGTCGAATCAGCGATATTTAGCATGGTCTCCAACAGCAGATGGCCGTCGTGATGACCTTGGGCAACATTAACAGTCAGAATTTTGATGGCACAGCATCTCCTCCGCTCTGAGGGAGTGAACATGAACATTGAGCGCTCAGTGATACCTGTGTGGATAATTCGACTTACGAAGAATCTTAAGTCAACCAATTCGAGAAAAACTGCCATCTCCCCAACTTTCTCAAAATCTCATAGCGAGAATTGTTGAGTTGCATCCCAAGGCTAGCTGGAACGAATCCGAACCCCTCCATTCCAGATAGAGTTAGTGGTTCTTCAGGAAACGGGTTAACGATCGGGGATAGCAAATCTGAATATGCTTTTACTCGACTTTCAATACCTCTGTACAAACCAGACAAATGGCTAAGTATGGCAAGCAAAATAAGTATGGATGATGAGTAAGTCAAGTCTTCACCTGACCTTGAACTTGTTGCAGATATTACGTACTACCAACCGTCTACACGTGCACGATTAAGGCCTAATGGAGTGGACATTCCGGGATAGGTCATGCACTTATTGCACTGTCCCTCTCATCTCGCTCCGTGCGCTTAACTTTAAGCTAGGCAGACCTTCATTGATCCTGTAGCACATCAGGGTCTTCTCCGTTGAGACCTGAGGCGCTCACTATGCTCCGCAATGAGAATAGGTAAGTGTGCAGGAAGAAAAGAGCGGGGTCTGCCGTAGTCTTGAAATGGGTTATCTCTGTTAAGGGTTCTTTCGTAGGTAGTCATTTGAGCGCTGACCGTAACAGGTGTATGCATGCAAATGGACAATCCTCACGGGAGCAGCAGAACTGGAGCACCGGCAGTGGATATTCTTGAACATCGGGCTAGAACATGGATTTTAATGAGACACTGGTGACTGAGAGTTCGTTGCAAACCTTGCCAATTGTCAGTACTGACAGTAGTCCCGGTGTTTACTAGTGTTTACGGGCATTCCTAAACAAGCATGACGCCTTTACTTTGAACTGGACGTTGGCTCAGCCAGCGTGACTCACCTTCAATCTTTCTTGATGTGCTTTTACTTGGACGGTCCCTTATGGCAATGGAACTCAATGTCACCACCGTGAGCTGGCCCTCTCTTTACAACCCAGCCATCGAGCTCTCCGTCAGACGTGGTCTCCTGCAACCCGTGCAGCCAGGTGGCTCTTATCTCATCAATCCAGATGGTAGGACATTTTCTGTTACCTCCTACTGCAGAAAGCTTATGGGGCTCCATAGATATCTTTCGCTTCACTCTTTACTGGACTCTTATTTTTCACATTCCTTTCTATGCCATCTGTGGCATCTATGCCTTCCTCAATTTCGCGTTCCCGCCTTCGCGTCGATCAATAGCGACATTCCCACTTGAAACCTCTTCCCGCATTCCCTTCTCCCCCAATTCGAACCAAACCGAACAATGGATCAAGCGTCCACGACCTAACGTTCGCCGTTCTCGACTCACTTTTGCCCTCCTCGTCATTCTTGCGTTTCTGTTCATTAGTCTCACTGGTGCTGTCATGGGAGCAGCTGTAGTCGGCTTCGTACTTGCAGGTGTATACAAGGCAGGCGGCTTTTACATGTCCACGTGCGTTTGTTGTCTCTGCGCCCGCAGCATGCACATACTGATCAAATTCATCAAGCTGGGTCCCGTTCGTATGGGCTGTGATCCAGAGCCTCGTAGGGCTTCTGGCGTAAGTGGACCCTTTTTTTCTCGTCTGTTGCTGTGCAATCTCAATCAGTACTGGCAGGATCTGGCCGTCTATCATCAACATCATTTGAGCTCTTGTGACTCTGCGAGTTTGCGTCCGAGATTATGGCTCCCCCTCGGATTCGGCACGCCTTGCCTTGCAACCCCTATACCCCCAGGCGATCGGTATTTGTGCATCGCGTCTTTGCCTTCAGCCTCGTGCCATGTCCTGCGAGCAGGGTGTTGCTGTGGAGCTTTCACAGCGTGTACTGCTGTCACCTTCAGCGAAGCGCAGTTGCTCCATAGTCAGCTGAAACGATGGTTCAACGGGCATCAGCGGGTCACTGGGTATCTCAACCTTTCCGCGGCTATTCTGTGTAGCATCATCGCTTTGTACAGGTAAAGCTACTCCTAGCGCATCCCACTGTGGGTATTAGAATATCGCACTCTTCATCCTCTCACGGCGGTCACTCTGTATCTTATACATACAGACAACGCCAGTTGAAGCCGTATACAAGTGACTTCATCCATGTGGTCAGGTGGCCAAGTGCGATGATTCGCAGTAGGACGTGGAATGTGCTTCCAGAAAAACCATGTCGGCTGCATTTCCATTCCCTTGGAGCTGTTCACTATGACTGCAGAAGGGTTATCGCGTACTTTCGTGCCCCGCCGCCCCCTCTCTCCCCGTCTTCTCATCCGAGCAATTTCTCCCCCTCCGTTCAAGCGACTCGCCTACTAGAAGCTACCAGAGTGTTCAATTAATGCATCAATCTCATGTTGTGGGGAACTTGCTAACCCATGAGAAATTTAATGGTAACCGTTAATATATTTAACCCTCCTGGGCATGAGGGCCGACAGAGCGCTCTCAGTCCTTTCCAGTTAAATGCCGCCAAGTTCTTCGTAACCATGCGACCGGTGAGCGCTGCTGGAGGATGAGGAAGTTCGGGACCAGCAAAAGGGAACGCGAAGAGAATGCCGACGTCTCCTCGATACGGTGCCTGCATATGCTACCGCAGATCAGGTAGACAGTGGAGGAATTAATACTCATCTTTAACTAACTCGCAATGATCAACATACCTGCCAGTGCGTAGTTCACGTTTGCCTGAAAAGTGGCCCGAGCGCCAGCGCTAGAGATGCATATTCAAATACAACGTAAAGTACTTGGATGTTCACGGTGCAATTCAAGGATTTCGAACGTTCTGTGTTGAATATCATAGTTATCTACGAGCAGCATTGACAGATTATTGCGACACTGATATCCCTCTTAATTACTCTACAACGGTAGATACTACTGCATTGTTATTGTGCATATATGTGAATATTCCGAGCGCGCAACCTGTGCGACTTCGTAGTAGTACGGCCGCAGAAGCTTGAAGCATGTCTTGTGAAAACATTTCAAGGCCATGCTACCGTACTACTCTGAATTCAAGAAGAATAAGACCTGTGACAAGGCCGGCTTATACTGGTATGGTCACGATCTGGTACAAGTACGTTGTAGAATACAGCTCATTGAGTACTGATGAAGTTCCTGCACATGCATGTTGGAGTACTTGGGACCGTGAGACAATTTTTGACCCCGCTCAAGAGCGGGGTCGGTTGAACCTTGTTATGTAAATACCCCAGGCCACTACATTACAATCCCCCGTGTTTTGAATATCTGGTGTGCTATGGTAAGTCATTTCCTGGTCATGTTTGCGATTAACAACAACTTGGAACGACCGAATTTTCCGTGGCCCATGAATATCTGTGTGTGGAGATTGCGGCTGGTGTGTGTGCTCACTGGCGTTAATCGATTCATTGCCATAATCACCATAAAAATCCCTTTTATCGATCTTCATCCAAGCTAGGCAAGTGTGATATCATACGCGTGTCGTTTCGAACCTCGATGTCCCAAATGCCTCCATCAATATGTAATCCACGAACCATAACCATTTCCGACGTTCCGATTTCTGGCGATATCCTCACGCAAGGGTGCCACAGAGCGATGTGAGTAAGTATGTTTGATCATCTATACTGCTTCATTGAAACCTCCCTTCATTAACGAGAACGACATCACAGCATCACCCCGCGATCCACGTGCTCAGGGCGTGATGGCGTCTCGTCCTTGCTTCGGGGACAGCTTCGCACTTAGCCCCTCACTTATCGCTATATTATCGGCTGCCGCTCCGTTATCGTGGTATGACGTTGCTGCGGAGGGTTCGACAGGCTGGTGCTATTCATGCGTGGGTTCTCATGATGCCGACAGGGGTGGTATCTCGAGACTGCTTCTGGGGCGTGGTGTACGCTGTGGCATTCGGAAATATGCTGGTCATGGAGATGCTGGCTTTGTTCGTTGTGGCGAACTGATGTGTTCAAATGATTGCAACAATTTTGCTTGCGGCGTCGCTTGATTGGATATTTTTGATTTGCAAGATGAGTAGAGTATGTCGCACTGTGATACTTTCACGCCACCGCCTTCCACTCTATCCGAATCACCAGGACTACTGCATCACGGAGTTTGGAATGAGTCCAGATAAATCATTGCATTGAGTAGGTCAAAGTTCAATGATAAAGGGCAGGAGAAGTTTGATGGTCACCGTTTCCGTAAACTTACACTGTCTCGTAGCATAATCGACGCAACATGAAGGTCCCACAGGTGAGCAGATTAGAGTGCACTAGCCAGTTGCGACGATCGGATAGCTGTGTCCTGCCTGCACATCTCTAGCCCGTCGTCATCGCCTTACTAATTTTTCCGTGATCATACCCAGAACACCGTCCCAGATCTGTGGTGGTGTGCAGCATGCATCTTTGCATGATGCACCTAATTAGCCTCGCGATGTTGCGTTGCCCACCACTCATCTTGCGTCAATTATCGACAGCTGCTGCCAGTAGATTAACTGCTGCCAGAGCCTAGTGCTAGGGCTGAACACAAGGCAAATGTCACCGAGGATATTCCAAGACACCGGGACCCCCTGAACGCTACGTTTGAAATCCGCGGAAGAATTTGGAGAAAGCGCGGAACCTCGTGTTGGGCGTAGGGATGCGTCGTGATTGATTCGAGGCTTCATCTGATGTGATTGGCCATGCTTAGACAAGGTTGGGTTCGAACTGTAGGTAACGGATGCTTTATTTGCCAGCCTGCTGAACTCGAGTGCTTTCTTTAGTTCAAAACGTTGTATGTGGATGTCAAATGCGCGTTATCTGATAAGTACCCCACGGAAAAAGGGAATGAGAAAATTTTAATCTGATTCTCGAAGAAGCGCTGCCCTTCTGGTGGGCGGACTCCTGATCGGAAGCCACTAAACGATTGCGAACGGAGGTAAATTTTCAATTCTCCAAGTCAGCGAATCGTCTGATCTTATCTGTGGCGCCGGAAGGTTATTAGGTCAAAGCTTTGACGTATGCACTTATGCATTTGACGTACGTATGCTGCCATTCAAGTGTACATAACGAACATTTAGCAGCTCACGGATCCGACGTCCACGTTTGCCGGTGTCGTGATAATAGGGTAGACGGTATCATGAGCACACGCTGCGCTAACATTTGTTGTTCTCTTCGCGTATATGGCGCGAGACCACGCAATAGCTGAGAATCACTGCCGTCGTGACGACACGGAGGCTGAAAATTGACCGGGTTCTTCCTTTCAAAGATCTGAAATTTGGAAACGGTGGTAATAGTGAATGGGAATTAAGATAAGATTGGGGAAGAGCCTGGGAGGATCGGTGCCACAAGGTCAACATGGACAAAGAATACGTACAAGTAATAATATTTGATCTTTTATGATAGACGCCCAAAGGTCAACCGATAAAATTTTATTGATTGCAGACAGTACCTGCTGTACTTACATCTGTTGGGATATTTTTTCTGGAGAATGAATGAGCAGAATTTCAGCCAAAAATATAGCCAGGGTCTGCAGAGGGATTCGGAGGAATGAAGAATTAGGAAATATGATTATTATCTTTGAAACAGGTGTAATCTGATTGGCTGGATTTAGTTTATGGTCGTTATCTTTTGGGTTTATCGGCTCCCGCCAATACCAAAAATCATAAACACTGCGGTGCCCGACTCTCCTCTGCCCGTTTATTTCTCGCCCCCCCTACGTGTCTCGCTCACAATAATACCCCTCTCCTCACCGTCGCTTACGTCGACCACGCACCATTCATCGTCAACCTGTACAGCATCAGTGAGATTTTATTGTTCCGCGCGCGGTCTTAAGGCACCAGCTGACGTTCAACGTGTTCAAGCAGTCAACATATTGTCTATCTTACTACTGTCTGATAAAAAAAATGTCGCCGATCGTAATGGAATCTCCTGCGTTGAACATGCATCATCCTGCGCTTTCTACCCTCTCCCGGATACAGCAGCAGTTCTCGCCCAGCACAGCCCCAGAACATGCTGCAGTACAACGCGACTCTTTGTCTAACTCACCGGTCCATGCCGGGTCCGTTCAGCAGAAGATAAACCCAAGCGACTTCACTTTTGAGCAACTTTTGCAGTCTAGGGAGCGGCCTCAACCTGTTGTAGAAGACCAACCAACGTCGACACCGAGCGCGCCCCAACAGCAGGCGCCCCAACAGCAGCAGCGTACTGGCTGCACTAATTGCGGAGTCGTTGACACGCCCCTGTGGCGACGCGACACCGAGGGCAAAACCATCTGCAATGCTTGTGGTAAGTGATCTCTCTTCATCTCATCTCTTTCATTTCCCGTCCTACGCCGTCACGTGTCAACCCATGGTTGGTGGGCTCGTGGGCGTCCGTTTCCAAAACACACCCCGTGCACTCCATATCACATTTGCAGCATTCCGTTGCATCTGAAACGTGTTCCGTGCATGCTTCTGCCGGTCAACATGTTGATTGGCCAATGTCATTTCCTGCGTTTCTTTCCCTACCTACCGCTTGGTAGTGCAGTCACAGTGTGCTGATTAAAATGTGTGCAACTCGTGTGCGCATCGCTTGGGTTTTTGCTCTTTATTCGATATAGGCCTCTACCTCAAATCACGCAAAGTCGCACGTCCCCATCCCTGGCTCGCACGCCAACGCCCACTGCGACAGCTGCAGCCCCCGTTCGCCAACCCCCAAACGGAAGTGGGGACACAGATATGTCCAATCCAAATCAGGCATCTTTGGTCGTACCAGCGACATCTCCTAGCCAACTACAATCGTCAAAGAATCAGGAAACGTTGTCATCATCTCAACCTGAGAGCTCTGGGCAGCCTCAGCCAAAACCCTCTTCGAAAAATTCGTCCCCCGCTAAGTCCATATCTGCTTCAGGTGCACACAACATTTCTATTGGAGGCACGTGTCCAGGTGACGGACGATGTGATGGCACTGGAGGATCTAGTGCTTGTGCCGGGTGTCCTACACTCAACAATGCACTCGCCATATCCGGAAGATTAGAGATGACGGCCCCTGCAGACGAATCGTCACCGTCTGCGCCTGCGCGAGGTGTAACTCCCACCGGTGATGCGCCGTCACCCGGTGTCGATACCGAAAGCCCAGCGTCAGGGCCTGCGAAGAAAGTCAAGCCTACTGTTGGAGCGCTCAGTTGTGCTAACTGTGGTACAAGTACAACACCATTGTGGAGAAGAGATGATGTTGGTAACAACATCTGCAATGCTTGTGGTGCGTTTCAGATTTCGTTTTAGCTCGCATGCTCTTGCCATTGGCCTTATCTCCGCAAACTCCATTCACTTTGTAAAATTTCTTGCGGAGTGCACGTTCATCTCGCGATTGTCGCGCGTGTCTATCATACCTCGTTTCCAGAATTAGGGAGCCCGCCAGCCCAATTCGCCATTCACGTAATGGGAAAATGGACATTCGAGTTATTCAAGTTATCCTTTGTTTATCTTCCCTCCCACGATTTGTGGAGACGAGTACCATACTGGATGGGTTGCTCGGATATTCTTGGCACCCGTCGGAACACTTTAATTTTGACATATTGATTGATATCATTTGTTTTTTTGCCTTATCACCGTTTGGTCGGTTTCAGCACTGACCGTTGGGTTGCTTTCCAGGTCTTTACTTCAAGCTTCATGGCACGCATCGTCCCAACTCCATGAAGAAGACTGTCATCAAGCGACGGAAACGTGTCCCAGCAGCCGCAGGGATGTCGTCGGGGCGTATGTCAGATCAGGCTGCGGCCGAGGCACTTGTCTCAGTCGGCCGTCTTGGTAGCCAACACGCGAACACCGAGGAGAGTGATGGCGAGATAGAAGAGCCTCAACCTCGCCGGAAGCGAGCACGGCGTGGAAAGAGCGATCGGGAGAAGGGCCGTTTGCGCGAAAAGGATGATGATGAAGATATGGGGGAGGCAGAAGAGGAACAAGAACCTGTCAGTCGGCGGAAGAATGAGCGGACTACGCGGAAAGCGTCGCGCGACTCGCACGGTTCCGCATGGGCAGAAGGCACGAGCATACAACAGATTGCAGAGGCTTTGAGCGGTGTCACCGGTGATCGCGCCCATTCATTACCGCGCAGTTCCGATATGGAACGCTTCGCACATGCTCACCATCTTGCACGCACTGGATCGGGCCATGGCGCATTCATGGCAGCGCCCCATGCTGGATTCGATCTCCCTCCTCTTAACGCCGCTCTTGGTGAACGATTTGGCGGCTACGGACCCCCTGGTCTCTTGGGTAATCGTGATTTCGGTGGAACGCCGTCTAGCTACATGCGCTCTGGTTCCAATGCGCCAAGCAGGACGCATTCGCCGTTAAACCCTGGTCTTTCTGCTCCTGGTTCGGGGTACGTCTTACCGCCACCTCATGGCATGGGTCATGGATATTACGGATCCCTCGGTCATTCGCCCCCGCCTCATGATGTTTTGAACGGTGTCTTGACGTCAGGTGTTCCGACTGCGAGTGAGTTGAGGCAACATTACCTTGAACTGCACGAGCAGCGGAAACGGTTAGAGGAGATGATCCAAAAAACGGATGCTTTGATGGCTGGTGTCAAGCGAGGTCTTGACGACATAGCGAACGTTTCCCAGCAGCAACACCAGCAGCAACAGCAACAGCACTCTCCCCAGCATTCTCACACCTCCCCCGAACAGCCTGCGCAGCAGACTACAGTCTCATCCACCGCGGTGCCTTTGACTCGTTCCGGCGACAAGGACAGAATTAGAGAACCTGTTTGGCCCGTGTCGCCTGAACAGCCCCCTCGCGAATAACCAACTCTCCTGCGACTCTCCAAAAATGACTTCAACGTCATCGCTGTCATTAGCTTTGCAAATTCGTTTTGTCGGTATCGTTTTGTCCATAATCCCCACTCGCATTACCCCTCACGACACGTCGCTCTTGTGATCATCTTGCTTTCTATGTTTGACCGACGGTCGGTCCGGGACTATTTGTTGAGCACTTTTATTCATCAACTGACCACCTTGGTGAACTATCTATTTCTCTATCTCTTCGTCTCTTGGTTACCCCAGTTCATGCTTTGCACGTCTTCTATGTCAATATTAGGTTTGTCTTGTTACTTTTGATACCTTCGCTATGCATATTGCCCAGTACTATGATCCGTTTAAAGCACTTTTCCACGAGCACCCCTGTTCTTCTTGTCCCTTCATGTTTTGTTTTGCGCGTATATTATATCTATGTCGCCCCATAGTGTAGATCGCTGGTCATTGATTGTGGTCGGTGTACATTTTCTAATCTTTATATACTCATCGTTTATACAGTGTTTCGGCTGGTTGGCTTCACCCTACTCCCTAGAGTTCGTGTCTTGTTGTCTCAGCCTCGGCATGCCATCTATTTCTGTTTATCCAGCAATCACATAGTATTTTTGACCACACTCCTGTTCGACTTGTCTCTCAAACATAACACGGATGCTCAGGAGCCATCGAGAGCTGTAGGGCTTTCCCATAGACGAGTCGTTGGCTCTCTAGTTTGGCTCATTCTCTCAGTCCTGACACACAGTTACGCCGTAGGGACAATGTGGCCAATGCAACCGTGCGCCGTTGTGCAGGTGAGCACAAGTTTTCACAAACTCGTGATCGTCAAGATGGTTAAACCATCACCCAGCTCCTTGCAGTTTTCACGGATCAACATACAAACAGGTCTTTGGTTATTTCCGCCTGAATCTTGTGTCACCTGCTTTTCTTGCGGCACTCAAGAGGCAGCCTGATTTGTGCTAGGGTGCCAAATATCAATTGTAGATGTGCCACTCTGAGCAGTTCAAGGATTAACTTACTTCCCTGGATCGAGTAACAACTCGATCCACTGTTATACAGGTCACTTTATTGTTGTCTTGACTAACAAAAACCTTCACGAGATGCATTCAAGCATTTTTTGAGTACCCTTTCATTTACGGGAGCGACGTTAATGCCATCATGAATGAGCATTTGACTCACGTCGCCTTGCAGTCAATCCGTCTCCTCCGGTACGTGCTTGAAAACCATGAGGCTCTATATACACCCTCTGTCACGCTCCGAAGATGTAGCTGGGACGGTCAATATCAACTTATCTGAGCGCTGCAGTGGTATCAAAAAGGCACCGTCTCAGAGACCCCAACGCTTTGCCTGTCATACGAGGCTTTTGATATTTCTATGTCTGCACTGATGTGCTCAGTAGTCCAGATCTGTACTTCAACGTTAACGGACGTCAGGACGTCGGTTACAAAGTTTCAGCTACTAGTAGTCGGAGGGACCTAAGCTAGCGGTTATCGCGGCCTCAGGTAAACTGGTATCGACTACATGGAGCATGAGCAAATGGATCTATGCCTCAATGTGATTCAAGTCAAGAACATAACATACAGCCTGGGATCATAGAGATCGCGAGGACGCACCAGGTTGTGAAACGTAGCTCGAATGTGATACATCCATATCCCAGCTAAGGTAAGTAGAGGAATGAAGGAAGAATCTATAACGAACAAAGTTCGTCAAAACCGCCCAAGCTGTACCATGAAAATTACCTTTCCCGGACGGCGTCTCCTAACATAACATCTTTAGCTTCTTATCACTGAAACTCAAGGAATCGAAAGGTGAAATGGCTCCAACTTCAGTCGACTCTCGGCATCTTCTCCAGGTTAAGAGCCTCCGCAGCACTGGATTATGATGGCCAAATTGGAAAAACAGAAATGAGGGGACCAGCCTATAGATATCCACGCCGACGAACTTGGTCTGGTGGCGCCAGTGGCATGTTTATGATGACTAAATGTGCCAATTCCCATAGGGAGTGCGGCTTGGAACGCAACATTCTTCCACTGAAAATCTGAAACATAAAACAGTCATGGTGTAAGTTATCATTATATGACTATTTTAGTCCCCAGAGTCTAGCTTCGTCTGGCTCGAGACTCGGCGAGAGTCACTGACACGATCTTAATAGGTTGGGTCGTTACTCGGGGTGGGATGCCGAAGCAGGTGGAGCTGCTCGGAAGGGCGAGACATCTGCTCACAAATTCGATCATAATATGTCGAATGACCGAGTTCTTCGAGTAGCTTCTCAACGGAATATGTGTCGATACCTCATTGTAAGTCAAGAACACTCGATTAAAAGTCACTACGGAGTGTGAACTGCGATGCGAAAATTAAAGGGAGCTCGAGTGGTGGTTGGGTCTAAAGAAAAATTGCGGGTGCGAGTGGGGTACGACGTCGTGGCAGAGAGAATAACGAATGCAGGAAGCGGACAGCGTTCACTCAGCTGGACGTATGGTGCTAGGACATCCAGGCAGGACTACATCACCCAGCAGTCTGTCCAGCTTCGCCTATCGCAAACACGTTGAAGTCAGGCGAACAGCGGTTGGGGCGGGGCCGGGCGTCAACTCGGTCCGAACGCTGGCAAGATTGCCGTCAGGGTGTACGAGAAGACTTGACATGCGGGCTTAACGAGATACGAAGCTGGTGGTGGGTATTCATGAACGATTAATCAAATGTACATTAGGGAGCAAGCGAACGAGAGTACTGTGAAGAACGAGTACTGTGAAGGAATGAATGTATTGTGAAAGGAGCGAGAGTACTGTGAGAAAGGAGCGAGTGGATCGTATGATGCAGTGAAGAAGAAAACCACGAGGAAGAAGAAAACGCTTGTCGCTTAGCTGGACGTGTGGTGCCGGTTCTATCCGAGCATTCAGGAACCGGCACCTTAAACATTCCATCAAGCACTAGTAGGTTTCCACTCAGAAAGCCACTCATGCATGTAAATCAAGCTGCTTCCTGCACGGCCGCGATAGTCGAGTCTACAATGCCATTCTCCGTGATCATGTCTGAGCAGTGGAATCCATCGCCCTCATAGATTGGCATGCTGAGAGTGTTGGACTTATTCAACCCATCAGCAGAGACAGTTGCATCGCGCCATGGGTCACGCAGGCCGTTAGCGAAAAAAAGACGCGGGATGTTCACGTTCCAACCGGCATACATTATGTCAGTCTGCGCAGTGGTCGGCTGAGGTGGATAGGCAAAGGCTTGAGGAAACATGTTCACGCATTGGCGCTGAAGATTATGGTGAACAATGCTCATGTTTCGTGTCCAATATACGTACCTCTTCATAAATGGGTTGGAGGATGCGGCTTACAATTGCGGGCTGGCCTTCAGGAGGGCCAACCTGGTACCATCCGACTTGATTGCACCTGTAATAATTGTCAGGGTGGATATTCGAACTACTGAGAATACATACACCATCCAAAACCATGACCTTTCTGCATTATTTATGGTAACATTAGTCCAGTAGGACTGGCTCGTGTTATACGTCCCAAGACAAGCTCTAGCTTCACCGTCAGCCAATCTGGAAGACTACATCCCAAGAATACGTACTCGGCACCCCCGTCTCCACAGACTTTACTATCAAGTTTAGCTACATCAATCAGAAATCAAGGGGACTGCATACCGTAGTCGTAGTATGTGGTATTCCAGAAGTTACCCCAAGAGTAGATAGCATTATCAAGTCCCCATCCCTGAGGTCCGGCGCTAACGCCATCCTTGACTTCAAGTGCATCACAGAACTCGAAGAACATTGCTCCTGGGCCAACATCGGGCTGCAGAGATTGCCAGTCATACAGGTTGTATTGAACTGTTGGTGCAAGAAAAGTTAGTTGGCTCAAAAAAGCAGCAGATCAAATTGACAAAAAGAACACTGCAGAAGAAAAAGAGATAGGAAAGACCAACTCGCGACCAAATCAGCACGCGTTGGTGAAGGGAAGATAGATCGCAATGAGTATTGCCCAGATCGGAAAGCATGCTAAGCATGCTGTTCGTTCTACGCAAATACATAAGGACAACGATGACTCACGTGCACTGGCGAAATCGTCCACGTGTACAACATCTCCGAGGCCAAATGTTTCCTTGAGCGTCTGGATTCCAGCGGTGTCATTGGCCGCGAACATCCTATCCAAGTATGCAATCACTGCCTGTACATCAGACGAACAGTTCTGTGGCATGTACTCGCGAATAGGTGTGAAATAATCGTAAAAATCGCTGTTTGGTCAGAGAACAGCGATCCAAGGCCAGTTTCAACGAACGGACACGTTGTATGCGGATACATTCAGTTGATTATAACGGAAGGAGAAGCAATCAGAATGATGGGAGATGCGCGGTGATATGACATACGTGATGGCTTCTACGACGGCCGAAGATGCATATCCAGCCCAGAAAATTCCCGGCTTGCTTTACGTTAATCATTATGCTGAAATATCAAAATTTTGTTTGAATTCTCACTTGACCATCGTCCAACTCGTGAGACCCCCCGAGTAGCTTCCTCCGATCAATATCCATGGCGCCTGACCTGGTTTTACAGCATCACCCCCAGGCATAGGAAGGTCAGCGGTGGTGGCGAAATATGCAAAGTCATCGATAGCCTGCTGGATAGTGAGGAGAGCTAGGGATTGTGATGTGAGGTTGTCATATGGATTGGAATAACCAAAGAAACGGTGTTCAATGACGATGGCTGCACCATTTTGTTGTTGGGCGATGCGACCATTGATGGTTACATTGGTAGTATACCCCTCGTAGCCTACAAGTCAAGTGCTTGAGAGAAAGTCGCAAATCTCGCAAATAAAGAATGGTAAACTGACCATCTGCGTCACCTTCTCCAGGCGTCATCAAGATGATGGGGCCACCTTCAATGCATCAGGCTAACATTACTCGGAGCTGTACCTTAATCCTCACAACATACCAGGCTCGTAGAACTCCCAGTTCATCCAGTATCGCTGTTTAAAGGTCCCGAGATCTGAGTTGTTGTGGTCGATGAGCTGATCAAAGTAGTAGACGGTCGTAATAGGTGGGAGCGCTGTGCCATTGAATGAAGTGAGGAAACGTTCAGGCACTGGGAGCTTTGGTAGAGAAGGCATGCCGCGAAGCATGGCATTGGGGATAGCTGCTCGGGCGAGGCCTGAAAGGATGAGCAATGCAATCCACATCATGTCCGGCCTTGAAAGCTTGAAGCTTGACAGCCAGGGTGGGGTTAGATAATTTGAACATGGTCGGGGAAACACTTTTTATAGCCATGGCAGGATGCGTGAGTGGGTAATGTAACACTTGCAATTTGACACATCAATGTACTACTCGCTTCGCAAGAGAGGATATGATTGGACGTTACTCGATGGCCTTACGTGACAGCGCGCCCAACAAAATGATGGAACGACCCAGTACGTATGGATTTCCTCTGGAGTCTGAACTTGCGGCGCACAGGCTGATATGGATTTACATGCATGGCAAATACTGATGTAGCAGAGATTTATGATGGTCATCGTGGTGCCACAAAGGCTGGCTTGACCTGGGGATTTCAAATTTAATACAAAAAGGAAGTCTTCTGATCCTGTGAGAAAGATTGCACCGTAACACCATACGATGGCCGGCATGGCCACTGACTCAGAGGCCTCAAGCTTGAAACTCCTTTGGAAACGACAGGTTGTACCGCGGTCAAAGCTGTTCTTGCTCTTCCGCACTGCTGGGGAAAGGCCAGGAAGAGTATTACTAGCCTTGACGCTGGCCCGCTGGGGTGGTTCATACCGAGAAGGTAGCGAGAATCTGCTGCAACTTTTATCTTGATTAGCCAGTGCGATAGCCTTCAGTTAGTCCCAGAGGCGCTCAGGTCAGTGTTGCTGATAAGTAGTTTTGCCGACCCATTCAGTAAATGATAATACTGCCAGGACTCCGAGTCAGTATGGTCCAATAATTTCCACTAGCAAGGCCCTCCATTCTGCACTTAGCCTTCAATATCTCATGATCTCTGACCAGCTGCTCCGCATTCTTGTCACACGTCGGGACCTCAAGCGTCCACTACTTTGATAATAGGCTGGAGCGTGTTGTGATATGTGTGATTGGAATTTCTGAAAGAAAGGTGTTCGATTGTGGGTGCAGGTGGCACGTCGGGTGCTAGTAGAAAATGTGTGGGCACATGGTAAATTACCAGCTCTCTTCGAACACGGTGCATATAGGCGGGTAGCGCCTACGGAGCAGAGTAACATTTTGTAGTGCGCAAGACGGAGGGAGCGAAGTTGCGGGGCATGGAGAGAAAGAATAGTTCGCCGACAGCAACGGCAAGCCTCAGGCCTCAGGCATCTAGCACATCGAGCAGCGTCCCCATCATGGTCAATGGTATGCTGATGTGCAGGCGCACGTGATCCCCGAACTCTCCGGCGCCGGGCGGGCTCAAGTTCTTACTCCAAACAGGGAACCATCATGCATCATGGGTTAGAATATTGTCAAGCAGCATGTGCCACGTACTGCATACAACGACACGATACCATTTCATAAAGGTGTGATTGCCGCGTCCAACCTCTCCGAGCACAGCACATGCATTTCTCTATGACTTAAAGCGCTCTGTTGTAGCATCATTAATTGCTCTTACAACTTGGTCTCGGGGAGTTAGAGGCGCTTGTTATCCAATTCTGTCAGTTGTCATTTCCCTGGCTCTGGCACTTGCCTACCAAGGCACGTCATGCGGATTCAACGTTCCACTAATTGACATAACGTCAGGATCATGCGAGTTGGACGTTCTTTCTAATACTCGTCTATGAATTTAGGGTTATCAAGAATCTATGGTTTGCGAAGTTCGTGAATGATATGCATGTTTCTCAAGCGAGTTGATGGCGTGCTAGTCAATTCTGTGATGAGGTCCATGCAGATCGCTGCCCTTACCTGGTAAGGTTCGTGTATGCTGCCATCCTTCCCAGCTTGGCAAGCACCAGTATGGCGTGCTTACTTATATCATTTACAGTGAACTACTATATAAGACCGCCTCAAGTTTCACGGAAGAGGATGAAACATCAACTTTAGGACTGCTCTTACCCATTGAGTCGAATGGCGAACAACTTAACCAATCAGCAAGTAACCTGACTGCTCTCAGACCATTGATTGATCAATTTTTGTAGGCCACCCGAGTCGCTGCCAGACCATTGGGCGGTTCCAGATTTTAATAAACATCCCATACTGTCCGCATTATTCCGTTCACTCTGTTTAATCTCAATGGGGAGACAGTCTCTCGAACATCACTGGAAGTCTAAGATCAACGATGATGAATGGGAGAAACATAGGAAAACTTTTGTCGACAGACTGAGTAATACTAATATAGTGGTAGGAAATATCGATATCACCTAACCGTGTACTGATTTTTGACATTCCAGGCGGGCTTGGTATGCAGCACTTCTCAGGGCCAAAGAAAAAAAATCTAACACTGGACTGCAGGTGCTCACTACCTCAGCAGTCTTTCTTTCAACGCAACCGCCGCTAACGTCATTTCTTCCATACACTATACGCACTTGCTATATTTTAGCCCTCGGATCTTTCGCGCATGCCCTCGGCGGTCTGCTTTCCGGTTTAGCTGTGGTCAACATATATCAAGCCTGTGATCGAATCTGGGCTAAAGATGTTTGTAGCAGACCTGACTGCACTTATGCGCATTCACAAAAATTGCAGGTCCTGACGGCCACACGCTTTCGACTATGCTGTACACTTCTGTTCATCAGCTGGCCGACTATATCCCTCACAATTTCTATCTTCTTTTTGATGTCATGTGAGTGGTCCTATATTGATGCGGAGACCAATCTAATAGCACCCCATAGCTCTTATGATCGCGTGTTACGCTTCTGGAGTGTGGTGGCTTCAATTCTTGGCGACAGTAGAGATATTGTCCTGGGCGTGGTTGCCCCCTCTCTTCGCTTGGTGTGCACTCAAAGAGACTCTTCCAAAAAACTTGCGGGCATCCAGACGGCGGGCTGGCACCAGGCTGCCTTCCTGAGGTATGTATATGTACCTTCAAGGAACTATGATGAGTCGCGTAACTCGCTACTCCATCAGGTTGTGTTTGAGCACGTGTATGGCCAACGTGTCGATGGTCTTTGGATTACACCCAGAAATGACACATGTATATTATCAGAAGTTGGTGCCTGCAGTTGTCCAGACTCAGTGGCGCTGTTCAGATGCTATATTCTACTGTATAGGAGCTTCTTCTTCTGCTATCCAACTTTGGATTCACAGCGAGGTGAGCCGTGTGGAAGTTAACACACTCGATCTCGCAGGTGTGTTTCTTTCGAGAACTCGAATGGTCAAATCCGAGTTATCAAACCTTCATAACGAAGCTTGGGATGCTTCTCGACAGCAGGCAGCACCGCACGACTTAATGTGGCGCAAGGTAATTTCCGTGGCTCATGCCAGCATGTTGAATTCCTTGACAAAGGGCTTCACAGCGCCTATCACAGATTGATGCAATGCATTGAAGTCTAAAACCAGGACACATTATATCGGACTAGCCGATGTGACAGGCCATAGCTGTGCGTGCATGTGCACATCGCTGTGCTCCGGAAACAATTCCTATTGCAACCTGCATATGTGATAATGTTCAACGGCTCGTAGGGTCACACTCTCCAATGCGCTATGCTTGTATATTATATCGCAGCGGTGGCTCGCTGCCAGTTCCCGACTCCCTTGACTGGTCAATTTCTTCACTTGATTCTTTCCCCCGAAGGCTCGTACACAACGTTCCACGATCTGTGCAATACATGTCTCTACTCGTCTCTGTCGTCTGGCCAGCGTTTTCCAGAGTCATGTTCAGCACTCTTCACAGCAACCCTTCACAGCTTCTCCCAAATTCCTTCAGACATAGGCTACACGGGAACGGCCTTCCCGTCAACACCATCCATTTAACCATGTTCATGCAGAATCTCGTCGGCTTTAGTCCACCCTGTCAGTCTACTCAACGCCTTTTGTATTCGCAAGCCATCGAGGTCACCCTTAGTTACAGGTAGTATCTTCTTACATTTGACCGGCCCATTTTATCTGCACTGTGTCAGTTGTCAGTCACTTTCATGTCTCTCTTGACGCGTGCGGAAGACCGGTGGCAGCCAAGGCACTGAGCAGTAGTACAGAGAGCGGGAGCCGACAGCGCACTTAGGTTATCTGCATGGCACGAAGGCGTATGAGTAAACCGGAAAGGATCAGCATTTAATGTGGCTACAAGAGACGAATGCATGTTCGAAAGAACCGCACTAGGCTGATGGACGAAGTGCTGGAACACAGTACTGACGGTATCTCAAAGTGAGTGCGTGAAAATAAAATGTTATCATGTCCAGGCGTACCAGAACGTCAGATGCGGCACTCTCGACAGAGATAGCATCGGTGGGAGGGAGGCAGATTTGGCAGCTCAAAGCTTGAATTGCAAGGGTCCGCTGTAAAGTGAAGACATACAACGCAGGGCGCTGAAATAGCCAGTCACGTGCAAGGAATGCAGATCGGCGAAACACCTAACGTTTAAATGTGGTCCTTGGCAGAAGCTTCATACAATGGAATTGGGCCAACCCGAAATCAAGACAGCGTGCGGGGGACCTCGTAGACCACAAAAGAGTGCCCGAGGTAAATGTTCAGCGCAACAAAAGTCATGCATCGTAGCAAGACAGGCAAAATGGCAAAGGGACATACCAACGCAATGTGGGGAGAGGGAAAACTTCCAATGAGGTAGCAGATGCGGTGGGTGGTCTAGGCCTAAACTTTAAACGATTCACGTGCACATGAAAATAGGGGTACCTGAACGTTTAGAGGACCTTACAGAACCCTCCCCACTTCGTGGAGTCGGGGATGCAGATTCGCACAGCTTTGGCCGTAGTGAGAGCTCGCTGATGTTAGTAGAGTGCGATGATCATGTTGCAGGTGCGAGATTGCAACAAGAATGGACATGGGAAGGTAATTGACGAACGGGACAAACTGAAACCAGATGGGCTGGGAGTTGTCTAAGGAATTGGGATGAGCGAGGAGCAAAGCGCTGGAAGGCTGACACCTTTGAAATCATGGTTTGGATAAAACGCGTATTGAAAGAGAGCCATTAGGAGCGGATTTGAGACGCGATAGAGAAATTTGGTTGCACGGGCAGATCTTGGGAACCGACGAGATGGTATTGCAGTAAGCTATATGCACTCGGATAAGTTACATGAAGTGTCGGAGAAACTACTCGACACGAGAATTGATGATATTCATGCGGCAATCTAGGGTGGATAACTTTCAGCCAAATTCCAAGACTGGGAAGTCACACGCCTTCTTTCAGCAGGCAATACGGGATCCATTGACTTGGGAGCAGGTTGGTCAACCCTGGGAAGGCCATACTCGCAGTATCTACACCATTATCATTCATCCCGCTGGCACCCTTGTCGCTTCCGCATCTGAAGACAAACATGTCCGTCTCTGGCGGCTCTCAGATCGACGAACCATCGCCATCTTCCAGCACTCATCCAACCTGACATGCGTCACGTTCTCTTTGGACGGCAAGCACATCCTCAGCGGAGGTCTAGATAAAGAGATCTCAGAGTGCCAAGTACCCAGTGACATTAATTCAAAGGCGAGTTTCCATCCTTGACTCTTATAACGCAATTCGAGCATCCTTCGTGCAGATCCTGGCTATCACGACAGCCCGCAATGAGTGCATCGCTGGGGACCTGGACACCGCTGAAGAGTTCCTCACCCAAGAGATCGATACCGATGCCAACCCTTATACTTCCTATACCAATCGCTCATTCGTTATGGCCCGAAAATACGACGGAGAACGACCTTTACGATGAGGCGATTGAAGGGACACGTCTGAAGACCTAGTCACTTGTACCTCTCATACTACTCCCTCTCCTCTGAAGAGGCAGCCAATAGTCAGCGATGCAGTGCAAACAATACTTGCTTTGTATGCCCCGTCTATTTTGCGATGGCTTTGCCATTGTCTGAAATTTTGCAGTAAGATGATTCCCAGGGCACGCTGGCGTTTCTCCATCAATATTCATTCAAACGGTAAACCTTTATGCAAAAAATTCACCAGCAGGCTCATAATTTACCACCATCGAGGAATATGTGACGAGCCTTTGATCTTCTTTGACCAAGAGTCAGTTCAGGCACATTGGGCCACTGAGTGGCCTGGTTACCCTATACATCCCGACGTGACGGGATGGCTGCACATAAAACGCTCCTCTCTCGCCAGGATTATGCCGTGTAGTCCAACCCTTGCGATCAAGATGTGGGCCCTCACGTCGCTGCTACTTGCGGGCGTCGCCCGAGCAGCCATTCCCAATCTCATGCTTCGTGGTATGCAGTCTCTCCCAAAGATTCCAGTGCCGGAACGTTCTATCACTTCGCCGAATGGCACAGCACTACCAAACATCACAACCACCTATTACTTCGACCAGCTCATCGACCACAATAATCCAGACCTTGGAACTTTCCAGCAGCGATACTGGATGAACTGGGAGTTTTATGAGCCTGGTATGTCACAAGGATCGAGGTACGCTTCAAGTGACACTGACGCGTGCATTCAAGGTGGTCCCGTTATATTGATGACGCCTGGGGAAATTAACGCGGATGGTTGGTTTTACTACAATCGATTTGTCGTCTTTCTCTCAAAGTACTTGAGTTCAGGCTTTGAAGTCTTCATTACCAATGACAGTATCAATGGTCTCATTGCCCAGCAACAAAACGGTGCAGCCATCCTCATCGAACACCGTTTCTTCGGTGATTCCAATCCATACGACAACCTCACGTCACAATCTCTCTCGCTCCTCACCATCCAGCAGGCCATTGATGATCTCGTGTACTTTGCGACCACAGCCGACCTTCCCATGTCTGGGGGTGATGCTGTGAAACCAGGTCAGGCGCCATGGATATTGGTCGGAGGAAGTTACTCGGGAGCCCTTTCCAGTTATACGATGGTCAAGTGAGTGCCACCAACAGATGTTGTTTTTTCAGCATAATGATCGGCTCAAAGCAAACCGGGAATTTTCTGGGCTGGATATTTATCCTCTGCTACCGTGGAAACGATCACGTATGTCACTTTATTGCGATCATCGCTGACTTCTATTGATATGACGGATTGCTTCTCTCTTCCTTTACAATCACCTCTGACATGGATGAATATGTGGTCGCTTATTGAATTCCGGCCTCTTCTGAACCAAAATTAGTGACTATTATGATTATTTCACCCCTATTCGCGAGTACATGCCACAGAACTGTTCTTCTGATGTCCAGGCAGTGATCGCCTACCTGGATAAGATGTACATGGCTAACGACACGGCTGGAATCCAGACGCTGCAGGAGGCATTTGCCCTCGGCGGTCTCAATCATGTAGGCGATTTCGCCACCGCACGTGAGTCGTCCTTGTGCTTCGTTCACTCTTAATACTTGCGCAGAGCGGCCGCCTGCACTCCCTCTGATTCTCGCAAAGTCTTTGAGTTTGTTTTGCCTTCGGGTAATCATCCACATCAATGTTACCATAGACATCCGGTAACATTGGTGCGGGATGATTATCCTCTTCATTGATGTCGCGTCACCCGTCTGGGTACGAATTCGTACATTTGTCCTTGGACGATGTTCTATTTCTCAATTTGGCCTACTGTCTTTTATCTAACTGACTCTACTCGGATCAATAGTTCAATACAACCTATGGGATTGGCAATCCCTCTCACCTGATGACGGCCCAGGATCAATGTTCTATCAGTTCTGCGATGCGCTCGAGGTCAAGGACGGTGTCAATGCCGGACCTGACGGGTGGGGACTTGAGAATGCTATTAACTCTTGGGGCGACTTTTGGAACACTACATACTATAGCTACAGTACGGTGGTCCGTTTCATTTTTGATTTGACATGGCTAATCTGGATGGTGAAGCCTGTCAGGATAAAGACGTTGAGTACGTGTTCTTGGGACGTGCTGTGCTTCGCACTGCCTAACGGCGAAACTAGAACCTGCCTTGGGACGTTTGATCCGACTATCACCTACTGGACTAATATTACCGTGGACAATGCGGCCAGATCATGGTTTTGGATGGTGTACGCATTCTCATCCGCATCGATATCTAATCTGACAATCTCGCTAGGTGCAACCAAATCGGTTTCTACCAGGTTGGTCCCCCTGAAGGCCAACCTGCGATCGTGAGCCGCATCATCCAACCCAGTTTTGTAGAGGTACGTAGATTTGATCTGACAAATGAATATTCATCAACATAATCATCAGCGTCAATGTGTCAACATGTTCCCTCAAGCCTTCGCCTCTCCCCCTGATACACCCACGGCAAAGACAAATGCAATGTACGCTGGTTGGAACGTGAACATCCCGCGTATTTTCCTTGCCAACGGTTTGCGCGATCCTTGGCGCGGGGGAACCGTGTCTGCTGATGGACTGAATAAACCCAACACTACTAGCATGCCGATCTATATGAGCGACGGATTCCACACCTCGGACATGATAACGGATAACGGCGTTATAGATCCGACTATCGCGGTCGTGCAGAAAGCAGGATTAATGTACATGAAGGAGTGGCTTGCTGAGTGGAAGCCTTCTACGTAGTACAAGATCGAGTTGTTGAGACTTGTGCACAGGCAAGTTATCTATCAATAACTTACTATTTTATACATCTCAGGGTGCAATGGGCGATTCGTGGTTCCGTCTGCCACTCAGGAACTAGCATCCGTAGTATTCAAAAGCCTCAGGTAATTGGTTTACGCATAACCTAAATTCACCATCATCACTCCCGCTGACCGCTTTCCTCCCATCCGGAGATAACGCTATAGCGTACACGTGCACTTCACTTCCTCTATCCCGCCAGTCGTCTCCTATCTGTTTCCCATTCTTCCAGTTCCATACATAGCGAGCGGTCCCTTGAACAAGTCATAATCTACTCTCCCTTTGGCAGATGTATGGCGCCCTCGACCCATTTGGTGTCTTTCAAATTTGTGGCGGGACATTATCATCGATGTCTCCTGTGCCGGTGAAGACATAATCAACTACTGGATGCAGCTCCGTTTCAGCTTTCACACAGCAAAGTTTAAAATCATCAATTACGTTGACACCAAGACACAATAGGCATATACATCAGGAGTGCACTTGAAGTTTAAGCTGTTACGTTTTACAATTTTTATCTTCGTGTTTGCCTCACAGCTTACAACATATGCTGTGGAATTGATGCGCTCAAGCCTCGTTTCTGATCACGTGGAATGCCATCAGTCATAATATTCACTCTACGACGGACTGACCGTATGTACACTCTTCATGTGTCCCGTCACAACCTTGCCCAACACAACTTCACTCCGCTATCCTTCTGTAATTAATGTGGAGGCTTATGATTGGGAATGCTCCACACTAACATTCGCTGTATGAATGAACATGTACCTGAGGTAGTCGGTGCCAGGCCGTCGACAGAACAGAGTACGAGGAGTGTCTTTGCTCTGAATCACATACAGTGCAGACAAAACAGAATAGCTGTGGCCTTGAGAACGAGATGCACTGTCTACATTCAACTACTGCTCCCTAAACGTAGTGGCCTTGATCATGTAGTCTATGCGTTGCTCTCAGTTTTCAAGGTAACCGTCAAGATATCAGATCTATTGTCTACTCAATATATCTGATACAGATAGTAGCAACAGAGTTCTGTGGCTATTTGGGCTCAAACCTGAAGGGTTTGCGACTCGAAACGTCATTTCTAACCTAAGGAGAGTTCATGATGAGCCGTGAGGGCGGGCGGGCCTCAGCAGCTCAATCTTTTTTAGAAATCGAAGAGTTTCTGCTAGGGTAGAAAACAATGCGTCGAATAATGTGTCGAGAGTGAATAGTTTGCTTTATAATTTAAATTCTGTTCGATTCTTCGTCTTGATTTGAGGATCTTGCGCACATTAAGAGATTCTAGCTGCTATAAGGGAGAGGAGGGCGGGTGCGACGAAACGATAGTGTAGTCTAGCAGTAGAAGACTTGCAAATACTACGCGGTAGTATGAAGCAAGAAGGATGCGAACTTCGAAAAGCTGTGCCGCCGCATAGACCTCATTCTATCTACGTTTTCGTTCCTCAAACTTACATAGAATATAATCTTCGCTCAAATGAATTTCTATAAAAGACGATGAATACTGCTTGAACTATAGAGCTCAAGGACAACGCTGCACATACAGTGCGGGTTCCTGAGTGGTCACAAGGAACCAGCGGGATCCGTTTTGAGACATATAATAAAGTTACTAATATAAACAACTTGCCTATTCACAAATCCCAATGATTCAGTCTATTATCACGCGGACGGCGTCCACTCAGCAAGCCACTCCTTCATATACATCAATCCTGCTTCCTGCACGACCGCGATAGTCGAGTCTACAATGCCATTCTCCGTGATCAGGTCTGAGCAGTGGAATCCATCGCCCTCGTAGATTGGCATGCTGGTGGTGTTAGGTTTATTCAGCCCATCAGCAGAGACAGTTGCTTCGCGCCATGGATCGCGCAGGCCGTTGGCAAAGAAGAGACGTGGAACAGTCATGTTCCAACCGTCATACATCATGTCGGTTTGTGCAGTGGTCGGCTGAGGTGGATAGGCAAAGGCTTGAGGAAACATGTTCACGCATTGGCGCTGGAGACTATGTTGAACAATGCTCATGTTTCGTATCCAATATACGTACCTCTTCGTAAATGGGTTGGAGGATGCGGCTCACAATTGCAGGCTGGCCTTCAGGGGGACCAACCTGGTACCATCCGACTTGATTGCACCTGTAATAATTGTCAGAGTGGATATTCGAACTACTGAGAATACATACACCATCCAAAACCATGACCTTTCTGCATTATTTATGGTAACATTAGTCCAGTAGGACTGGCTCGTGTCATACGTCCCAAGACAAGTTCTAGCTTTACCGTCAGCCAATCTGGAAGACTACGTCTCAAGGGTACATACTCAGCATCCTCGTCTCCACAGACTTTACTATCAAGTTTAGCCACATCGATCAGAAATCAAGGGGACTGCATACCGTAGTCGTAGTATGTGGTATTCCAGAAGTTACCCCAAGAGTAGATAGCATTATCAAGTCCCCATCCCTGAGGTCCGGCGCTAACGCCATCCTTGACTTCAAGTGCATCACAGAACTCGAAGAACATTGCTCCCGGGCCGACATCAGGCTGCAGAGATTGCCAATCAAATAGGTTGTATTGAACTGTTGGCCCAAGCAGAGTCAGTCGAGTCAAGAAGGCAGCAGAATAGTTTAAGAAAAAGAATATCGCAGAAGGAAAATTTGAGGTAACCATATGGAAAAGGAAGAACCCCACACGCTGGTGAGGGTAATATCAACTACAGATGTTGCGCGGATCAGAAGCCCTTCGGACCGTGCTGTCCGTTCTACGCAAATACATAAAACTGAATAAAGGACGACAACTCACGTGCACTGGCGAAATCGTCTACGTGTACAACATCTCCGAGGCCAAATGCTTCCTTGAGGGTCTGGATTCCAGCGGTGTCATTAGCCGCGTACATCCCATCTAGGTAGGCAATCACTGCCTCTACATCAGAGGAACAGTTCTGTGGCATGTAATCACGAATAGGGGTGAAATACCCATAATAGTCACTGTTGCGGTCGAATGAAGCCGCATTTCAATGAATGACCATGTTGCAATGGAGATATATCCAGGTGATGATAACGGTCGAAGAAACAATCACATCAATGGGACATAAACGGTGATTTCAATAAAGTGACATACGTAATTGCTTCTACGACCGCAGAAGATGCATATGCGGCCCAGAACAGTCCCGGTTTGCTTTACGCAAATCATTAACGGAAACAAACAAACATTTCTGGTAAGTTACTCACTTGACCATCGTCCAACCCGTGAGGGCCCCCGAGTAGCTTCCTCCAATCAGTATCCATGGCGCCTGACCTGGCTTCACAGCATCACCCCCAGGCATGGGAAGATCAGCGGTATTGGCGAAATACTCGAGATCATCAATGGCCTGCTGGATGGTGAGGAGCGTAAGAGATTGTGACGTGAGGTTGTCGTATGGATTGGAATAGCCAAAGAAACGGTGTTCGATGAGGATGGCTGCACCATTCTGTTGTTGAGCGATGAGACCATTGATAGTTTCATTGGTAGTGTAGGCCTCGTAGCCTAAAAACCAAGTGCTTAAGAGAAAGTCGCAAACCAAGGATGGTAAACTAACCATCCGCGTCAGCTTCTCCAGGCGTCATTAAGATGATGGGGCCGCCTTCAATGCATCAGGTTGACGTTACTCGAAGCTCAATCCTCACGACATACCGGGCTCGTAAAACTCCCAGTTCATCCAGTATCGTTGCTGGAATGTCCCGAGGTCCGGATTGTTGTGGTCGATGAGCTGATCAAAGTGATAGACGGTTGTAATGGGTGGGAGTGCTGTGCCATTCGGCGAAGTAATAGAACGTTCCGGCACCGGGAACTTTGGTAGAGAAGGCATGCCGCGAAGCATGGCGTTCGGGGCAGCTGCTCGAGCAAGACCTGCAAGCAGGAGCGATGCAAGGGCCCACATCATGTCGAACCTTGATGACAGGGATGGCACTTGACGACATGACGATGGTCAAGGAAAGACCTTTTATAACCACAGCGAGGCACCACACTTCTGATTTGAATTCTGAAACATGTGCTACTTACTTGACTTCGCAAGACTCAGCAACAACATGTGGGGAGTTCTCAGGATTATAATTGGACGTACTAGCTGCAGATTGCTCGACGGCCTTGAACTCGCACGGCTGAGAATCATCGGTAATTTTAGATTCTGATCAAGTACTATGCGTACATGCTTGGTGGCCGGACTTCAGTAAAGATTTAGAAGCTAGCACTACTTGGCGATCACCGCTTGAATGCCATGGCAAAAGGTCGGCTGGAAGACAACAATATCCTATGAGAACCTGTCATCTGATTCTTGCAGCACATGCGTCGGGTGGGAGAAGAACTACACGCCACACGATGGCCAGCATGGCTAAGTGAGCTACTTTAGAGAAGACCAGCTTGAAGTTGTACCACAGTTTCTGAATCGTGCACAAGTAGAAGTTGAAGGAATCCCCTTTTGGCACTCGTTGGCCCACTGGGATGGCGATGTTACTGAAGTTCAGAAAGTTCGAGAATTGGGCAGTCTGAAGTCTGCACGGACTTGACGCAGACTCCGCGTGCAGTCATTTTCGGGGGTTCCCGGCCAGCGCGCATCAGCCGCCCAAGGTTGTCTGACTACGCCAGTCCTGTCAGAATCTGTCATCGCTCGCCATCTCTCTCATTGCCCGCCGTCTCTCTCATTGCCCGCCGTCTCTCTTATTGCCCGCCGTCTCTCTCATTGGCTGCTGGTTCTTTCTCTACCTTCGTGGCACCTCTCGTTGCCCGCTGGCTCTTTCTCCACCTTCTCACAAGCTGCGGGCCCCATAAGTCAGGAAGGCTCTAAGATAAGGCCCTATTTTAGAAGAACCTTTTGTCTGCAGACTGCACAGCGTGCCGCACGAGGCACGCAAATTAAGAAATTCAAGAAGTCACAACGAGCCATCACTACCATCATTCTTTTGCACCATTCCTCATTAATTTTATCATTTGATTTGTCCGTAGATCATCCTTGTATGCCTGATGAAACGTATTATTTTATGACGACGATAAGCGAGGGTCAGTTCATGGGGGAACTTGTCGTTGATGGAAGGGCCGTTTCGTGGTCATCAAGGCAACAGAAAATCGACTCGTTGCCCACGACAGAGAGCAAGCATGTTACACACGTAGTAAAGGAGGCGCTATGGACGTATTCATTGATCAGCGAACTCGCCCCCACAAACCTACCACCCTTTTATCAGACAACCAATCCGCAATCGTGCTAGCAGGAGATCGTCAGTACCGCACTCACACAAAGCACATCGACGTGCGTTTCCATCTCATTCGTTGGGTCATAAAAGAGGGCAAACCGCACCTCGTATTCTGCCCAACCAAGTAGCCCCAGGCAAGATGTTTCACAATAGCCCATAGATAATGCACTGCATGGGATGATATAGCGAATGACAGGTTACTATTGCTAGCGGTAGCAAGTCAAGAGCGATGTTCACAGGCACTATGATGCTGCGGAAGGCGGGTGTCATCCTTGAGTAAGTGTGTACGATGACGAATCAAGTAAGGTCGAGAAGTGATATCTGTGCAAGCTCGTGATGTGTTCGTAAGGCGTCAAAGAAGGTACCAACTTCCGTCTGCTGGTCACATGGTGTGCAGGACTCAGTTGTTGGCGGTGGATTCAGAGTGCTAGATGGTGAGAACAGACCCACGCCTTGTGTGCTGGCTGGACGGGACAGGATAATCAGCGGATGATGTGAGACGGTGGGCAGACAAACTTCGGGCTGGCCGGAAACTCTTGAAAGACGTTACACAGACCTGGAGTCGGTAGAAACATAAGCATGCAAGAGTGCAGATTATGCGCAAGGGCGGTGGCAGGCACGAGGTGCAGTGAGATGACTCATGTAAGACGGTACGAGAGTACACGAGAGAAGGCGGTCGATGATTCGATTAGTGAAGGAGAGCACTCAACGCAAGTAAGAGGGCGGCAGGTGCAGGAGAGTGGTAGCAGGAGGTGCAGCAGGCTTTCCGCCGAATGCCGTTAGCTAGTGCAACGAAATAGCGGAAATTCGAATAAACAAATGTAACTCACAAGTTGGTATACGGCAGCGAGGGTGGGAGGCACGAACGCAACGTTAACATTGCAACTCCGCTCGAACCCAGCCTTAGACTAGCCCATCGTATTAGACTTTGGCCCCAGAGTGCGGCCAGATCACTGACTTTCACGAAGCTAGTAAATACCATGACTCGGCCCCGAGCCTCAGCGACGTGTTACTGTGGTTGTTATCGACATGTCCTGTAGGGAAATAGATTTACTGACTCCATTATCACTATTAAAGCCCGTTGATTGTCATTCTAGGCTGTTAAACACCTATGTATTAATGTCGATAATACATACAGTATGCTACGACTAGTAGAAGTGTAGAGTTCATCACGACACCATTGATAATACCGTTGTGCACAATGCGCACCAAAAGTCACGAAAACATTTGCCGCTGCTGCGTATTTTGTGGCTTTGCACTGGAGCCGTGTTTTTGGTATTTGCATTCTTGACGTGTTCAGCCAATGTCCAGCTGTACGCAGCTTGTGGTATGAATGTACGCCGTAGTGAAGCGATAATTGATCATGTACTTGATAGCACATCATATACGCGAAAGCAATTTTTATCAAGTTACAACAACCAATTCCTGAGTCCTTTCTGCCAATCAGTGCACTCGCGAAGTTCAGCGATCAAGCTTAAGAAAGGTAGACGTCAAAGTAAAAAGCAACTGTGCCCGGGTATCAAAAAACTCGCTGGCAACTGGCCCTAAAGATCGTTTTTGAACGACCCGGGGTGTTGTGTATCTTCAGTCGAAGTTGCAACGTCGAGCCACGGACTGCTGTCCATTTTTGCCTTTTGATACCGCCTTTCATCGCGTCACATCGCTAAAACTCATTAAGCAAGTCAAAAATGTCAAGATCACGGTCGCAAACTCACAACCTTCAGCATTTCCTCTTGGTCGAGCGCCTCCGGCACTGTGATTGTGATCCTCAATGGAGGACCTATCAGAAAAAATCAGCCCAGAACTCAGCCAACTTATACTGGCACTGGAACTACAGGTGCATTACGGAAAAAATATAAACCAGTTAACTAGGGCTTTCGAATACCACGGATGCTGGTTCCTGAGTGGCAGAAGGAACCACGAACCGTCCATTGCACCCTGAGACGTATAGAATGATGAGTTATGGATAGATAACTTGCCTGTGCACAAGTCTCAACAACTCGATCTTTTACTACGTAGAAGGCTTCCACTCAGCAAGCCACTCCTTCATGTACATTAATCCTGCTTTCTGCACGACCGCGATAGTCGGATCCATAATGCCATTATACGTTATCAGGTCCGAGGTGTGGAACCCGTCGCTCATATAGATCGGCATACTAGTGGTGTTGGGCTTATTCAGCCCATCAGCAGACACGGTTCCCCCGCGCCAAGGATCGCGCAAGCCGTTGGAGAAGAAGATACGTGGGACATCCACGTTCCAACCAGCGTACATTGCATTTGTCTCTGCCGTGGGTGTATCAGGCGGAGAGGCGAAGGCTTGAGGGAACATGTTGACACATTGACGCTGATGATTATGTTGGTGAATATTCATTTGTCAGATCAAGTCTACGTACCTCTACAAAACTGGTCTGGATGATGCGGCTCACGATCGCAGGTTGGCCTTCAGGGGGACCAACCTGGTAGAAACCGATTTGGTTGCACCTAGCGAGATTGTCAGATTAGATATCGATGCGAATGAGAATGCATACACCATCCAAAACCACGACCTGCCTGGATTATCCACAGTGATATTAGTCCAGTAGCTGATAGTTGGATCAAACGACCCAAGGCAGTCCCTAGCTTCACCGTCAGGCAGTGCGAACGACATTACGTCCCAAAAACACGTACTCGGCATCTTGATCCTGACAGGCTTCACCATCCAGATTAGCCATGTCAAATCAAAAATGAAACGGACCACCGTACTATAGCTGTAGTATGTAGTGTTCCAAAAGTTGCCCCAGGAGTTAATAGCATTCTCAAGTCCCCACCCATCAGGTCCGGCATTGACACCGTCCTTGACTTCGAGCGCATCGCAGAACTGATAGAACATTGATCCTGGGCCGTTATCAGGTTGCAGAGATTGCCAATCCCATAGGTTGTATTGAACTATTGATCCGAGCAGAGTCAGTTGGAATAAAAGACAGTAGGCCAAATTGGGAAAAAAACATCGATAAAGGACAAATGCATTCACACCCAAACGGGTGATGCGACATGAATGAAGAGGATAATCACCCGAAGGCAAAACAAGCTGAAAGACCTTGCGCGAATCAGAGGGAGTGCAGGCATCCGTTCTGCGCAAGTATTAAGAGTGAACGAAGCACAAGGACGACTCACGTGCGGAGGCGAAATCGCCTACATGATTGAGACCGCCGAGGGCAAATGCCTCCTGCAGCGTCTGGATTCCGGCTGTGTCGCTAGCCATGTACATCTTATCCAGGTAGGCGATCACTGCCTGGACATCAGAAGAACAGTTCTGTGGCATGTACTCGCGAATAGGGGTGAAATAATCATAATAGTCACTAATTTTGGTTCAGAAGAGGCCGGAATTCAATAAGCGACCACATATTCATCCATGTCAGAGGTGATTATAAAGGAAGAGAGAAGTAATCCATCATATCAATAGAAGTCAGCGATGATCGCAATAAAGTGACATACGTGATCGTTTCCACGGTAGCAGAAGATAAATATCCAGCCCAGAAAATTCCCGGTTTGCTTTGAGCCGATCACCGTGCTGAAAAAACAACATCTGTTGGTGGCACTCACTTGACCATCGTATAACTGGAAAGGGCTCCCGAGTAACTTCCTCCGACCAATATCCATGGCGCCTGACCTGGTTTCACAGCATCACCCCCGGACATGGGAAGGTCGGCTGTGGTCGCAAAATACACGAGATCATCGATGGCCTGCTGGATGGTGAGGAGCGAGAGAGATTGTGACGTGAGGTTGTCGTATGGATTGGAATCACCGAAGAAACGGTGTTCGATGAGGATGGCTGCACCGTTTTGTTGCTGAGCAATGAGACCATTGATGCTGTCATTGGTAACGTAGACTTTGTAACCTGAACTCAAGTACTTTGAGAGAAAGGCAACAAATCAATTATAGTAAAACTAACCATCTGCGTTATCTTCTCCGGGCGTCATCAATATAATGGGACCGCCTTGAATGCACATATCAATATCACTTGAAGCGCATCTCGACCCTCGCGACATACCAGGCTCATAAAACTCCCAATTCATCCAGTATCGCTGCTGGAATGTTCCAAGGTCTGGATTATTGTGGTCGATGAGCTGGTCGAAGTAATAGGTGGTTGTGATGTTTGGTAGTGCTGTGCCATTCGGCGAAGTGATAGAACGTTCCGGCACTGGAATCTTTGGGAGAAACTGCATACCACGAAGCATGAGATTGGGAATGGCTGCTTGGGCGACGCCCGCAAGTAGCAGCGACGTGAGGGCCCACATCTTGATCACAATGGTTGGACTACACGACATGATGTTGGTGGGGGAGGGGCGTTTTATATGTAGTCATCTCGTCGGGAGGTGTAGGGTAACCAGGCTGCTCAGCGGCCCGATGTGCCTGAATTGAAGTTGGTCAAAGGCTCGTCATGGATTCCCGGATGATGGTAAATCATGAGAAACTACATAAATCGTACCTGCCCTGCAATTAGCCTGCTGATGAAAAATTTACATAGAAATTCTGTTCACCGCTTGAATGAATATTGATGGGGAAGCGCCAGCGCCCTGGGAATCATCTTAATACAGCGGATAGAAGTTGCTCATTTCGCCAGCGATCACTTTGGTAGTGCAGGAAAATTAGCCCGGGGCAGAGTGCATGGTTTTTTTTTCAAGTGCGGTGATGTCCTCGCAAGTTTCACTGCCTGCTGACTTTAGTTGGCTAGCACGTCGGCGTTTCGTAAATACGTAATTTTGGTGACCCTGGGCACTGCGAGCGTAAAGTGGGAATACCACAGGAAGAAAGATCTGGGTTCTGGAAATGCAATTGACAAGTGAGGAGAGCTTGAAGAAGGACAAGTAGAACCTCGAAGATGTACAAAAACACAAGGTCAGTGAGTCATTGTGCTTGCTGTTACACTTCTTAAGTCGATCCAATTTTTACTAGTATGGCAGCGCCAAGGTTGGTAAGTACCTCCTCCCGTGTGGTGCTTATTCCCTGCAGTATCGGGGGTGCCATTAGAATACTGAAAGGAAAATTCGCATGGGTTTGGCTGTGAGAGGCACAAAGCTTCTTGGATGAAGTAGAATGTGATGGCAATTATTGCAAGTACCGCTGTTTGACACTGCGGCAATCGCGAAGTCGGAGAAGTGGAAATGGACGGGATGACCGATTTGTCTGGATATTAATGCCATAGAGTACACAACCTCCCTGGTTGAAAAATAGATTTTGCATCATGCCAATTGAGAAGACCAGACCTACTTTGCGCAGGGTCAGAAGGCGTAGCGAGCAAATTCACAACGTCCTCATCTTCTACAGCCCATCGTGAGGTGCTGATAACGAAATGTTGCAAATCGGATCAACGCGCCGGCAATTTATCAGTAAAGAACTTCACATCGTGATACAACACCCGCCTGTATATCGGGGACTTCGTCATCTCGAGTCCTACAAAATGTCGATCAAGCTAGGCCCACCTGGGAGCGCGCTCAAGAGCACTCGAGATTCCTCCAACGTGATCCCAAAGGCTGCAAAGGGTCTTCCCAGTCTATCAGAAAGAACCCCATCAAGCTCGATGCACTGTTCACAAGTAATAATACGCAATAAGTTCAGAGGATCCATAACATGACGCTGCCTGTGTAGTTTATGAAGCTGTTCCCACGACATAGATATCACAGAGCAACCTGCGAGCAGTCATGAACCAGGGAGGAACTATATCAGATGGTGATACTGTGCTGGAGTACTAGTAGCACTTGCGGCACTGGTGTTAGGCCGCTGCCAAGAAATAATGGCTGCACCATGTCAAATCCGGGCGGAGCAGTGAGTCAGGAAACGATGTCATCTAAAGAAAGCTATTTTGTCGAGGAAGATGTGTACGACAACAGGACCGTTATCATGCGAACTGCCTCATGAGCGTCTAAATGGGACACGAGTCAGTTTGATGTTGTCACACTACCACAGCTAGAAGTAAGACGCCCACCTTCACCAGAGCAAGTTTACTTGAACCGTACTCAAAAAGAACTCCATCAAGATTCAAACCCAGTGAAAACTGACTGTGACGGGAGGAGTCGTCACATGCTTAGAAATGATTTTCCTTTTTAGTTACATGTTCGGATATGCTCGTTTATCATAATCTGACTCTTTGCACACGTCGTGCTTGCAACATTGCATTGTAAAGTGTTAACTTCGCGTGTTTCCCTTTGTTCTCTTTGCATAACCTCTCCTTGCTTTACTTTGCGTGTCTACAATCTACAGAAACGTCGCACTTCGGCGCATGTGTATGTTCAATCTATAGAAAACATGCCTACTACTACAAGCGAGTGCGCAGAAAATTCCAGCCTCTGTGTGTGCTCGAGATATAATTTCGGGAGGCCACACAATGTATATCCCCGAGCATCGTGATGTTGGATGAGCTAATGATAGTCGGGGAAGACATCGATGTGTGGTAAGTCGTGAAATGAAAGGTACCATGTCGAGACCGAGAACTTCAAGTTTCTCGATTCGGTATTTTCTGGCGGAGACAGAATATCGAATACAGACTCGGACAGTCTTGCTTTTACTTTATATCGAGCCAGTCTGTCCTATCACTGACTTTATAATTCTTACAGTTCTAGTATGTTCAGTATGGCTGGCGAGGGAGGCTAGCCTCTGGAACAACAGTGCATTTTCAGGGTCTTATACGCCTTCTCCTGGACCCTCCTTGGCAAATATGACGTCACCCGAGGCAGATTCGTTCTCACCACCCCCAGTGCAAGTCCCGCAGCCTCAATTCAGCTTGTTTCAGCAGGTGAGTCATTTGCTACTGTTTCTATTAACTTACTGTATGTTTTAGGGCGCATATATGCACAAAAACCAAGCCTTGCGAGAGCGTTGCGGAATCTTGGAAGCACAAGTCACCAAACTCTCCATTGAACGTGATACTATACAGTAAGATTTTGTATGTACTTCATGTGCATTCTCTAATGTAATGATAGGGCAATGTTTCACCAGCTCGCCTCCTCTGTGTGCCTTGACGAAGCTGTGGAGTCTCTTGGCTCCAAAGGCACGCACCTATCACTGGCAGCACCCTGCACCAGTAACACCAAACAGCCGACTCGTGAGACACATCCCAAGGTCAAATTTTGGAACCAGGACGCATTCTTGGATTGGGCGGAACGAGCTAGTGCACAAGGGCTTCATCGCGGGAAAATTCCTTACCTTGAAGGCGAAAACGGAGAACCGGTCCCTGAAGCAACAGTCAAAGCTATTCGCAAGACCCTGCGTGGAGGATGGTCAGAACTCGTAAATCGCCAACTTGCTCCGAAGTCACGAGGAAGCAGCTGCACTCGTATGTCCTTGATTCTCTCGATGGACCTTCTAAATCATCATCTACTAGGTCGCTACCGATACATGGACCAAAGCTGTCTCCGAAGGACGACTTTATTAGATTCAGCACCATCCGATCCTGCACCATCCGACATATGCATTTCCTACAATGTTTTCGAGTGTTTTCGAGCCGCTGTCCGCACATGTCATGTTTTCAAGCCGCTATTTGTGTGTTTGAGCTTTTTTGTACCACCTTTTGTACCCCCGTTGCTACAGTGCCTAATATTATTTGAGCATATTTGCGCACATTTTCAACCGTCTGGCAAGGGGAGCGAGATATTATTCAAGCATATTTGCGCACATTTTAGACCATTTGGTAAGGGAGCGAGTATATGCGTTCAAATGCGCAAATATGTTTTACATTGAAAAAAGCACCTATGTGCATGAGGAAACCCGCCCCCGCATATATTGAAATGTGCGGATTCGCTCACTACGTGTCATATCATGTTCTCGTATGTTTTTCCACTGAGCTGTTGACAAAATCACTTATCGTCACACCACACCTCCTCCCGTCACAGTCAGTTTTCACTGGGATTCAAAATCCATCACAAACGACGGATGGTTCATTGTGGCCGCATCGATCTAGTGACCACCCCTCGTCCAACGTTTGAAGGTCATGACGACGCCATAACCGCAGTCACAGCTCGTCACAGTCTTCCCCGATAAACGACGAATGGTCACTGAATCGTACGACAAGACACTTTATCTGTAGACTTACTGTGAGTAAAACCGAACGGGAACATTGTATTTGGAGAAGCATGGCAGACGGGCCCGGGTGTGATGACATGTATTTGGCGGCCTACGTTGCAGCATTACGTGGTCAGGCCTAGGGCTAGCGCTAGTGCCACAGAACTAAATCGCGCACTCTATGATCAAGTCTGCTTGTCTGAGATATTTTCGTACATGAATCAAATTCTGGACCTATCATATACTTGCTCGAAGAAGTGGTTGTCTCGAAAATCTTTTATCATGCTTGCCAGGACACGCAAAACTTTCCATGAACTGGCTATGGGCTAAGTTGAACGGGACCGAACCATTGCTAGGTTGTATACTGAGGCTACATCCCATGGTATATTGTCCTGCCAGAAAGGTCAGTGTGAACTGGTTGCGCTTTACCCATTCGTTCATCAGCTCAACGAAGATCTAAACGCAGTACCCCTGGTCCTCTTGAGGCGTCAACCCATTATCTGACCATGAAACCAATCAATTCTTGCTCCACGCTGCCTGTGTGCGGTCATTGTAAATATCTTCCAGCGACCATTTTCACCTTTTCTCAGTCCTCCCGACCGAGACATGCATTTTCCCAAGGTTGCTGTCATTATCAGCGGCTCGAGATCTGATTAGCTGCATCTTCAAATGCTACGTCGTTGTGTACTACTGGTCGTTCAACTGGACTTGAAAACTGTTGTCACCCACTGTGCTACTTTGGAGGACCTGTCCATTAAAACCTTTGGTGAGAGTACAATGGATGAGTTATCCTTACTGTCTGATAGCGTCTGTTAGTGCACATGGCTCTTAACTTGGTCCTGTCCACCTCTGACCTTCCTGCCCTTCTCATGCTGAAGATTCAGAATGACTTTTGCCCATTGGACTGGCCTATTCTCAACTTTGTCTCATTCCAATAACACAACACCATCTTCTCGTGTACAAACTGCTGCAGATATCATTACAGTCATGCAACATTCAGAAATTCCTTTGCTGAAATACTTTGCAATGTATGTTGATCCTTTGGCTTGGACAGAGGCTGAGCAGCTCTTTCATGCCTTATTATAGTAAAACACTCTTGCACACATTGTCATCTCCTCTGATAAGTGAGGAATGCAGGAGCCCTTCTGATGCCAATCAGACAATTCCCTTGTTCCATGTAGTTGCAGACCCTGAGGCTGTGATTCCTGTGTTGCTGCATCAATGTTCAACCTTGACAACA